ATGAGAAACAACAGTGAGAAGCATCTTAGCAGGGTTGTGTTCTCTCTTGATGGGTATGGAGAATCTGAGCACATGCTCCCTGCTGTCAGTGAAGCACACTAGAAAAACCTGGTGCTGCCACTCATGACTTGAATAAAATCGCTCATGGCTCCCCATGTCCCCGGATTATATTGAAAGTGTTTGCTCAGTTCAAAGGCCTCCAAAAGCTGGGGCTAGTTTACTCTTCCAGTCTGCTTTTCTATTTATTTTCCTTTCGTGCCAGTCTTGTGGCCAGTCTCAGGGCCTAAGTGCTGCCCCTTACTTTTTTCCACTCAAGATCGGCACTCTAGCCATTTGAGCCACAGCTCCACTACAGGCTTTTTGGTGGTTAATGGGAGGTTAAGAGTCTCATGGACTTTCTGGCCCAAGAGAGCTTCAAATCTCAGCTAGGATTACAGGCACGAGCCACTGGTGCCCAGTATACAGTATCGTGATAGTCTACGCCCAATTCTCCAAATCCATCACAACAGTCCCACTCAACACATTCCCTTCTGCCCCAGTGTGTAACGTGTTTGTCAGCATTAAACATCCTCCTGCTCACAACCAGCTGAAATTATCTCCCTCCTTCAAAGCATTAAGGTAGAGAGTGCCAAGCCTCCAGCCTTTAAGTCCAGACCCAGACGCACTAGCAGTTAACTACTTGATAGTTTAAGGAACTAGAGCAAATCCACCAACAGATCTCACCTATACTCCTTTACAGGACCACTGTATGAACTAAGCAATGATTATGAATTACCTAACACAATGCCTAAGGCATAGCAGCTACTCAACAACTGGTAACTGAGCCATCTTTCACCCTCCACCTATTGCTCTTACCCTAAGCTCTCATATCTTTAAAAAAAAAGCAAAGAAGGGGCTGGGAAGGTGGCTTAGTGGTAGAGTGTTTGCCTAGCATGCAATGGAGCCCTGGGTTCAATTCCTCAGTACTACATACAGAAAAAGCCAGAGGTGGTACTGTGGCTCAAGTGGTAGAGTGCTAGTCTTGAGCAAAAGCAGCTCAGGGACAGCGCGCAGGCCCTGAGTTCAAGCCACAGGACAGACAAAAAAGAAAAAGAAAAAAGAAGCAACTATACTACACTATGCACCCACTGTCTTCCGGGATACTCTCATTGTTCATGTCACCATCTGGGCTTCTTACAATTATAGATAACACGGTTATAGATATAGATAAAATGATTTGTAAATCTCTGCACATACTACTTGTGCAAACCACTGGACCTGTTATATCTATTTCTTCATTAACAAATGGTGCTGCCAGGAGCTGTGGCTCACTCCTGTAATCCTAGTTACTCAGGAGGCTGAGATATGAGGCTTGTGGTTCAAAACCAGCCTGGGCAGGAAAGTCCCTGAAACTTTTATTTTTTAATTTTATTTATTTTTTTTTGGGGGGGGGGTCCGGTCGTGGGGCCTGAACTCTGGGCCTGGGCGCTGTCCCTCAGCTCTTCAGCTCAAGACTAGTGCTCTACCACTTGAGTCACAGTGCCACTTCCGGCTTTTTTCTTTTTGTTTATGTGGTGCTGAGGAATCGAATCCAGGGCCTCATGCATGCAAGGCAAGCACTCTACCACTGAGCCACCTTCCCAGCCCAAGTCCCTGAAACTTTTATCTCCAGTTAACCACCAGAAAACCAGAGTGGAGTGTGGCTCGAGTGGTAGATCGCTAGCCTTAAGCTGAAGAGCTGAGGGACAGCACTCAGGCCCTGAGTTCAAACCCCATGACCAACAAAAACTAATAGTGCTTAACTTTTTATAGTCTTCCCAAGAGGTTTCAAAGAGCGGGCAATGGTCTCTCATGCCTGGAATTCTAGCTACTCAGGAGGCTAAGATAGGAGAAGTGTGGTTCAAAGCTACCCCAGGCAGAAAAATCCAAGAGACTCTTATCTCCAATTAACCAGCATAAGGCCAGAAGTGGAGGTGCAGCTCAAGTAGCAGAGTGTTAACCAAGCAAGCCAAGCAAACTGAGCAAGTCCAGCAAGTACAAGGCCTACAGTTCAAGCCCTGGTACCCACAGAAAATAATGAATGACTGAATGAATATTAAAGCACAGGTTTAATGACCGTCTTATCATAAATCTCATCATGACTGTTTATACATCAGTGTTCAACAAGTTCAATTTTATAAATCTTCATTAATCCTTATTAATCTTAACTTTATGGCTCAAATGATAGAGCACTAGCCTTAAGCAAAAAAGCTAAAGGACAGCCAGGCATTGGTGGCTCACGTCTGTAATCCTAGCTACTCTGGAGGCTGAGATCTGAGGATCACAGTTCAAAGCCAGCCTGGGCAGAAAAGTCCACGAGACTCTTATCTCTAATGAACGACCAGAAAATTGGAAGTGGCGCTGTGGCTCAAGTGGAAGAGCGCTAGCCTTGAGCCGAAGAGCTCAGGGACAGCGCCCAGGCCCTGAATTCAAGCCCCACAAAACACACACACACACACACACACACACAGCACACACACACACACACACACACACACACACACACACACACAGCTAAAGGATGGCATCCAGACCGAGTTCAAATCCCAGCACAGGGACCAAAACAAGGGGAGTGCAGGAGAAGTACAACAAGATTTACAAATTTTCCTAACACAGACTTGATCCGGAATAGCAATAAGGGGTAAAGTGGTCTCCAAAGTTAAATAAAACTCTGAAACTGGTGGTCTACACGGAGTGGAAGCTGATGCTCTCTACATAACTATTTCATTTTGGTGAGCTGGGTCAATTTCTCTACTGAAAATGCCAATCAAACATCAGCTATAGAAAAAGAGGAATGATGTTGTCCAAAAAGAAATGTACTCATTACCTGACTTATGAAATGGTAACCTCCCTGTACATCACCTTTATATGAACAACAAACAACAACAAATATTAACTATATGTCTCTAATAGCATTTTACCATTTATACACTTCCAACACAATTCGAGGAGGGATACCTCAAAACTGACAGCGAAATCTCACAAAGTTACAGAAAGGTGACAACACACACACGAAATTAACAATGCACCATTTACATTCCATTCTCAACATCATACCATAATACTTACAAAGACTGTACCGCAGAGAAGTTAAAAGCCTAGGAAAGCTTCTGGAAAGATGGGCCTAGCTTTAAATCTGGTGCCATCATTTAGACCGTTAGATTGCTAGTCGTGTTCTCTAAGCATGCATCCATACTTACATCCTTCATCTGTACACATAATAGTATGAACTTGGTAGAGTTATTAGTCGTAAATGAGATGGGTATGCTATTTGCCTAGCTGAGTACTTACACTATGATGAATATGTAATAAATGGTGTTCTACATAGTAATGCATGAATACTAAGGTTCTCCATAAATACTGCTGAAGCTAAGTTCCGGTGGCTCATACCTGTAAAACTTAGGCACTCAGAAGACTGAGATCTGGGGATCATAGTTGGAAGCCAGCCAGGATCTGGAAGTGGAGCTGTGGTTCAAGTAGTAGAGCACCAGCCCAGAGTGAAAAAAGCAAAGGGAGAGCACCCAGGCCCTGAGTTTGAGCCCCAGTACCAAGAACACATTTAAAAAGAAATACTCCTGCGGGGTGTTGGTGGCTCATGCCTGCAATCCTAGCCACTCAAGAGGCTGAGATCTGAGGATCATGGTTCAAAGCCAGCCCAGGCAGGAAAGTCCATGAGACTCTTATCTCGGATAAACAACTTAGAAAACCTGAAGTGGCGCTGGGGCTCAAGTGGTAGAGTGCTTGCTTTGAGCTGAAGAGCTCAGGAACAGCACCCAGGCCCAGCATTCAAGCCCCACAACCGATGTGTGTGTGTGTGTGTGTGTGTGTATATGTGTATGTATACGTATACACACACACACACACACACACATATATATATATTCCTGAATACTCTGCAGTTCACACCCTTAAGTTCACTCCAACTCCGAAACCTTAAGAAGGTATGAACTTCAGGGCTGGGAAGGAGGCTGGAGTGGTAGAGCGCTCCCTCGCCTTGAGCTGAAGAGCTGAGGGACAGCGCCCAGGCCCCAGAGTTCAGGCCTTACTCAGGAGTCTGAGGTGTGATGAGGATCCAAGATAGAATCTTTAAGACTCTGAATGCCAACTAACCAGTAAAAAACAAAGTAAAATAACATAATGCTGGAGGTGTGTGGCTCAAATGGTAAAAACAAAAGCCAGAAGTGTGCAGGCCCCGCGAGTTCGAGTCCCAGAATGGGCCTTAAAAAAAAATAACAAAAAACCACGGCTGCCAGCCGGGATTCGTCTCCTCCGACCAGATAGATCCCGGTGGAGGGCTTGAGGCCACTGACAAGATCCCTACCAGGCCTGCTGCTCCCCCCCCTCCCCAACCACCACCCCCCCCAACTCAAGCAGGAGTGCGCCCCCAAGTACCCCGGGGGCCGAGCCTCGGGCTGTGGCACGGGGTGGGGGGGTGGGGGGCGATCTGTCCTCAGGGGCCCCGGGGGTGGGCGTGGGACAGGCCTGGGTGGGTGGAGATGCCTGCTTCCCTCTCCAAACACACCCCTCCCGCCCAAAGCTCTGGGACATTCCCCCCCCCCCCCGCCCTCCCCGTCCGCCCCACGGTACCCTCGTGGGTGGGCCGGGCGGAGGCGTGCTCGGGGAGGGAGGAGAGAGCGCCCCAAGTCGGGTAGGAAAGGCCTAGCCGAGTCGTGGGGCGGAAGAGAGGGGTGTCGCCGGGGTGAGGAGGGAGGATGGCCCCGCAGGGGGGGGGGGGGGGGCGGATGGCGACGGCGGGAAAAGGCGGAGGGAACCGACCCGGAGAGAGAGGTTCGGTTCCAGGGCCGGGGGTGGGGGGTGGGGGGGATCGGGGGCAGTTGGCGTCGGGGGGGGAGGGGAGGGGGCCCGCCGACCCCCCCCCCCCGCCGCCGCCATGGAGGAGGAGGAGGAGGAGCACGCCGCCACGCTGCCGCCCCGACGACTCGCGCCCCAGCCCGCGGCGGCGCCCGCCCCTCGCCGCTCACCTGGAACTGCAGCAGCTTCTCCGTCTGCTCCTGGGTGAGATCCCGCTCCTCAGGCGCCGCCATCTTGCCGCCGCCTCTACGCTCCTGACCCGTCCGCACCGTCACCCGCCGGAAGTGACGTCAGGCGCAGCCACTTCCGGACGCCCGAACCGCCGCCCGCCCGCCTGCCCGCGGGGACGGCCGCTAGGGGGCCCCCCCCGCCGCGCTCGGACGATTCCGGAAACGGCCCGAGCGACGGGTGGAGTGAGAGACCACGGTTGCCCGGACGACGTCGGGGACGCCCGAGCTCTCCTCAGAGCATCCACGAATGCCTGCGGAGAGCTGAGAAGATCTCTCTAGAAGACTCCGGGGCAGGCGCCCTCCCAGGACGGCTGTGGATGACAGGCCTCAGGATTTGGCGGGAAACGTCGGCCCCGCGCTTCGAGGCCCCGATCCCCGTGGCCTGGATGTTTCCAGAAGCTCCTGACTTTGTCCCTGGAGGTTTTTCCCCCCCAACCCCTCGAAGGCCAGACACAGCCTGGGACCCGGAAAAGCGATGGGGAGCTGCCACGGAGACTTGGGGTCACTCCCTGGGAGCGTTTGCACCCGGCTTCCTATGCTTCTCCCACACTGAAGTGGATCGATCCAGCCAGCCGGGACCCAGAGGCTGTGGGGAGCCCGCACCCGGCCTCAGGTCATTCTGCACCTGACCTCAGAGCCTAGCCCACGGGTCCCCTCCCTGTGATGGGGTTCGGGCCTAGCTACCACCTTGCTGGACATCCGTGGGCAGATCTCTCGAACTCCATGTGGCCAAGAGTTGGATGAGATTCCCCTCAATGGATCCTCCACACACCGCCCTAGACTCTTCTCCGAGGAGCAGGTACTGGCCGCCCTCGACTGAAATCTAGTTAACTCTGGAGGCTGAGACTTGAGGATCGTAGTTCCAAGCCAGCCTGGACGGAGAAGTCCATGAGATGCTTATCTCCAGCTAACCAAGAAAAAGCCAGAACTGGAGCTGTGGCTCGAGTAATAGAGCACCAGCTAAGGGACAGTGCCCAGGGCTTCAGTACCAGCACAAAAAAAAAAAAAAAAAGGCTATCTGATAGATAGCAACCACCTCTGAGCCACAGGAGATGCAAAGAAATTCTAAAATGAGCCCAGAGCCGGTGGCTCACTCCTGTCATCCTAGCTACTCAGGAGGCTGAGATCTGAGGATCACAGTTCAAAGCCAGCCCAGGCAGGAAAGCCGGTGAGACTCTTATCTCCAAATGAACCACCAGAAAACCAGAAGTGGCATTGTGGCTCAAGTGGTAGAGCTCTAGCTTTGAGCTGAAGAGTACAGGGACAGCACCCAGGCCCAGAGTTCAAACCCCGCAACTGACAAATATTTATTTATTTATACGTAATGAGTGGGGTGCTGGTAGCTGACACTTGTCATTCTAGCTATTCAGGAGGCTGAGATCTGCATTTCGAAATTCCAAGTCATCTGAGACAGAAAAGTCTATGAGACGCTTATCTCCATTGAACCACCAGAAAGCTGGAAGTGGAGCTGTGGCTCACCTGGTAGAACACTAGACTTAAGCAGAAAAACTCAGAGACAGCCCTGAGTTTAAGGCTCAAGCCCAACACACACACACACACACACACACACACACACACACACACACACACACACACTATTCTTCAAAGCCTCCAATCCTTATAAGCAGGCTGAGTGTTGGTGGCTCATGCCAGTAATCCTATCTACTCAGGAGACTGAGATTTGAAGCACTGAGTTAGAGCCTCTAGACTAGCACACACACACACACACACGATGGGAGAAAGAAATGAAAGAAATAGATCAAAAGGTATCTGAGGGGCTGGGAATGTGGCTCAGTGTTAGAGTGCTTGCCTAGCATGCATGAAGTCCAGGATTCGGTTCCTCAGTACCACATAGACAGAAAAGGCTGGAAGTGGCACTGTGGCTCAACAAAAGAAGCTCAGAGACAGTGCATAGGCCCTGAGTTCAAGCCCCAGGACTGGGGGGAAATTAAAAAGGTACCTGAGGCAAATGTAACCATTGAATAACTTCCTTGCATTTTTGCTAACCTAGGATAGTAATCCTTCTACCTGTAGCCTCCTGCTTAGCTAGAACCACAGGTGTGAACTAAGATACCCAGCTTATATGTTGATATGAGTATCTTGCTACTTTTTCCCTGAGTTATCCTCAGAGCAAAATCCTATGATCCTCTTGACTGCTGCTTCCCATGTAGCTGAGTCTGTAGATGTGAACCACCAAGCCTCACTGGGAATATTGGTACTTAATAGTTTTTAGAATGGACATGAGGGGCAGGGAATGTGGCTTAGTGGTAGAGTGCTTACCTACCATGCATGAGGCTTTGGGTTCGATTCCTCAGTACTACATAAAACTTGTGGGAATGTAGCTCAGTGGTAGAGTGCTTGCCTAGCATGCATGAAACCCTGGATTTGATTCCTCAGTACCACATAAGCAGAAAAAGCCAGAAATGGCTCTGTGGCTCAAGTGGTAGAGCTCTAGTCTCAAACAGGAACAGTGCCCTCAGCCTTGAGCTGAGGAACAGCACCCAGGCCCAGAGCTCAGTCCCACAACCAACCAAAAATTAAATAAATAAATGAAATGTACATGTAGCTCATGTGGCCTGGAAGCTATCTTGTTGGAAATGAATATATAAATCTACTTGAAAGGCTAAGCGCCGGTGGCTCATGCCTGTAATCCTAGCTACTCAGGAGGCTGAAATCTGAGGATCACGGTTCAAAGCCAGCCCAGGCAAGAAAGTCCGTGAAACTCCTATCTCCAATAAACCACTCAGAAAACCAGAAGTGGCGCTGTGGCTCAAACAGTAGAGCACTCACCTTGAGCTGAAGAGCACAGGGACAGCTCCCAAGCCCACAGTTCAAGCCCCACGACTGACCAAAAAAAAAAAAAAAAAAATCTACTTGAAGTTTGAAGCTACATTTGTGAAAACATAGTGGAATACATTAATAATAAGACATGGAATAGGGGTTGATGAATGAATTGATTACATGTTACACATTCCGTATGTTTGCATTTTTGTGTGTGTATGTGAGTACTGGGGCTTGAACTCAGGGACTGGGTATTGTCCCTTAGCTTTTTTCTGGTTAGTAGGAGATAAAAGTCTCATAGACTTGGGCTGCTTGGGCTGGCTTTGAACCTCAATCCTCAGATCTCAGACTCCTATATAGCTAATACAGGTATAAGACACCAGTACCCAGTTTCATTTTTCTTTTTCTTTTTGCTTGTGGGGCTTGAACTTAGGCCTGAGAACTGTTCCTAAGCGTTTTTTGCTCCAGGTTAAAGCTCTACCACTTTGAGCCATAGCACCACTTCTGGTTTTCTGGTGGTTAATTGGAGGTAAGAGTCACAGACTTTTCTGCCCAGGGTGGCTTTGAACCATGATTCTCAGGTCTCAGCCTCCTGAGTAGCTAAGATCACAGGTGTGAGATCACCAATGCCAGGCTAGTTTTGATTATTTTATCCAATGGAGGTGGGGCCTGGTGCAAGGAAATAGGTCATAGCTCCTGGACTCTGCCCCCTATTGGCCACTTTTTTACCTGCAGTGCCCTGGTATTCTGCCTCAGCATGCATGCACAGGCTTAGAAGCCACAGAGTCAAATGACTGGGCAGAGATTCTGAAACTGGGAGCCCAAATAAAGCCTTTCTTCTAAGTTTTGCTCAGGGATTTTGCCAGATTTTCTACTCAGATTTGTACAATGACAACTTAAAACACCACTGAGAGAAATTAGAAGACAAAAAATTGACATCCATGTTCACATATTGAAAGACAATATTGTTAACATAGCAATGCAACTCAGAGTGATCTATAGATTTAACGAAGCCCCTATCAAAATCCCAATGATGAGCTGGGAGCTGGGGGCTCACGCCTGTAATCCTAGCCGCTCAGGAGACTGAGATCTGAGGATCACGGTTCAAAGCCAGCCTGGGCAGGAAAGTCCATGACACACTTATCTCCAATAAACGACTTAGAAAACCCGAAGTGGTGCTGTGGCTCAAGTGGTAGAGAGCCTGCCTTGAGTTGAAGAGCTGAGGGACAGTGCCCAGGTCAGAGTTCAAGCCTCATGACTAACAACAACAACAACAAAAATCCCAGTGATGGCAGAGTGGTACACATCTGTAATCCCAGAGAATAAGATACTGTGGACACAAAGACAGGAGAATCTTGAGTTCAAGACCAGCCCCAGGCAAGTAAATTAGGGAGACCGTATTGTTTCTTTCTTTTTTCTTTTCTTTTGGTCGGTCATGGGGCTTGGGTGCTGTCCCTCAGCTCTTCAGCTCAAGGCAGACGAGTGCTCTACCACTTGAGCTACAGCGCCACTTCCGGTTTTCTGGTGGTTCATTGGAGATAGGAGTCTCACGGTCTCTCCTGCCCGGGCTGGCTTTGAACCAAGATCCTCGGATCTCAGCCTCCTGAGTAGCTAGGATTACAGGTGTGAGCCACTAGCACCCAGTGCCCTGCGACCGTGTTGTTTCAAAACAAAGAAAGAGCAGGCACTGGTGGCTCACACCTGTCACTCAAGCTTCTCACTAGGTTGAAATCCAAAGGTGGTGGTTCAAAGCCATCCTGGACAGCATGCATGAAGCCCTGGGTTCGATTCCTCAGTACCACAGAAACAGAAAAAACCAGAAATGGCGCTGTGGCTCAAGTGGTAGAGTACTCACCTTGAGCAAAAGAAGCCCAGGGAGGGGCTGGGAAATTGGTTCAGTGGTAGAGCGCTTGCCTTGCATGCCTGAGGCCCTGGGTTCGATTCCTCAGCACCACATAAGCAAAAAGAAAAAAGCTAGAAGTGGCGCTGTGGCTCAAGTGGTAGAGTGCTAGCCTTGAGCTGAAGAGCTGAGGGACAGCGCCCAGGCCCAGAGTTCAAACCCCAGCACTGCAAAAAATACATAAAATAGAATGCAAACATACGGAATGTGTGACATGTAAACCAATCCGCCCATCAACTCCTATTCCACGTCTTGTTCTACAAGGTGTTCCTAAACTCAGCTTCAGAGTTTAAAAAGCAGAAAGGCAGCGGCAGAGCTGTGGCTCCAGTGGTAGAGCACTGGTCTTGGGCGAGAAATCTCAGGGCTGGCGCTCAGGCCCTGAGTTCAAGACCTCACGGATGGACAAAGTGTTGGTGGCCTAGACTGTCAGTCATCCTAGCTACTCAGGAGCCTGGAGACCTGAGGATCCAGGGGTCATGGAAGGCCTCAGGATCAGAGACGTCTCCCACCCGGGGTGACCCTCCACAGACGCTGTGTGCAGATGCAGTGACCCCCTCCACCTGGCCCCTCCAGATGTGGGGTTCGGGGGGGGGGGGGGGGGGGGCCGGCCCAGGGAGGGGTGGGAGCCTGGAGGGGGGCCGGCCCAGGGAGGGGTGGGAGCCTGGGGGGGGCCGGCCCAGGGAGGGGGGGGAGCCTGGGGGGGGCCGGCCCAGGGAGGGGTGGGAGCCTGGGGGGGGCCGGCCCAGGGAGGGGGGGGAGCCTGGGGGGGCCGGCCCAGGGAGGGGGGGGAGCCTGGGAGGGGGGGCCGTCCCAGGGAGGGGTGGGAGCCTGGGGGGGGGGCCCGGCCCAGGGAGGGGTGGGAGCCTGGGGGGGGGCCGGCCCAGGGAGGGGGGGGAACCTGGGGGGGGCCGGCCCAGGGAGGGGTGGGAGCCTGGGGGGGGGCCGGCCCAGGGAGGGGGGGGAACCTGGGGGGGGCCGGCCCAGGGAGGGGTGGGAGCCTGGGGGGGGGCCGTCCCAGGGAGGGGGGGAGCCTGGGGGGGGGTGATCCGTCCATCCAGCAGCCGCATGAGTCAGGAGCAGATCCGGGCCGCTGGAGCCGGGGTGCCCCCCTCCCCCGTGCCCGCGGGTCCCCTCCCTCGGCCGGTGACATCACCGCATTCCGGTCCCCGGGCTCCTCCCGCCCTGCAGCCGCAGTGACAGGCGAGCCGGGCCCGGGCGGCGGCGGCGGCGGCGGCGGAGGAGGAGGAGGAGGAGGAGGAGGAGGAGGAAGTGCGGGGCCTCCGCCCCCCCAGCCCCAGCGCCGCCCGCCCGTCCGTCCGTCCGTCCGTCCGTCCCCGCGCCAGGCCCGGGCGTAGCCAGCCGACAGTCTCGCCGCCCCGCACGGTGTCGGGGGTGGGGTGGGAGGGACGGACAACATGGCTGATGACTTCGGCTTCTTCTCGTCGTCCGACAGCGGGGTCCCCGAGGCGGCGGCGGCGGCGGCCGAGGAAGACCCGGCGGCCGCCTTCCTGGCCCAGCAGGAGAGCGAGATCGCCGGCATCGAGAACGACGAGGAGGAGGCCTTCGGGGCACCTGCCGCAGGCCAGGTGTCCTCGGCCCAGCCCGGACCCACGGGGGGCGGTGAGTGCAGGGGGGCCCCCCCGGGGGGCTGAGGGGACCCAAGGCCTCACCTGGTGGGGGAGACCCGGCCTGGAGGACCCCCCCCACACCCCACCCAGCCCGGGGGATGGGGGGAGATCGGGGATCCCACTGAGGCCTACCCCAGGCTTGGAGATCACCACCACCACCAGCGCCACCTGGGGCATGAGCCCAGGCCTGGCCTGGGGCTGACTCTGGGGACATTGTATCCCCACATCTGCTCCCACAAGGCCTGTCTGTCTGTCAATCCAACCCCCCCCTTCCCCCCCCAGTTCTAAGAGTCTCCTGATGGCCTGGCTGACCCAGGCTCCCACCTAAAGTGTCCTAGGTATGGACAGATCACATTGCTCCTGGGCACTTAGCTCTCATCCAGCCCTGGGGGGGTGGGAAGTAGGGGACACTGGGTGCCCCCAGAATGCACAGATCCTCCCCTGGGGACCACCCTGCGGGCCACTGGGCTGGACCTGCTAATGACATCCAATGGTTTCACGTACCATTACTGAACAGATGGCAGAGACAAACACAGACTCAACATGTACATTTCTTCTTTTTTTTTTTCTGGTACCCATCCTGGGCAAAAGCACTGTCCCTGAGAGCACTCTCCTATTGGAGCCGTAGCTCCACTTCTGGCTTTTTACTGGTTCCTTGGAAATAAGTGTCTCAAGGACTTTCCTGTTCACCTAGCTTTGAATCTCCCTTGGGAGATCTCAGCCTCTTGAGTAGCTAGGGTTCAAGGTATGAGCTACCAGCACCAAGCAACATGGCCACAATTTAATAACTAGTGCATGACATTTCACGATGTGTCTGAGTCACTAAGTCCTTCCCATCTTTTTGTTTGTTTGTTTGTTTGTTTTTGCCAGTCCTGGGGCTTCAACTCTGGGCCTGGGCTGTATCCCTGAGCTTCTTTTGCTCAAGGCCAGCACTCTACCACTTGAGCCACAGCACCACTTCAGGCTTTTTCTGAATAGTTTCTTGGAGTCATATGGCCTTTCCTGCACCATGATCCTCAGAGCTCGACTTCCTGAGTAGCCAGGATGACAGGCATGAGCCACTGATACCTGGCTAGTTCTTCCCATCTGGACTGTGTAGTCTTCCACATGCCTGTCTGAGTTACAGCCTGGTCAGGAATGGGGTACACAGGAACTTTCAGGGTTCTGTAACCATTAACTTAGGGGTTTCCCAAAGTTGGTGCAGGGCTACTATCATGGTTAGCTTCTGATCTCAGGGTACAGGACCTGGCTCCCTCAATAATACTGTGTTTGTCAGTGAAGTTCTTGCTCTGATTCTGGCTAGAAGGAATTACTTCTTAAAATATTTTAGCAGGGGGCTGGGAAGGTGGCTCAGTGGTAGAGCGCTTGCCTTGCATGCCTGAAGCCCTGGGTTCGATTCCTCAGCACCACATAAAGCAAAATGAAAAAAGCCGGAAGTGGCACTGTGGCTCAAGTGGTAGAGCGCTAGCCTTGAGCTGAAGAGCTGAGGGACAGCGCCCAGGCCCAGAGTTCAGGCCCCACGACCAGACCCAAAAAAAAAAAAAAAAATATTTAGCAGTGCCAGGCACTGGTGGCTCACGCCTGTCATCCTAACTCCTTAGGAGGTTGAAATCTGAGGATCTTGGTTCGAAGCTAGCCCAGGCAGAAAAGTCTGTGAGAGTCTTATGTTCAATTAACCAGTAAAAAGCCAGAAATGGAGGTGTGGCTCATGAAATAGAGCACCATGACTGAGCAAAAAATTAAAGGACAGTACCCAGGCCCTAGTACCAACACAATATACACACAGGTGTATATAGTAATATACTACATTTTATATGTATAGATGTATACTATGTATAATACATACTATTATTATATATTATATGTCATATATTACTCATATCTGTAATATTTATTATATATTTATTACATATATGGTATATATCACATATAATTACTTACATATATACTAATATATATTACATGCATACCTAATATATAGGTGAAAGCAAATAGATCTTATTTCCTGTTTTGTCATTTTTGGAGGGGTTTATGGGCTCATTGCATGTATATATATATATATATATATATGTATATATATATATATATATATATATATATATATATATATATATATAAAATGTTTATAATCCAGCCATCATGTTTGTACTCACTTGACATTTACTAAGCACCTACTTCATGCTGCGCCCACTGGGGGCGGGGGTTGCAGAAATGAAAGACAGTTCCCAGGGCTGAGGGGTTGAAGCAACTCTCTCCACTCCGTATGAGAAATGTAGCAAGCCCTATTGTAATATGAGGGATTGATGTGTGACTTTGATTCCAGGCTTCCCAGCTCTGGACTCCATGTTCTTTGAAATGCTGTGTTGAACTAGGCAATGGAGTGATCCTAGCTACTCAGGATCTGAGATCTGAGGGGTTTGAGGTTCAAAGCTAGCCTGGACAGAAAAGTCCATGAGACTCTTATCTCCAGCCAACCAGAAAAAAGTTGGAAGTGGAGGTGTGGCTGCAGGTGGGAGAGAGCTAGCCTTGAGTGAAAAAACCAAGCTAGAGCTCAAGGCCATGAGTTCAAGCCCTGGAACTAACACACACACACACATACACACACACACACAAATACACAAATGTTGTGTTACTCTTGGGAGATGCCTGAATGTGGCATTTGTGCACTCAAGGCTGGCACTCTATCACTTGGCCCACACCTTCACTTCTGGCTTTTTGATGGTTCATTGGAGGATAAGAATCTCATAGACTTTCCTGCTCAGGTTGGCTTCAAAGAATGATCCTCAGATCTCAGGCCTCCTGAGTAGCTAGGATTACAGGCATGAGCCACTGTACCACTGGATACAATATAGATCTTCTGAAACAGCGTCTCTTTGTCTGACACCCCCTTTCCTGTGCCCCAGGGAATTTCTGGGAACTCCCTGGCTAAGTTCTTGCACTGTATCCATTTATCCACACCCCCCTTGAGACCTCTCCTGGCCCAACCCTGCCTCCCTGGGTGCAGGCGCCCCTCCCTAAGGTTGCAGAACCCCATCAACAAGAAGGACCAGAGGAATTCAGGCTGAGGGCAGCTCTCCTGGTTAGAGTCAGCCTGGAAGGGCGGGGTCCTTTCTGGCAGGTTGGGCCACTGATTGGCCCTGGACCTGAAGTGACAGAGAAGATCAACCAATCATGTGCTTTCTTCTTCCCACCTGTTTGGCGGCAGTGTGTGTGTGGGGGGGGGGGGGGGAGATCTTCTCTGCTACCTTTCTGAATGGCCATCTGGGGACCTGGTTGGGGGTGGGAGGGTGCGGGGTACCCCAAGGGGAGAGAGGTGTTCCAGTCCCAGCTACAGTACGCTTCTCCCCTGGGTTAGATCACTGGCCAGCCTGGGTGCTGGCTACTTTGTTTCTATTTATTCCCCCCTACCTCTCCTCCTCCCCACCCCCCCATTCCTTGGGAAGGATCCAGAAGGGCTACATTTTCACACCCAGTTTTCTGGGCTGCAAGCCTGGTTCTGACTTGCTCTGGGCAAGTCTTGTTTCTCCTGCTGGGCTTTTTAGTAAGCACCTAGGAATGTTCTGGACTCATGTCTGCCCTTGTTCTGAAGGAAGCCACACACTCAGAACCATTTGTATTAGTGGCCTTGCTGCTGTCTCTGCTGGGTTCTGCTTACAGCCCCAACAGGATAAATGTGCGTTCATCACACATGGAGAAATCTGTGTACGGTGCATGTGGATTCCCAGAGCTGTCTGTACTCAACGGGGCTGAGACTGTTGCTGATCAGCCTGAGAGGAGTCAGCCTGCCTCTCCAACCCCATTCCAGTGTGCATGTGCTGCCACTGGAACTTGAACTCAGGCCCTGCTGCTCTACCACTTGACCCACATCGCCCCACTTTTGACTTTCTGGTAATAAGAGTCTCACCAACGTTCCTGCCTGGGCTGGCTTTGAACTGCCATCCTCAGAGCTCAGCCTCCTGAGTTGCTAGGATGACAGGCCTGAGGCACCAGTGCCCGGCTCTCAATCCCATTCAAAAAGGCCTCACCTGTAAACTCACATGCTTGTGAATGGAACCCGGGGGCCCTAGGGAGCAAACAACCCACGCAGGAGACAGGAGAGCAGGTGACAGGACAGGTTGGAATTCACCTTTGTGGTTGTCTGCAAAATCAATTAGGATTTATGTCAGGTGGGAATTATTATTATTGTTATTTTTGTGCCAGTCTTGGGGCTTGAATTCAGGGCCTAGGCACTGTCCCTGAGCTGCTTTGGCTCAAGTCTAACACTCTACCATTTGAACCACAGTGCTACTTCTGGCTTTTTCTGTGTATGTGGTACTGAGGAATCGAACCCAGGGCTCCATGCATGCTAGGCAAGCGCTCTACCACGGAGCCACCTTCCCAGCCCTCAGGTGGGAATTTTTTGCTGTGGGATTCCTGATCCCTTACTGCAGTCTTTCTAGGCCCTGGGTCTTCAGGTCTCAGCTATATGAGGGTGCAGGGTTAGTTACCCCTCTGTGGGGTGTCTTGGCCCTGTGGCTATTTGATGGAAGGCACTGCAGGAGCTAGGAAGCCTCATAAAGTTAGAATGGGTCCCAAAGAGCAAGCAATGACCATTTAGCCAAGAGTCGCTGCTCCCTTATTCTTGTGAAGGAGTTCTTTGAAGCTGACAAGGACACGGTACCTGCCTCCAGGGTTTACAAGTCATTACACAAGGTGGGGGGTGGGGGTGGGGGGTGGGCGGGGACAACACAAGGCTTGCCATCTAGTATTTACACCAAAAGTGAGGCCTTTTCATACCTAGGGAAGTCGAAGAAACAGGTGCAGCCAGGTTCCAGTGCTTCACGCCTGTCATCTGAGCTATTCAGGAGGTGGAGATCTGAGGATCATGGTTCAAAGCCAGCTTGGGCAGGCCTTTCTGAGTAGCCAATGAACCACCAAAAGGCTGGAAGTGACGCTGTGGCTCAAGTGGTAGAGCACCATTCATGAGCAGAAAAGCTAAGGGACCAGTGCCTAGGCCCTGAGTTTAATCTCCAATACTGGCACACACACACACACACACACACACACACACACACACACACACACACACACTCCACTAATAAGAAGAAGCAGGTGTAGGCTTTCCAGAGGAAGTGACTTGGGAACTGGACCGTCCAGAGAAAGAATGGATCCACAAATGATTCTCGCCTTCATGCTTCTGATTTTAGCTATTCAGGAGGCCGAGATACAGAGGATGGAGAGAATCAAAGCCAGCCTGGGTAGAAAAGTCCTGAAGAGGGGCTGGGAAGGTGGCTCAGTGGTAGAGTGCTCGCCTTGCATGCATGAGACCCTGGGTTCGAATCCTCAGCACCACATAAGCTGAAATGGTGCTGTGGCTCAAGTGGTAGAACACTAGCCTTGAGCTGAAAAGCTGAGGGACAGCGCCCAGGCCCAGAGTTCAGGCACCATGACTGGCAAAAAAAAAAGTCCTGAAGAATCATCTCACAAACAAAAACAAAACACACAAAAAAACATTTTTTTTTTTAAAGAAAAACACAGCAGCCGGGCGCTGGTGGCTTATGCCTATCATCCTAGCTACTCAGGAGGCTGAGATCTGAGGATCACGGTTCAAAGCTAGTCCAGAAAGGAAAGTCTGTGAGACTCTTATCTCCAATAAACCTCTAGAAAACTGGAAGTGGTGCTGTGGCTCAACTGGTAGAGCACTCACCTTGAGCTGAAGAGCTCAGGGTCAGCCCAGGCCCAGAGTTCAAGTCCCATGACTGAAAAAGAAAAGAAAAGCAAAGAAAAATAGCAAACAGTGATAGTTCTATGGTAGAACACCAGCCATTCAAGCAAGTTGAAGAATTGTGAAGCCCCAAGTTCAAAACCCTAGTACCAGAAAAAAAAAAGAAAGAAAGAAAAAGAAAAACAACACCCACACCCACACAAAAAGATTCTTTTTTTTTTTTTGGTCGGTCGTGGGGCTTGAACTCTGGGCCTGGGCGCTGTCCCTCAGCTCTTCAGCTCAAGGCGAGTGCTCTACCACTTGAGCTACAGCGCTACTTCCAACACAAAAAGATTCTTTACGCTTGTATGTGTGGGGGCTGGGAAGGTGGCTCAGTGGTAGAGCGCTTGCCTTGCATGCATGAGACCCTGGGTTTGATTCCTCAGCACCACATAAGCAGAAAAAGTGGAAGTGGCACTGTGGCTCAAGTGGTAGAGCGCTAGCCTTGAGCTGAAGAGCTAAGAGACAGCACCCAGGCCCAGAGTTCAAGCCCCATAACCAACAACAACAAAAAGACTGTATGTGTGGGCTGGGAATGTGGCTCAGTGGTAGAGTGCTTGCCTAGCATGCATGAAGCCCTGGGTTAGATTCCTCAGTACCACATACACAGAAAAAGCTGGAAGTGGTGCTGTGGCTCAAGTGATAGAGTGCTAGCCTTGAGCAAAAGCAGCTCAGGGGCAGTACCAGGCTCTGAGTTCAAGCCCCGGGCCTGGCAAAGAAAAAAAAAAAAAGACCAAGCCTCGTGCTGGTGGCTTACGCCTGTAATACTAGCTACTCAGGAGGCTGAGATCTGAGGATCGTGGTTCAAAGTCAGCCTGGGCAGGAAAGTCCATGAAACTCTTATCGCCACCAGAAAACCAGAAGTGGCAGTGTAGCTCAAGTGGTAGAATGCTAGCGTTGAGCTGAAGAGCTGAGGGACAGCACCCAGGCCCAGAGTTCAAGCCCCCAGGTCCAGAGTTCAAGCCCCACGACTGACAAAAAAAAAAAAAAAAAAAAGACTGTACTCAGGAATTCCAGTACTCAGGAATCTAAGGTGGAAGATTATAAGTCTGAGGTGAACTTGGATCAATCAGATCCTATCTTAAATAATAATCCTGTCTTAAATAATGGTGGTGATGATGATGATGATGATGATGATGATGATGATGATGATGATAATCTCCAGAGACGGAAGCAGAATTTAGGGGAGTTGTGAGAGCAAGCAGGTCAGGATAAATGGGCAGAGCCAGATCTTGAAAGTTCTTCATAACCTGTACTTGAAAGGTTAGAAGTGCTCATTTGGCAAGAATGTCCTGAACCCCTGTTAAGTGCCAGTCAGTGCTCCAAGTACTCGGCCTGTGATGAGGAAAACAGGTACTAAGCACACAACCGAAGAGGTTGGGCTGTGGTGAGTATGGCAGGCTGATGCCACGGGAGAGCCAGAGCCGAGTTAGGTCTGGGACTGAGAAATCCACTAGGCCTTTTGTGTGTGTGTATGTGTGTGTGTGTGTGTGTGTGTGTGTGTGTGCGCGCGCGCGTGCACCGCGCTGGCACTAGAACTCAGGGCCTGGGCCCAGTTCCTAAGCTTTTTGTTGTTGTTCAAGGCTGGTACTCTACCACTTGAGCCACAACTCCACTTCCAGCTTTTTGGTGCTTCATTTGGAGATAAGAATGTCATGGACTTTTCTGCTGCCTGGCTTGGCTTTGAACTTAGAACCTCAGATCTCAGCCTCCCTGCGGAGTGGGGATGACCGGCCTGAGCCACGAACACCTGGCTGATGCAGGTCAGGCGAAGGGACCTGGAGGAGTCCCAGCGGATGGTGAAATCCAATCCCCATGGGAGGGGCATGGACCAGACAGGCCAGGTGCCCAGGGAGGACCTGGAGTCCTGTCCTACCAGATGCGGCGGTTTGCTCAAGGCTGGACCGGGGCAGGCAGAGACGCGCAGGGAGTCTTGCCCTGGTTGCCTGCACCCCAAGTCTGCAGCGCTTCTGCTTTCTCACCAGACGCGAGCTCCAGCCTCGCCGGCTTAGGTAAGGCGCTATTACTTGCCAGGTGATCTTGGAGACCATCACCCCTGGCCACTCAGTTTGGGATTCTGCAGATGCGTGGCAGAAATGGTCACCCTTGGGTAGTGATGCAAATCACTCGTGATCATTGCTGGGCAATGTAATGTGAACAGGCCAGATTTGAGGACCAGCGTTTGTGTGTGTGTGTGTGTGTGTATGGAGGTGCCAGTCCTGGGATTTGAACTCAGGGCCTGGACACTCTCCCTGAGCTTCTTTGGCTCAAGGCTAGCACTCTACCACTTGAGCCACAGTACTGCTTCTAGCTTTTTTGGGTAGCTTCTTGGAAATAAGAGTCTCATGGATTTTTTTTTTTTTTTTTTCTGATCAAGGTGGCTTTGAACCAGGGTCCTTAGATCTCAGCCTCATGAAGAGCTAGGATGACAGGCGTGAGCCACTGGCACCCAATGAGGACCAGCTGTGTATACATCTGTTATGTTCCCAGAGAAGGAGATCAGTGTACATGTGTGCAGATGTAGAGGGTGGCCGTAGATGCTAATGAAGAGCTACGCTGTGCTTGCTACAGGATAGACCTGCTTCCCCTCCGCCCCTCTTCCCCTCCCTGCTGTGTCTCTGTTTCTTTCTGTTTGCTGGCATTGGGGCTTGAACTCAGGACTTGGGCTGCTGTCCTTTGGCTTTTTCACTCCAGGCTAGTGCTCTACCACTCGAGCCACACCTCCACTTCTGGCTTTTCGGGTGATTCATTGGAGATGAGCCTCACAGGCCTTCCTGTCTGGACTGCCTTCAAACCATGAACCACAGACCTCAGCCTCCTGAGTAGCTAGGATGACAGGTGTGAACTCCCCTCACCAGCTGACCCGTCTCGGTTCTCTTTCCAGCAGGTTCTGAAGACATGGGGACGACGGTCAATGGCGATGTGTTCCAGGTAAGAAGAGCCTATGGTGGCCGTGGTGGGACACACCAAGTAGGTCTCAGTGACTGACAGTTGGTATCCTGATTCACTTAGAGCTCCAAGAGCTACTCATTGAGCCTTGGGTTGGGAGTGTGGAGGAAGCTGGTGATATGTTTTCTTGTCCTGTGAGGGGACGCAGGCACTGATGGGCAATAGCCTCAAGTTGTCTGGGGTGGTCTCTGGCTCCAGAGGGAGAGATGATGTTTGCCGACAATGGCCAACATGGCTCCTATTAAATGGGGTGAAGTAAGTGCAGGGCTCTGGGTAGAGCTGACCTGACCAGCACCACCAGTGATGGTTATGCATGCCTTCTGATCCAGAGATTTGATTTCATTTTGTTTACTTATTTATTTTTCGATCGGTCATGGGTCTTGAACTCAGGGCCAGGGCGCTGTCCCTCAGCTCTTCAGCTCAAGGCGAGCGCTCTACCACTTGAGCCACGGCCCCACTTCCCATTTTCTGGTGGTTCATTGGAGATCAGAGTCTCATGGACTTTCTTGCCTGCGCTGGCTTTGAACTGGGATCCTCAGATCTCAGCCTCCTGAGTAGCTAGGATTATAGGCATGAGCCACCAGCACCTGGCTTTTATTTTATTTTTTATTTTTTGTGCCAATCCTGAGGCTTGAACTCAGGGCCTGGTCACTGCGCCTGAATTTCTTTGTTCAAGGCTGGTGCTTTACCACTTGAGCCGCAGCTCCACTTCTGGCTTTTAAATGGTTCATGGGAGAGAACAGTCTCATGGTCTTTTCTGCCTGGGCTGGCTTTGAACTATGATCTTCAGATTTCAGCCTCCTGAGTAGCTAGGATTACAGGCATGAGCCAGCAAATTTTATTTTTTAAGAACTTTTTTCTCTTCCCCCCTTTTCTCTCTCTCTCTCTCTCTCTCTCTCTCTCTCTTCATTTCTTCTCTTACCATTAGAGAGGCTTAAACTCAGGGCCTTCTGCTCTCTTAAATTTTTCACCCAAGGCTGGTGCTATACCATTTGAGCCACTGTTCCACTTCCAGGTTTTTTGCTGGTTAATCAGAGACAAGCGTCTCTTGGATTTATCCATCCAGTCTGGCTTTGAACCACATGATCAATCCTCAGCTCTCAGCCTCCTGAGTAGTTAGGATTACAGGTGTGAGCCAGTGGCACTCTGGGTTTTTGTCCCCAACACTATATTAAAAACAAAACAAGGGGCTGGGAAGGTGGCTTGGTGGTAGAATGCTTGCCTAACATGCATGAAGCCTTGGATTTAGTTCCTCAGTACCATACACACAGAAAAAGCCAGAAGGGGCGCTGTGGCTCAAGTGGTAAAGCACTGGCTTTGAGCAAAAAGAAGCTCAGGACAAATGCCCAGGCTCTGAGTTCAAGCCCCAGGAGTGACAAAACAAAACAAAAACCAACAACAGCAACAAAAAAAAAGCATAAACTGAGCAAACCCAGAGCAGTAATGACATCTCCAGTACCCCACAGATGCAGTGTTCTTAGCCTATGTGAGCCTTATTCTCACCCAGTTTAGGTGGAAAACTCTAGATCCTTGGGGCTGCTGCATCTTCAGAGCCCCGCCCTATGGAAGAGTTGGCCTCCAGGATCTTGGAGAGAATAAACAATGCATTCTTATGTAACTGGGATGGGCTGGTACCTTTCACTGGAAAACTGGCCAAGTCCCATTTCTGGAAAATTACTCAAGTATAAGCAAGCTAGAAAAGTCAACCTCTAAGATTTCATTCAGCAGCTTCCTGACCAGTTGAGCCCAACAAAGCCAAAGAATGAATATTACTCTGTGTGTGTGTGTGTGTGTGTGTGTGTGTGTGTGTGCCAGTACTGAGGATTGAACTCAGGGTTTGGGCATCAGAGTCCAAGTTCCAGACTAGTGTGGTTACACATACCTGTAATCCCAGCACTGAGGAGACTGAGGTAGGAAGATTGTGAGTCTAAGACTAACCTAAACTATATAGCACTGTCCTTTTTTTTTTTTTTTTCCAGTCCTGGGGCTTGAACACAGGGTCTGAGCACTGTCCCTGAGCTGCTTTTGCTCAAGGCTAGCACTCTGATCCATGGAGCCACTTCTGCTTTTTTCTGTTTATGTAGTACTGAGGAATCAAACCCAGAGCCTCATGCATGCTAGGCAAGCACTCTACCACTAAGCACATTCCTAGCCCAGGACACAGCCTTTTTAAAAAAAAAACAAAACCACCAAACAAAAAAACAAACCAAAAGAGTGCTAGCCTTGAACACAAAAGTTCAGGGACAGTACACAGGCCCCAAGTTCAAGCCCCATGACTGGTGCATATACACACACTCACAAAAACCAAAACCTAGTTGGGCACCGGTGGCTCATGCCTGTCATCCTGGTTACTCAGGAGGCTGAGACCTGAGGATCACGGTTCAAAGCTAGCCCAGGCAGGAAAAGTCTGTGAGACTTATCTCCAATAAACCACTCAGAAAACCAGAAGTGGAGCTGTGGCTTAAGTGGTAGAGTGCTCACCTTGAGCTGAAGAGCTGAAGGACAGCGCCCAGGCCCAGAGTTCAAGCCCCGTGACTGACAAAAAAACAACCAAAATCTCTGTCCTAAAGTAGACCTGGAGATATTCTTAGAATCACAGAAGTACCTGTCAGCAGGTTATCTTAATGTTTCCATTGATTAGGAACTTGAGACTCAGAGAGGCAAAATGACTTGTGCATTCACAAAGGAAATGAGTCATTTCTGGACTTTTCCTCTGTTGGTTAATTTGATTCCTCTGATTTCTCCTTCCTGCCCTCACCACCCAGCCCTACATAACAATTGCTAGATTAGGCAGGATCTCGAGACCCCTTCCTAGTCACAGATAATTCTCTTTGCTAATAATATTGACTTCAGGACTGGGCACAGGCAGTTCATGCCTGAGATCCTACAGAGGAGACAGATCTGAATACTGAAGTTCTAAAGCCAGCTTGGGCAGGAAAGTCTGTCAGACTCATCTCCAATTAGTTACCAAAAGAGCCAGAAGTGAAATTGTGGCTTATGTGGTAGAATGCTAGCCTTGGAATAGCACCCAAGCTCTGAAATTCAAGCCCCAGGACTGGCAATAAACAAATAAATAAATGTGTATATATATATGACTTCAGGCATACTTCTTTTTGTGTATACTTCTTTTTTGCCAGTCCTGGGCTTGAACTCAGGGCATCTCTCATTGCACTGCTTTTTTTTTTTTTTTTTACTCATGGCTGGTGCTCTACTCCTTGAACCACACTCCAATTCCAGCTTTTATTTTATTTTTTACTGGTTGATTGGAGATTGGAGTCTCTAGAATTTATCTACCTGGACTGGCTTTGAATCAGGATTCTCAGATCTCAGCCTCCTGAGGAGTTAAGATTATGGGTGTAAGCCACCAGACCAGGCTCCTGGGCAGTTTTTGTGCTTCAGTCTTTTCTGGCAGCCTGTGCGCCACTAGGATGATCCAACTACAAATTTTATCCACCCTGCCCCCTCCCCCCCCCCCCCCCCCCCAAAAAAAAAGCGGCCTGAGAATAAGTTGATGCACACTTATTCCCAATCCATTAGGCCCTGACTAGGGTAAGGACAGAGATAGCACGCCCCCTGCTGGACACTTCCCCTGATTCTCAGGCCTCCTGCATAATTCTGTTTTCTCACAGGCTCCCATCATCTCCTGAGCTGCTTAGAGGAATCAACAGCTCAGCCTGGCTTAGCCTGAGCTAGTCAATCTGGAGGGGGGTGGGGGTGGGGTGGAGGGGGGGCTTCATCCTGCTGGCTGTCCCTGGCACCATAGCACACGCTTGGCCAACATGATCCACGGTGTGTGTGTGTGTGGGGAGGGGTGGCTCTCTAGGTCACGGCCAGCCCAGAGGCTCTCAGAAGCTGACCCAGAAAGCTGGGCCAACATTACCTGGTCCTGGTTGGCCTTCTGCTTTCCGAGTCACAAAAGCCATGCCATCCCGCACATAGGCTTATTTGTGAGTTCCGTTGGGCTGCCACTTCTTGCGATTCCCTGCTATGTTCCTGGAGTGGAATATAGTAATTACTCTCATTTGCCATGCTTGACATGCAAGCTGCCAAGGAAAGGACTTTCTCAACTCTTATCGCCCAGGGAGTGGTAAAATAGGGACTTAAAGGCCAGTCTCTGATGATTGTTGGTGGCTTACATATCATGCTAGCTACTCAGGAGGCTGAGCTCTGAGGATCAGGGTTCGAAGGCAGCCCAGGCAGGAAAGTTCATGAGACTCTTCTCTCCAATCCACTAGCCCCAAAATGCCAGAAGTGGAGATGTGGCTAAAGGGTAGAATGCTAGCCTTGAGCACAAAAGCTCAGGGTCAACACCTGGGCCCAGAGTTCAAGCCCCAGGACCAGGGATTAGGGAGAGAAGAAGGGCCACGGTGTGGAGTAGCTCAGTAGTACAGTTCTTTCCTAGCATGGACAAGGTCCCAGGTTCCATTCCCAAGTCAAACAATTTGGGTCCATATTGTTTACTCTGTAGTGAGGATATTCGTACCCAGTAATTCCCTTGGAATCCTGGCTCTGCTTCTTGTTGGCCAAGTGACCTTGGCACTCAGGAAGTAGAGTTTCTCTAGCTATAAAACAAGAGTAATAAAAGTCTCCGTGTAAGAATTATAAAGATCAAAGACACTTACCTATTTAATTGTAAGTACCATCATAATTTCAGGTCAGGCAGGCTTCCTGGAGAGGGTAAACATTAGGACACAGTACACAGAAAGCTGTTTCCCAGCCAACTTCTTCCACCCTGTCTCCTCCCCCATCTGGTGGCATCTATATAGTTAAAGAGCTTTCCAGCCAGATGCTGGTGGCTCACACATATAATCCTAGCTACACAGGAAGCTGAAATCTGAGGATTGCCAGTCTGGACAGGAAAGTCCCTGAGACCCTTATCTCCAATTATTCCCAGAAAAAGCAGGAAGTGGCTGGGTGTCAGTGGCTCACACCTGTCACCCTACCTACTCAGGAGGCTGAGATCTGAGGATCACGATTCAAAGCCAGCCCAGGCAGGAAAGTCCGTGAGACTCTTATCTTCAATGAACCACCAGAAAACTGGAAGTGGTGCTGTAGCTCAAGTGGTAGAGCTTAAGGACAGTGCCCAGGCCAAGCGTTCAAGGCCCAGGCCTGGCAAAAATAAATAAATAAATGCTTCCCAGGCTGGGCTCCACTGGTTCACACCTGTAATCCTAGCTACTCAGGAGGCTGAGATCTGAGGATCATCTTCTACTCTGAAGCCAGCCCAGGCTTCTGGGGTGTACTTTGACTGGCAGAGGAAACATAAAAGGTACAGCTACAGGGGAGCAAGAGGTCATCTGCGACTGTCACGTTGTCCTGATGTGGGAGGCATCTTGGTTCCCCAGCAGGAGCTAATGGACAGCAGGGCAGGTGTGACTGACCGGGCGCACTGTGTATTTATGTCCTAGGAGGCTAATGGCCCTGCAGATGGCTATGCTGCAATTGCCCAGGCGGACCGACTGACTCAAGAGCCAGAGAGCATCCGCAAATGGAGGGAGGAACAGAAGAAACGCCTGCAAGAGCTGGGTGAGGGCGGGGATACTGGCTGTGCTGGGAGTGGGCGGGGCTGGTGAGAGCCGGCGTCACGGGTTGGCTGATGTGCTGGGAGTGGGCGGGGCTGGTGAGAACCGGCGTCATGGGTTGGCTGGTGTGCTGGGAGTGGGCGGGGCTGGTGAGAGCCTGCTTCACGGGGCTGGCTGATGTGCTAGGAGTGGGTGGGGCTGGCTGCTGTGTGGGAGTGGGCGGGGCTGGGGAGAGTTGGTTTGCCGCGGATGCCTGCTGTTCTGGGAGTGGGCGGGGCTGGCGAGAGCCGGCTTCACATGGCTGATGTGCTGGGAGTGGGTGGGGCTGGTGAGAGCCGGCTCAATAGGATTGACTGCTGTGCTAGGAGTGGGCGGGGCTAGCGAGAGCCGGCTTCACGGGGCTGATGTGCTGGGAGTGGGCGGGGCTGGTGAGAGCCGGCGTCACGGGTTGGCTGGTGTGCTGGGAGTAGGAGGGGCTGGTGAGAGCCTGCTTCTTGGGGCTGGTGTGCTGGGAGTGGACGGGGCTGGTGAGAGCCTGCTTCACGGGGCTGGCTGAGGTGCTAGGAGTGGGCGGGGCTGGTGAGAGCCGGCGTCACGGGTTGGCTGGTGTGCTGGGAGTGGGTGGGGCTGGCTGCTGTTCTGGGAGTGGGGGGGCTGGTAAGAGCCGGGCTTCGCGGGATTGCCTGATGTGCTGGGAGTGGGCGGGGCTGGTGAGAGCCTGCTTCACGGGGCTGGCTGATGTGCTGGAGTGGGCGGGGTTTGTGAGAGCCGGCGTCACGGGTTGGCTGGTGTGCTGGGGATGGGCGGGGATGGGGAGTAGGCGGGGCTGGTGAGAGCCGGCGTCACGGGTTGGCTGGTGTGCTGGGAGTGGGCGGGGCTGGAGAGCTGGCTCGGCCGGGTTAGCTATTGGGATGGGCAGGGTCTAGGCTTGGGGGTCGTGGAATCGCACACTGCCCTAGTGTGGATGGGGGGTGGCGGGAGGGCGAGCTCAGGGGCTGCTGTCAGGGGCTCAGGGGTGATTACCGGGGCAGCCGTGCCCACAGCGAAGCTGCCATTCATTCTCGGGTTGGGTGGCAGATGCGGCCTCGAAGGTGACAGAGCAGGAGTGGCGGGAGAAAGCCAAGAAGGACCTGGAGGAGTGGAACCAGCGCCAGAGCGAACAAGTGGAGAAGAACAAGATTAATAACCGGTAAGAGGAGGCCCGGGGACAGGAGGAATTGCGGGGCGTGATGGATGGCGTTGGGGAGGTGATCTGGGGAGGCAGGAGCATCTTGGGAGGAAATTCTCCCTCAGGGCCCCAGGGTCAATGCCATGAGTGCCCGAGGAGGTCAGGGCCCTTGGGGCACAGGAGGAAGCAGGGTTGGGTGGGCAGATCCTCGGGTTTGATGGGCAAGCAGCCCACCATCTATCTCTGGCACTCTGTGTCCTGGTTAGGGTCAGAGTGGGCACAGGCCTGGCTGGGAGAATGTAGGATTTAGTACTTTTAGCCAGTCCTGGGGCTTGAACTCAGGGCCTGGGCACTGTCCCTGAGCTTCTTTTGCTCAAGGCTAGCACTCCACCACTTGAGCCACAGCACCAGTTCTGGCTTTTTCTGTATGTGAGGTACTAAGGAATGCTAGGCAAGCACTCTACCACTAAGCCACATTCCCAGCCCTATTATTATTATTATTGTGTGTGTGTGTGTCAATACTGAGGCTTGAATTTGAATTCAGGGCCTGGGCACTACCCTTTGGCTTTGGCTGTGTGTGTGTGTGTGTGTGTGTGTGTGTGTGTGTGTGTGTGTCTGTCTGTCTGTTATGGTGCTTGAAATTCAGGGCCTGGAGCACTGTCCCTGAGCTTTTGTGCTCAAGGCTAGTGCTATACCACTTTTTTTATTTTTATTTTTGCCGGTTGTGGGGCTTGAACTCTAGGCCTGGGCATTGTCCCTGAGCTCTTCAGGTCAAGGCAAGCGCTCTGCCACTTGAGCCACAATGCCACTTCTGGTTTTCTGATAAGCGTCTCATGGAATTTCCTGCCTGGGCTGGCTTTGAACTGCGATCCTCAGATCTTGGCCTCCTGAGTAGGTAGTATTACAGGCATGAGCCACCTACGCCTGGCTTGCTCTACCACTTGGAGCCACAGCTCCACTTTTGTTTTTTTTTGTTGTTGATTGGAGAAAAGAGTCTCCTTTGAACCATGATCCCCATATTTCAGCCTCCTGAGTAGCTAGGATTACAGACACGAGCCACCACTGCCTGACTTCCTTTGACTTTTTTTTTTTGTCCATTGTGGGGGCTGTGCAACCTTCATGGTACTAGATCTTTCTGGAAAGACTAGGAACTTGTCACAGTTGTATTTCAGAAATGAGGCATGCTGGGCTGTGGACTGGGCACTAGGGAACAAGAGATAAAGAGTACCCACCATGTCCTCAAAGGGCTGAGAGGAGAATCTCAAACATGTAAAGTGGATCTTGGAAACAGAGGGGCCACAGAAGCAAGGGAAGAAAGGAGAAGGCTGGGGAGAAATGCATGCATTTGGAGACTGGGGCTTTAAAAGCTGAGTAGGAGGGCATTTGAAGGAAAGGGCTGGGTATAAAAGAGTGCATTCCAGGCCTGGTAGGAAAGAAAAGATATGTGTTGGGCCACAGGAATTGGAGGGATATCAGAAAGTAGGACAGGTCAAGAGGGGCATCCTCTTGGGAGGGACCTGGCCAATGGAGAGCCTTGAAAGGTTTCCAACAGGAGAGTTGTCCAATCAGAACTAACTTCTAGCTAGGCCACAATGGCTAGGGAAGAGAGTAAGATTCCCATGTTCCTCTCTGGAGCCTTGGAGAGTTGCTGATTTTCCCAAGCCATGCTTCCTAACATGTTACTGACTGGAGGTACTAACGCTGTCTCTCTTTCTCTTTAACCCTCTGTCTGCTTGTCCTGATGTCTGTCTGCCCCCACCTAACCTCTTTCCCTCAAGGATCGCTGACAAAGCATTCTACCAGCAGCCAGATGCTGATATCATCGGCTACGTGTACGTGACTACTTTGCTGTCTGTTCAGGGAGCTGCAAAAAGGGGACAGGAAGCTGGGGGTGGGGGTGTGGTACATGGTTTGTTTGCTTACTTATATTTATTTATTTTTGTCAGTCATGGGGCTTGAACTCAGGGGGCGCTGTCTCTGAGCTCTTAGCTCAAGGCGAATGCTCTACCACTTGAAGCACAGCTCCACTTTTGGTTTTCTGGTGGTTCATTGGATAAGAGTTTCACAGACGTTCCTGTCTGGGCTGGCTTTGAACTGGGATCCTCAGATCTCAGCCTCCTGAGTAGTTAGGATGACAGGCGTGAACCACCAGTGCCCGGTTACTTTGGACTTTTTGATGGTTAGCTGGCGATAGGAATCTCAGGGCCTTTCCTGCCCCGGTTGGCTTTGAACCTTGGTCTTCAGATCTCAGCTTCCTGAATAGCTAGGCTTACAGGTGTGGTACCCAGCTAACACAGGGGTCTGGAATCTGCTTGTACGGTTCAAGTGCATGTAGCTAGGGCTCGGAATGAGCGCTGGCATGAATCCTGGCCTCTGTCCCTCCATGTTCTCCAGCAATCTAGAGGCAGCTTTCTGAATCCAACTACAGGGCAAGGGCAGAGAAAAGAATATGCTGGTCAGCCCTGCGTGGGAGAGGGAAAGGGCAGGGCCACCCAGGTCCTCGTCTCAGCTGCTTTTGGGGGTGGGTGGGATAAAGGGATCTTTTATTGGAGAAAATAAATACGGAGCAAGAGGCACTGAAGGCCTAAAAGCTAAGAGATGCTTTCATTTTTATTTTTGTTTTTTGGTCATGTGTGGGGCTTGAACTCAGGGCCTGGGCGCTGTCCTCAGCTCTTTAGTTCAAGGCAAGCGCTCTACTACCTGAGCCACAGCGCCACTTCCGGTTTTCTGGTGGTTTATTGGAGATAAGAGTCTCACGGACTTTCTTGCCCAGGCTGCCTTTGAACCACCATCCTCAGATCTCAGCTTCCTGAGGAGCTAGGATGACAGGCGTGAGCCATCTGTGCCCGGCCTAGGCTGGTTTTGAACCAGGATCCTCAGATCTCAGCCTCCTTGAGTAGTTAGGATGATCAGTGTGAGCCTCTGATTCCTAGCAACAGGATGCTGTTCTTCCCTTCCATCCTCAAATGCACAGACTGACTGGGACCCGCCCCCCCCCCCCCCCCCCCCCACCAGGAACCTCACTCACATTGGTTCGAGTCCAGCTCCAACTGTGACTTTTTTTTTTTTTTTTTGCCAGTCCTTGGGCTTGAACTCAGGGCCTGGGCACTGTCCCTGAGCTTCTTTCCCTCAAGGTTAGCACTCTACCACTTGAGCCACAGCCCCACTTCCCCTGCTTATATGGTGCTTAGGAATCGAACCCAGGGCCTCATGCATGCAAGGCAAGCACTCTACCACTGAGCCACCTTCCCAACTCCATCTGTGACTATTTTGAGCTGGGATCTTACACAGGTCTCCTCGGTGCTGCCTCATTGTTTGCTATGGCAGTCTGGAGGGTGGTATTGGGGATTCTGAATTGGCAGGGGAAATGTGGGCATTTCTGATTGTTGTGGGGCACACGAATGTGTGCTCAGTACTTCCAAGCATCCTCTGCTGCCCTCTGAGCTCACCTTTCCCTTGTACAACTTAGCTCACAGCACAGCATCTTCCTCTCCTTCCTTCTGCTCCCTCTTCCTCCGGGCTGGTACTGACCGTCTACCACTATCCGATCAAATAGGAATAAGACACACATGTTCCTTACCTCACGTTCCTTTGGTCTGGAGTGCATTCTGCTAAGAGTCATGTGAGATGATATTCAGGGCTCTGGATACCACCCAGGACCCACCCAAAAGATCGGTTACCTCCGGCTGGACTTCCAAGTGTAAGAAGGAATCAGGCAGCGGTGGCTTATGCCTGTCATCCTAGCTACTCAGGAGGCTGAGATCTGAAGATCGCAGTTCAAAGCCAGCCCAGGTAGGAAAGTTTGAGAGTCTTTTATCCACTTAACACCCCAGAAATGTGCAGAAATGGAGCTGTGGCTCAAGCGGCGGAGCTCTAGCCTTGAGTGAAAAAGCTAAGGGTCAGTGCCCCAAGCCCCAAGTTCAAGCCCCAGGACTGGCACTAAAAAATCAAAAGTGAAAAGAAGTCTTCCTAGAAAAAGGGCTCTTCAGGGATCCTTGCTGACCCAAGAGGACACAGCCAGCTTTTCACCCTAACAATCCTCTATTTTTGTTGTTCTGTACCAGTCTTGGTGGGGCTTGAACTCAGGGCCTGGGAGCTGTCCCTGAGCTTTAGTGCTCAAGTCTAGCACTCTACCACATGAGCTACATCTCCACTTCCAGCCTTTTGTGGTTCATTGGAGAATAGAGTCCCACAGACTTTCCTGCCCCAACTGGCTTCATGATCCTCGGATCTCAGCCTCCTGAGTAGCTAGGATGACAGACATGAGCCACTTGGGTTTCCTTTGCTGACAAAGATATGATGGTTACAGGGTTTGGGAGGGAAGGATGGGATAATGTCCTCTTATAGCTTGGTACTGATCTGGCAGCCCCCTCCCACCCCCAATCATGGAATCTCTGACTCTTCTCCCTCCACAGGGCATCTGAAGAGGCTTTTGTGAAGGAATCCAAGGAGGAGACCCCCGGCACAGAATGGGAGAAGGTGGCCCAGCTGTGTGACTTCAACCCGAAGAGTAGCAAGCAGTGCAAAGACGTGTCGCGGCTGCGTTCGGTGCTCATGTCTCTGAAGCAGACGCCGCTGTCCCGCTAGGTGCCCGCTGGGTAGCTGGGCCATAGAGTATGAGTTGTCAAGGGCCAGAGGAGAAGCAGTTGCTTGAGGCCACGGGGAAGTTCTTCCCCTGGCAGCTGCTGGGCACAGCTGGTTTGGTTCCTCTCCATCTCCTGGGATCGGGAAGGGGGGGCCCCCATCCCTCTCTCCTTTCTGGCCCTCATGCCTCCCCCCAAGTCCGGTCAGTTCTGAGTGTCCTTCCTGACATGTTTTTTTTTTCCTTCTTGGCTTAAAGGGTGTGTTGTTAACTCTTTTTACACGTATTTATTATCATCCTCATTTCTCTGGAAGCCATAACTGGTCTCAGGGTTCAGTTTGTGCTTAGATTTCCCCCCTCCCTTCCCCCCCCCAGCTTCATGGCATTAAGAGGTGAGGATGTATCCCTTGGAAATCTGGGCGACAACCCAAAGGGGAGTCCCGGGCTGTGTATGTCTGCAGCCTCTCTCCCCAGGAGAAAGCCCACCTTGTACAGAATACTTTACTGCAGGCTGGTTTTTAACCACCTGTGAGACAGACACTGAACCTAGACAGCTGGGTGCTGGTGGCTTACACCTGTCATTCTAGCTACTCAAGAGGCTGAGATCTGAGGATCACGGTTCAAAGCCAGCCCAGGCAGATAAAGCTGTGACCCTTGTCTCCAATTAACCACCAAAAAGCCTGAAGCAGTGGCTCAAGTGGTAGAATACTAATCTTTCTTCCTTCCTTTCCTTTCTTTTTGCCAGTCCTGGGGCTTGAACTCAGGTCCTAGGCACTGTCCCTGAGCTTCTTTCGCTCAAGGTTAGCACTCTTACCACTTGAGCCACAGTGCTATTCCTGTGTTTTCTGTTTATGTGGTACTAAGGAATGGAAGCTTTGATTTCATGAATGCTAGACAAGGACTCTACCACTAAGCCACATTCCCAAGCCCCTAGAATGCTAGTCTTGAGGGTAAAAGCTGAATGACAGTGCCCAGGCCCTATGTTCAAGCCCCAGTACCAGTACAAAAACCAAATAAATACAGCCAAAGACACCAAGACTCCCCCAGAGGAAATGATAAACCCACAGGTGCCTAGTAGTGGCTTCTAAGGCTGGGTTGAGAGGCTGGTGAAGGTAGCTATTGCCAGATTCCTGTTTGGAGCTGGCCAGAACCCTGTAGATGTGGAGGTCGATAGCTGTGTCTAGTTCTGTCTCCCTTTCAAGCTGAGTCCTCCTGTAGATTTAGGATAAACAATCAGCAACCACACCTTCTTCTCCTTTAGTACAGGCAGTAAACAGGACGAGGAAGCCATTGTGATCTGTACCATGTCAAAAAAAATGTCTGAGTAGTTGCCAACAGTATTTAGTCCCAAGAGCCGTCATAACAAAGTATCACAAGCTGGTTGGCTCACAACACTGTCTCTGTTCTGAAGGCTTCAAGTGTAAGATGAAGTTGTCATTAGGGCCATTCTCCCTGGTGGACTTAGGGAAGGATCCTTGGCTCTTTCCTTGGCTCCAGCGGCTCAGGCTTTCCTGGATTTGCAGATATTTCCATTGTCACATGGCCCCTTCATCTCCCTAGGGCCTCTGGCTTCATATTGAATGGTGGCCAAGTTTTCACTTAGCTTTTTCACTCATGGCTGTCACTCTACCACGTAAGTTTTTTTTTTTTGGCTTTTTTGGTGGTTCATTGCAACTAGGAGTCTCACAGACTTTTCTGCCCGAGCTGGCTTCGAAAGGTGATCCTCAGATCTCAGCCTCCTGGGCAATCCTAGGATTACAGGTGTGAGCCACTGGCCCCTTGCACCCTTGTGAAAATTGGACTCAGGCTCACCCTTACGACCTCATTTGACTACACTACCTATTGCCAAAGATGGTCACATTTTCAGGAAGGAGTAAGCACTTTTTGGGGAAAGAAGCATAAAACTAATACTTAACCAATAGTGGTTATCCCCTCTAAACGTTCCCCAGTCCTCATCTGTATGTGTGTGTGTGTGTGTGTGTGTGTGTGTGCACGCGCGCGTGTGCTGGGGAACTGAACTCAGGGTCTGGGCATTGTCGCCTTTTACACTCAAGCCGGCATTCTACCACTTGGGCACACACCTCCACTTCCTGCTTGGTGGACAATGATTTTTTTTTCTCCTGCACTTTGCTGTCTGGGCTGGCTTCCAACTGCAATCCTCAGATCTCAAGCCTTCTGAGTAGCTAGGATTACAGGCATGAGCCACTGGTGCCCAACCTTTCCTTGTATCTTGAGGTCTAGGGTGAACACAATGCACTGCTCTCCATTTGCAGTGTCTCCCAGCTGAGATCATAAAGGAGTCAAGGAACTTAGATGGCTTCGAACACACACTTTTCACTCATATCTAGACTGTCAGGGCCTCAAGGAGGGGATCATCTTCTTCATTCCCTCTCCCCTTCTGCCAACCTGAAGTTGGTATTGCAAAAGGGGTCACCCATGGGAGGGTCCTAGGTCCCCCAATTCACAGCAGGACCAAGAAAACCTGCTGAAGACTTCAAAACGTGGAATGGAGCCTAGGGCCGGCAATTTATGCCTGTAAGCCTAGCTACTCAAGAGCTGACATCTGAGGATCATGGTTTATAGCCAGCCTGAGAAATCGCCCAGATTTAGAAAAAAAAATTCACCATAAACCAGGAAAACGCTGGAAGTGGAGGCGTGTGGCTGAAGTGGCAGAGCACTAGCCTTGAGCAAAGAAGCTAAGGGACAGCGCTCAGGTCCTAAGTTCAAGCCCCAGTACTGGCACAAAACAACAAAATGTGGGATGGTCTAGATCAAACCTCTCAGGAGGTTTGGAGTGGTGTGAAGAGATGGAAGGCCAGAACACCCTTGTTCTGACACAACGGTGGCAGACTTCCCCAGAAGGCTACTGCAAGTTCGAAAGCTACTGATATGATAGATCTCCCCCTTCTCTCCAAATAGCACCAGGACCACTGAACTAGAATTTAAAGAAGGGGCATCTGGGAATCAGTACTTTGACCCAGTGCCCCAGGTGACAGTTATGAAGACGGGTTACTAGACTTGTAAAAGATCACCAACCTATAGTTCGTGGAGAATAGAATTCACCAACTCCATGCGGATTAGAGTTTATTCAGTATCGAGTGGAGGGGATGTGGCACAAACCCAAGTATGGCAAACCCAAACTAAACCAAACCTGGGATTTCTGAAGAAAACAAAAACAACAACCAAAAAACCTGTCGATGACAACAATGGGCCACATCCTTCCACAACGGGACCTGTTTGATGTCTTCCATCGGGGCTGGTGGTTGGCTCCTAGACTCTGGAATCCTCTCGGTGGGAGCTTGCAAGGCTCGGGCGTGAGTTCAGGCCCGAGATTTCACGGAGGACGCAGCTAAACCCACCAAGATGGCCACGATGGTGAAGCCCTGGGCGGCGATCCGGGTACGCATCATGAGCTGGGAGCGGTGGGGCTGGCCCCGGTGGAAGCAGTAGAGGCCGTAGCACAGGGCGGCCGTGGTGCCCAGGCATCCTGGGGAGGGGACAACAGGCCGGGTTGGCGGATCCTTTCTGGATGTAGCCACTCCACCAACGCCATGGGCCCGAGCCCCGTCCAGACAGCGCCTGGGACGGTGGCCGCGCAGCGGGTGGGGGGTGTGTCTTCCTCGGCCCAGGCCCCACCCCCTCCGCCCTAAGCCCGCCCCTAAGGCCGCGCCACTCCCGTTCCGATTGGTCCCATCCCTAATCGCCCCGCCCCGTCGCCACACCTCTAGCCTTCCCACCTCCGGCCCGCCCCTATGTCATTCCCCCCCCCGGACAGGATGGCAGTTCCCGGTGTCGAAGGTTCCCACGACACACACTTACCTATGGGCACCATTGGGTTCTCGCGGGTCTTGCGGATGAACTTTTCCTTGAAGCTTTCCGTCTGGCCGTGCGCAGTGGGTTTGAAGCCCTCGATGACGGGGGGCTGCGAGGGTTCAAAGGGCATCTCCGGATTCACAGGGCCCGGAGTAGTCATGTTCCTGGAGAGCCCAAGTCGGAGAATACCGGGACGCCACGCTCCGCCTCCTGATGAGGTCACGAAAGGGGCGGGAGCAAGAGAAACACCCAACAAATTGACCAGAGGACGCATGCGTGGAGGGGGGGGGGGCGCTCCCGTTGCATCCTGGGAGTGGTAGTCCTCAGCGTGGAAAGTCATCCGGGAAAGACTACGTTTCCCAAGAAGCCTTGCAGAAGAGGCCTGGCCCACCGGAAGAAGTCCGCTTAAACACGCGGCTCTGAGAGCACGGTGCGCGTGGGGCGGGCGGGGAAACCGCTGTGTTCCACGCCATGCCCAAGGCCAAGGGCAAGACCCGCAGGCAGAAGTTCGGTTACAATGTCAACCGCAAGCGTCTGAACCGGAATGCTCGGCGGAAGGCGGCGCCGCGCATCGAGTGGTGAGGAGCGGCGGGCGCGCGGCCTGGGGGGGGGGGAGGCCGGGCGCGCGGCCTGGGCCTGGGCCTGGGGGGGAGGCCGGGCGCGCGGCCTGGGCCTGGGCCTGGGGGGGGGGAGGCCGGGCGCGCGGCCTGGGCCTGGGCCTGGGGGGGAGGCCGGGCGCGCGGCCTGGGGGGGGGGGAGGCCGGGCGCGCGGCCTGGGCCTGGGCCTGGGGGGGGGGGGGAGGCCGGGCGCGCGGCCTGGGCCTGGGCCTGGGGGGGAGGCCGGGCGCGCGGCCTGGGCCTGGGCCTGGGGGGGGGAGGCCGGGCGCGCGGCCTGGGCCTGGGCCTGGGGGGGGGAGGCCGGGCGCGCGGCCTGGGCCTGGGCCTGGGGGGGAGGCCGGGCGCGCGGCCTGGGCCTGGGCCTGGGGGGGGGGGGAGGCCGGGCGCGCGGCCTGGGGGGGGGGGGAGGCCGGGCGCGCGGCCTGGGCCTGGGCCTGGGGGGGGGAGGCCGGGCGCGCGGCCTGGGGGGGGGGGAGGCCGGGCGCGCGGCCTGGGCCTGGGGGGGGAGGCCGGGCGCGCGGCCTGGGCCTGGGCCTGGGGGGGGGAGGCCGGGCGCGCGGCCTGGGCCTGGGCCTGGGGGGGGGGAGGCCGGGCGCGCGGACTGGGCCGGGGCCTGCCGGGGGCGTGTCTCGGCCCAGTGCTCGCTGGCGGGGGGCGGAGGGCGAGGCGGGGCGGGGGGGGGGGGGATCTCGGGCCGGGCGGCCCAACCGAGACGGACAGGCCTCGATCTTGCTGTCCTGGGCCGGTAGCTCCCACATCCGACATGCCTGGGACCACAGCAAATCGGTGCGGCAGAACCTGGCGGAGATGGGGCTGGCCATGGACCCCAACAAGGCGGTCCCCCTCCGGAAGAGAAAGGTACTGACAAACTCCCTTTCCTCCTGTGAGTGGCTGGGTTTCAGACCTTGATCCATCCTCCCTCCCTCCCTCCCTCCCTCCCTCCCTCCCTCCCTCCTCCCTCCTTCCTTCCCTCCCGCTTTTCCTCCCTCTCTCCCTTCCTTTCTCTCTCATTGACTTGTCAAGATCAACGCTCTCTTGACACCATCCCTCACCTCCCCCAGCCTGCATTTGGAGTCTCCATTCCTTCTCCACTCCAATATTTTTCCTCTGACTCTAGTTGCTTTTTTTTATTTGTATTTTTGTCGGTCGTGGGGCTTGAACTCTGGGCCTGTGCGCTGTCCCTCAGCCCTTCAGCTCAAGGCCATCGCTCTACCACTTGAGCCACAGAGTGGTCTTCAGAGTGGTTCATTGGAGATCAGAGTCTCTTGGACTTTCCTTGCCCAGGCTGGCTTTGAACCACCATCCTCAGATCTCAGCCTCCTGAGGAGCTAGGGTGACAGGCGGGAGCCACTGGTACCCGGCTAAGGCAATTTACTTTGGCGCAAAAGGGTGCAATGCCATTACTCTATCTAGAGCTAGGCAGGGCAGTTCAATAGTCTTTGATTACAATTCAAACCATCCCTCTTCCTTCTCAAGGAGTTAGACTCATAGTCTAAGTATAATGGACTACCAAGGTTAGAAAGGATACCATTTTTTGATTCCTGTCAAAGGCTTTTTTCTTTTTCATTTAACAATCCACAGTTTATTGTTTTAAGTTCTTCACCATAAAACTTATGTCTCTAACATCACTCACTAGTAACCACCAGTACAGATAATAGTTACAATTGAAGTAAATAAAGCAAATAATTCCAGGAAATGTCAGTAGACCATTCCAAATACACTTTAGTTGGACAGAAAGGAATACTTTTTCTTCACACCTTGGCATCTCAGTAGGATCTTCCATAATTGATGTTTTTCTGCCCTTGGAGTTTGAGATCTGTACTGTTGTTTCCTATTCTTTTTTTTTTTTTTGCCGGTCATGGGGCCTGAACTCTGGGTCTGGGCGCTGTCCCTGCGCTCTTCAGCTCAACCTACTAGCACTCTTACCACTTGAGCCACAGTGCCACTTCAGGCTTTTTCTACTTTTTTTTTTTTTTCCTGGCTTTCTCTACCACTGAGTCACCTTCCCAGCCCTCCTATTCATTGTTGGGCTGAAGCTTCTCTAACCCTTGCTTCTCTCCAGGAAGTCTTTTGTTCTGGCTTCGCCCAGTTACCTCTTCACTGCTTTAATTTGTGGCTGTTAAGTTCATGCTGGTGGGTTACTTATTTGCATATCTGCTTCTTATCTATGCCTCTTCACAGCCCAACATAAATTCCTTGGTGATTACTATCTCCTTGGGTATGATTGCTAAATTCCCAGGTTAGTTCACCTGCTGCTGGGGCTTTCTGAATGAATTATCTTTAGTCAAGTTTCTTTTCAGGCCTTCATACCAGAGGACACTGGTACCCCTCACTTCCCTTCCCTGACCCCTCCCTCTTCCCCTCCTGGTATTGGGGCTTGAACTCAAGAGTCCAGATGCTATCCCTGAGCTTTTCCCACTCAAGGCTAACGCTCTCCCACTTGAGCTACAGGTCCATTTCCAAGTTTTTGGTGGCTCATTGGGGATAAGAGTCTCACAGACTTTCTTGCTCAGTCTCGCTTTAAACCACGATTTTCAGATCTCACCCTTGCTCTATTTAGAGCAAGCATGAGCCATGAGCACCTGGCACAGTTTCATAAACAAGTGTGAAAGTAGAGGGAAGCAGTAGGACTTCCGGTACACCTCACAGAGAAGATACCTGACATCTCTTCCTCAGTGAAGTGTACAAACACTTCCTGTGAAGATTGTTGCACCCAGTTACCCCAAGGGAGTGAGCAAGGGGAAAAGTGTTAAAGCATTACTCCCCGAGGCCACACCTTAGTACATGCCATTGGCTATCAGTGCTTTGTTTTTGCTGGTATTGGGACTTGAACTCAGGGCCTGGGCCCTGTCCCTTAGCTTTTTCAATCAAGGGTGTTGTTCTTGAGTTACACCTCCACTTCAAGGCTTATGGTAGTTAATTGGAGATAAGAGTCTCATGGACATTCCTGCTTGGGCTGCCTTTGAACCACGACCTTGAGATCTCAAGCCTTCTGGGTACCTAGGATTATAGGTGTGAGTGGACTAGCTCCCAGCTTGTTTATGGGTTTTACATATTATCACTGGAGAAGCGAATTACTTGCTGTATTTTCTTAAGGCAACTGTGATGTGAATATTTGTTGTAGAAACCTTCAGGGCTCGGTGTCCCCTGTTACCTAGTTCTGCCTGACCAAAAGGCTTCTCAGGGATAATATAGTTGTATAATATACATAACATAGTTGTAAACTATATACTACAGTTGCCCTATTTGTAGTATAGTTATAGTGGGATGGGCAGGATCTCTCCCTGATCCCAGTCAAACCTTCCTCCCTGATCAAAGGTCCTTTGTGTGGTTTGCTCTGCAGGTGAAGCCCATGGAGGTGGATGGAAAGGAGAGGCCCAATGACATTGTGCGGAAGCCCTATGTGCTAAATGGTGGGTGTGGCCTAGATTCCTCGCTCTCCGGTCCCAGTGGCATTGGAAAAGGGTCCTCAGTGTCCTCATTTTACAGCTGTAGAGAGGAAGGTTGAAAGAGGAGGCGTGAGCTGGTTCAGGGATCACATTTAGGTCTGTGTTCTTGGCTGAGACATTTTCAGGCTAGAACTGACTGAACCTAAACGTGAGCTATGGTCAGAGATACTCAGGGAGGACATAGCCAGGTCCCTGGGAGGATGGAGAATATACCAGTAAATACGAACTGATTTGTTATTGCTGGTCTTGAGGCTTGAACTCAGGGCCTGGGCTCTGTCCCTGAGCTTTTGTGCTCAAGGCTGGCACTCTACCACATGAGCCACGGCTCTGCTTCCAACTCTCTTGGTGGTTCGTTGGAGATAAAGAGTCTCATAGACTTTCCTGTTAGGGCTGACTTTGAGCCATGACCCTCCGATCTCAGCCTCCTGAGTAGTTAAGATGACAGGTGTGAGCCACCAGCACCCAGCCAGCTCAGGAGTCTGCCTTTTAAACCCTCCCAGGCCTGGAGAAAGTGACTAGCACACTTAAAATGATATGCTGGATCTTAGGAGGGAGACGTCTAGGGCTGAAGAGAAAGGTTCAAGTTAATTTGGGAATGGATTGGGGTCGCGATTCTTGTGGCATGTTGGACAGCTCAGATAAGCTAGAAGGCAACGTCTCACTCAGTCTCCTGCTCTCCTCCTGCCTCAGATCTGGAGGCAGAAGCCAGCCTTCCAGAAAAGAAAGGAAACACGCTGTCTCGGGATCTCATTGACTATGTCCGCTACATGGTAGAGAACCACGGGGAAGACTATAAGGTGAGCGGCTGGGGGCAGGCAGGAGGAAGCCCTGGGCCTTGCTGGGAAGACACACAGGACTGCTGTGGCCGGGTCTGCTTGCTCGAGACTGAGTAGGAAGGAGGAAGACAGGAATGGAGCATGGAACCATTGACAGGGAACTAGTGTGAACACAGGCTGGTAGCAGGGACAGAGGGAGCGGCCCAAGGCTCCCAGCACGCACAGAGGCCATTTTCCTTCCATGTTTTTATTTATTTTTCTGTCAGTCGTGGAGCTTGAACTCTGGGCCTGGGTGCTGTCCCCGCGCTCTTCAGCTCAAGGCGAGTGCTCTACTGCTCGAGCCACCGAGCCACTTCTGGTTTATTGGAGATCAGAGTCTCATGGACTTTCCTGCTGGGGCTGGCTTTGAATCTGGATCCTCAGTTCTCAGCCTCCTGGGTAGCTAGGATGACAGGCGTGAGCACTGGTGCCCAGCTTAATTTTATTCCTATTAAGGTGATGTCCAGAAGGGTTGCAATTCCATAAATCAAGTAATGAATGTAATTCTTAGACAACGTCACCCCATCCTTTGCTTTCCCCCAGTTTCCCTTCCTGAAAGAACTTGAACTAAAGCTGGCTGCCAGTGGCTCATGCCCATAATCCTAGCTACTCAGGAGGCTTAGGTCTGAGGATTACAGTTCAAAGCCAGTCTGGACGGGAAAATCACTCTCCCTCCCCTCCCCCCACTAACTTGAACTCATTGCCATTTTAAGTATGCTAAGGGTCAAGTAAAGGCCTATTTTTGGCTTTTCTTCTTTTTGGTCAGTCGTGGGGCTTGAACTCTGGGCTTGGGTGCTGTCCCTTACTTAGCTCTTCAGCTCAAAGTGAGCATTTTACTGCTTGAGCCACAGTGCCACTTCTGGTTTTCTAGTGGTTTATTGGAGATAAGAGGCACTGACTTTTCCTGCCCAGGCTGGCTTTGAACCTCAGTCGTCAGATCTCAGCCTCCTGAGTAGCTAGGGTTACATGTGTGAGTGAGCCACAGTACTGGGCTTTTTTTTTTTTTTTTTTTTTTGCTTGTCTCGGGACTTGAACTCAGGATTTAGGCACTGTCCCTTAACTTTTTTGCTCAAGGCTAGCACTCTTACCATTTGAACCACAGCTCCACTTCTGGCTTTTTGGTGGTTAATTGGTGATAAAGAGACTTGGGGACTTGACCTGGGCTGGCTTTGAACTGCGATTCTTAGATCTAGCCTCCTGAATAAGATTTAAGCATTAGCCACCAGTGCTCAGCCTTTTTTTTTTTTCCTTTAAATGAAAATTGCTAGGTGGGCCTTGGTGGTTCACATGCACCATGACTTTGAGGCTAGGAATTCAGATCTCAAGGCTAAAAAGTGACTCACTTAGTTCAGGTAAAACTAGGGTTTGAGCCTTTGCCTGTTCGGCCCTCCTCAGTGATGGTCCCTCTTCTTTCCTAGGCCATGGCCCGGGATGAGAAGAATTACTATCAAGACACCCCCAAACAGATTCGGAATAAGATCAACATCTATAAGCGATTTTACCCAGAGGAATGGCAAGCCTTCAGCGAGTCTCTGCAGGATAGGAAGATGGACGTGGAGTGACTGGCTTTCACCGCCTCCAGCCTGCACGTCTTCTGCACCAAAGAAGCCAGCATCAGGCTTTAAGGCAAGGAGTGGAGAGCTGCAGATGAGACTGGTTGGATTCTGTGGAATCAGATTATTGGGGTGCACGCACACAGGAGTAACTACCCTATTCTCTGGGTCTCAGAAAAGCCCACACTTGGCTGTGTTCACAGAGGTGGCCTTATCTGAATAGAATCTGTACATAGAATAAAACCAAGGATATTTTGCTCATCTTTTTTTTGCTCATTTTTTTTTTGCTCATTGGCTGGTGCTCTACCAACTGAGCCACGCCTCCAACCTCGACATTTTGCTTCTCTGATGGTTTTGGATTTACCTAGCCCAGCCACGCCCTGGAGCTGCCACAGAGAAGACCAGCCCTGCCAGGGCAGGGTCCTGCCCGATGGTACTAGCCACGGCTTGCATGTTCTTGTAGTGCAGCCTCCTTGCTCTTCATCGCTGTCTTACCTTGGTTTTCTGTATAGCATTTCCACTTGCTCTCCTCCCAAAGCTTGCTGGGAGACCTGGCCTGTGCACTCGTATTTCTGGTCCCACCCCAGATCAGTTCTACTTCCTGCCCAGTGAAGGAGCCAGCTACTGGCCCTGCCCTCCTTCATTCATTGTGTTAGCTTTGTCTTGAACTGAACCCCAGATCCCCAAACCTCCTCCTCCAGGATAGCTGTGTATACCTGTTTTTTTTTTTTTGTTGTTGGTTGTGGGGCTTGAACTCAGATCTGGATGCTGACCCTGTACTCAAGGCTAGTGCTATACCACTTGGCCACACCTCTACCTCTAGAGTTTCATGACTTTCCTGCTCAGGCTGGCTTTGAACTGTGATCCTCAGATCTCAGCCTCCAGAGTAGCTAGGATGATAGGCATGAGCTACCAGCGCCCTGCTGCATACCATTCTCATATGCTACACAGAGAGGTCCCAGACAGCCTGACTGGCCCCCCTCAGACCAGGCCTGCCTGAGCTGGTGGCACGCGAGGTGTTTTGAAACAGGATGGAAGGGATGAGTGGTTTCAGCCCTTCTATCTACTTAAGTCATAATCCTCTCTGCTCTTGAGCAGGGGAAAGGGGAATAGGTGGGAGAATGGGAGGGAATCTTGATTCCAGGCCAGTGGAGCAAAGTGAGACTCTTACCTCATGAAATAAGCTGGGTTATCCAAACTGATCCCAATGATCCTAGCTATGTGGGAAGTAGGTGTAGGTAGGATGGATGGCGGAGAAATGACTGAAGCCAAAAAAGGCTGGGGAGAGTGCACTTTATGTGAGGTCTTGCACACACCTTCATCTTAGAGGTGTGCAATCCCGAAAGCAACCCAGCATCACTATCGGATGTGTTAGGACAGGCCAAACACCTCTTTTTACTCAGACTTTTTTTGTCAGTTGTGGGGCTTGAACTGAGGGCCTGGGAGCCATCCCTGATCTATTTTGCTCCAGGCTACCTCTCTACCACTTGGAGCCACAGCTCTACTTCAGGTTTTCTGGTAGTTAATTTGGTGATGGGTCTCCTGGACTTTCCTACCCGGGGCTGGCTTTGAACCATAATCCTCAGATTTCAGCCTCCTGAGTAGTAGGATGACAGGTGGGAGCTACCAGCGCCCAGCTTTCACTGTTTTGTCCGAGACCAGGACTCAAACTTGCGAACAATTTTTGCTTATTGGCTGGCAGTCTACCATCTGCACCATGCCTCCAGCCCCCTTTTTATTGTGCCACTCCTGGGGCTTGAACTCAGGACCTGAGCACTGTCCTTGAACAATTTTGCTCAAGGCTAGCACTCTGCCACTAGAGCCACAGCTCCATTTCTGGATTTTTGTTGTTTTTGGTAGTTTGTTGGAGACGAGTGTCAGACTTTCCTGCCCACGCTGGCTTTGAACTGTGATCCTCAGATCTCAGCCTCCCGAGGAGCTACGATCACAGGTGTGAGTAACAGCAATGCAAAGCCAGGCAGGCAAGAGAGGTTTGAAGGGTCTTGTCTCCATTTGTCCATCCAGGTTAGTGGCAGGAGTCAGGCAGAGGAGTATAGACTGGCACTGCTTGGCAGACCAGTCACAGCAGAGGCCACACATGGACAAGGGGCTGTGGTAGCACGTGGGCCTTCAGGGCCCTTAGCATACCTACCACTGGTCTTCTGGGTGTATATGCTGACACTGGGGCTTAAACTCAGCGCTGTCCCCAAGCTTTTTCATTTAAGGCCTGGGGTTCTACCACTTGAGCCACAGCTCTACTTCCGGCTTTGTGCTGGTTCACTGGAGATAAGGGTCTCTGGGATTTATCTGGCCCACCATCTTCTGATCTCCCCTTCCTGACGAGGTAGAATTGCAAGAATAACCCAGAGCACTCAGATCTGAGCGACTTTGATTTTAAAAAAAGAAAACTCCAGTAGACACAGTGGAAACTTTATTTTGCAAATCCATCTCCCCGTATTGGGGACCGTAAAAATGTACAACATGATGATAATCACACGAAGGCAGATTGTAATTAGGAAGGGTCCCTCGACAATCATGCTGGTTCCATTGTTGGCGTCAATCACTGGGTAAGGTGAACAGACACAAACTTATTTTCTGTTCACAGGACAGACACAAAGGAATTTTCTTTTTTGGTGCCAGTACCAGGACTTGAACTCAGAGCCCTGGGTCCTTGATCCGTTTTGCTTGTTTACAGCTGGCACTCTGCCACTTGAGTCATGCCCCCAGTCCAGCTTTTTGTTGGGTTCATAGGAGATGGGAGGCCCTCAGACTTTCTGCCTAGGCTGGCCTCAAACCATGATCCTTACATCTCAGCCTCCTGAGTAGCTAGGATCACAGGCACAAGCCACCCGCGGCTAGCTAGACACAAAAATGTTTTACCCAGTGCCAAGATCAGAAGTTTACAGCCAAGGTTCAAAGGCCACCGTGAAGCCCAAGTTATCTTTGTGCCTCTGACCATATAATATTTTACCAAAATGAATTCTGGCAGTGGGGGGAGGGGAAACAACCCAAGTATTCCTTAAATACTTAATGTGAAGAAAAAATGACCTCTTATAATAGAAAGGGAATTGGAATTAGAGAACAGTTAATTCCCTCCCAATGTGTTCTGTGCCCAAGGTCACTGGGGGGGGGGGGGGCACCACTTCCTTTGGCAGTGCTGCAATATGGCACTGAGGCATGCTGGGTAAACGTCAAAGGAAACAAAGGCACACGATGTCTTCTCATTTCAAAAGCAAACCGAGTGGGATAGCGCCTTAAAAAAAACAAAAACCAAAAAGAAACTCCACAGTCCATTTGAACTATTCAGCCAGCCCTGATGGACAGGAAGCTCCATCTGAATGCGCCAGGAAGTGCCAACACAAAAGCAGTCCTTCAGCTGACTGGTCGCCACACACGCAGTGAGGGACGTGGCAGCTGTGCGGGCTGGCCATCTACTGTCCTTTGGATTCACATGATTGCTTCTCTCCCCGCGTCTCAGCCTCCTCTAAGTAGCGAGGATTACAGGCATGAGCCACCAGTTTCTGTCACTGATTGATTATGATACCAAATGGTCTCAAGAGCCAGCTGGAGGGGAAGGCGCTACAGCTCTGTGTCCACGGACCCCCTGTGAGTGACCTCATCTGGGGCTATGACCAAAGCACCTAGAAACACAGCCTGGACTTTTGACCTGATCCCTTTGATAAATACATAAATAAATAAATAAGATGCAGTTCCAAGGCTCAAAAGAGCCCCAGCTCCAGTTAACACGGGTGCCTGGGACTTGAACTCTTTCCTTCCTTAGACTCGGGTAAACGTGGTGTGGGCACAGTCAGAAGAGCAGCTATTTGACTCCAGATTTGGGGTGGGGGTATGGGGGGGAACACCATCTTCACTTTTTGTTTGGTGGATGAACTGGACTTACTCCCTAGTCATCAGGGGCCTTAAAAGCAGGGGGGAAGGTGTTTAAGCAAGCTCCTTGTTAAGGTCTTCGGGTTTATTTCTAGCACATCTCCATTGGTAGGCAGTTAGAAACAACCCCGGGGAAGAGCTGGGTGGCTCACGCCTGTAATCCTAGCTACTCAGGAGACTTGAGAGTTGAGGATCACAGGTTGAAACCAGCCCAGGAAGAAAAGCTCGACACTTTATCTCCAATTCACCTGCAAAAAGCTAAGGGAACAGTGCCCAGGCCCCTGAGTTCAAGTCCCAGTACTGGCACCAAAAAAATAAAATAAATAAGGGTTAAAAAAAAAAAAAAAAGGTAAAAGAACAACTCTGGGGCCAGAGAGGCCAAGACTGCACAAGGCCACAGGCAGTGAGTTTGAGGCAGAGAAGGGAGACAATGGAGGGTAAAGCAGGCCAGGGAGCAAGCGCGACGCCCCCTGGCGGTCCACGGCAGAAGTGCATGGAGTCACTGGGAAGGGAAGAGGGCTGAGGGGAGGGAGTCCTGAGCCCCCAGAGCAGAAGGGAATGCTAGATCCGCACTCTGAGCCAGACACGGCGCTCTCTCCCCTGGGCCTCACCCACCTCCTGCTTCTGGACCACCACACGGCCACTTCACCGGGATGCCTCTGGATGGTTCTTGCTTCTCTTGTGCTGGTCCTGGGTCTTGCCCTGGGTGCTCTACCACGTGAGCCACAGCTCCACTTCCGGCTTTTTGCTAGTTAACTGGAGAGAAGAGTCTCTTGGACTTTTCCTGCCCAGGCTGGCTTCAAACCTCAATCCTCAGGTGGCAGCCTGCTGAGTAGCTAGGAGTACAAGCGTGAGCTCGGCCTTGCTCTTGAGAGAAGGATTGAGGGGAGAGGGGAAAGGCTCTCTAATGCGTGTTCCCAGGCCCAGGTTGGTGAGGAAGAGTCAGGAAGCAGTGGACCTGTGTGGTCTCCGAAGCTGGGTGGCAAGCAGGCAGCTCAGGTCTAGGAAAGGAGCTCCAAGAGCAATTTCCAGATGTGCACGGTGCCAGGTTCTTCGAAGCCTGGTCCTGCCGGGGCAATGCTGGCTGCCAAGAGGAAAACTTCCCGCTGGCTGCCCACGTCCTGCAGGCCCAGCTCCTGCTGAAGCTCAGCCACGTTCATGGCCTCGCCCAGGTCCTGGGGTGAACAAGAAGCCGATCAGCACACAGCTGTCCCCAACAAGATGTCCCCTTACTATCTTTGGTATGTGGCGGAATAATCAGGGCCCGAGGTGACTTAGATACTTTCAAGCTGAGTGCTAGTGGCTCATGCCTCTAATCCTATCTACTCTGGAGACTGCAATCTGAGAATTACAGTTCAAAGCCAGCTTGGGCAGCAAAGTCTGTGAGACTCTTATCTCCAATAAACTATTCAGGAAAAGCCCAAAGTGGTGCTGTTCCTCCTGCGGTAGAGTGCTAGCCTTGAGCAAAAGAAGCTTAGGGACTGTGCCTAGGCCCTGAGTTCAAGCCCCAGGACCAGTGCATATGAACACACACACACACACACACACACACACACACACAGGCTTTTAGTTGGGCACCAGTGGCTCATGCCTGTAATCTTAGCCACTCAGTAGGCTGAAATCTGAACTCTGAGAATCAAAGTTCATAGCCAGGGAGGAATATTCCAGGAGTCTCTTATCTCCAACTACTAAAAAGACAGGAAGTGGAGCTGTGGCTCAAGTGGTAGAGCACCAGTCTTGAGAAAAAAAAAAGCTAAGAGAAAAGCACCCAAGTTCCTACACACATATACCCCAAATAAACAAACAAACAAAGATGCTTTTGCTTGGCCCTGTGAATTAATTAAAAGCCCCCATGTTTGGACCTGTGCCATTTGACCTGAGGTGCAGTTCCTTTGCAATCTTTGTTTGCAGGAGGAAAGAAGATTCAGTGAGAAGGGCTGGGATGTGGCTCAGTGGTAGAGTGCTTGCCTAGCATGCATGAAGCCCTGGGTTCGATTCCTCAGCACCACATACACAGAAAAAGCCAGAAGTGGCGCTGTGGCTCAAGTGGTGGAGTGCTAGCCTTGAGTGAAAGAAGCTCAGGGACAGTGCCCAGGCCCTCAGTTCAGCTTTTTTTTTCCTGCATATGTAGTGCTGAGGAATCGAACCCAGGGCCTCATGCATGCAAGGCAAGCGCTCTACCTCTGAGCCACCTTCCCAGCCCATGATAAACATCTTGTGTGAAGGTACACCGCCACTCCAACAAGCAAGGCTCTCTTATTATCTTAAGAGCAAACTGCCCAGAACTCAGGAGACCCCACTGTTCCTGTTCCGTTCCAGTAATGAAGTGGTAACAATTTCCCAGAACTCCTCCAGGATCAGAGCCTGGCACTGCTGTAACTCTGCAGACCTTTCTCGCCCCTGCCCCCCAGCTCTCCCCGTTGAACCTGAAGCTAATGTCTGCACACCTGAGGATGGCTGAAGATGTCTTAAGTGCTGTCTTGCCATGCCTGCCACGGGAAGGCCTTCCCCGTGTCTCTGTATTTGATTTGGCATGTAGGAGTGCAGAGCCCGTACTTAACCCTCTGCACTCTTGGACTTTGGGCCTGGGGTAAAACTTGGTTCCACTGGAAACTAGCTCTGAATCCAATGGTTCAAAGCCAGCCTGGGGAGGAAAGTCTGTGAGAGGCTTCAATTAACCAGCAAAAAGCTAGAAGTGGAGGTGTGGCTCAAGTAGCAGAGCACCAGCCTCGAGTAAAAAAAGCCAAGTGAGAGTCCAAACCACAGTATACCCATATATTAAATAAGCAAATAGCTGGGCGGCAGTGGCTCACACCTGTTAATTCTAGCTACTCAGGAGGCTGAGATCTGAGGATCACAGTTCAAAGCTAGCCCGGGAAGGAAAGTCTGTGGGACTCATCTCCAATAAACCAACTGAAAACTGGAAGTGGCGCTGTGGCTCAAGTGGTAGAGTGCTTGCCTTGAGCTGAAGAGCTGAGGGACAGCACCCAGGCCCAGAGTTCAAGACACACAACTGACCAAAAAAAATTAAAAAAAAAAAAAAAAAAGCAAGTAAGCAATTAAGTAAAATGTTTAAAGAAAACCTAAGCCAGGTGCCGGTGGCTCACACCTGTAATCTTAGCTATTCAGGAGGCTGAGATCTGAGGATCACAGTTCAAAGCCAGCCAGGAAAGGAGAAGCCCAAGAGACTCTCATCTTTAATTAACCACCAAAAAGCTTAGTAACTTTCTTTATTTCTCTTTCTTTTTTTTTTTGTTGGTCTTGGGGCTTGAACTCTGGGCTTGGGTGCTGTCCCTACGCTCTTCACCTCAAGGCAAGCGCTCTACTGCTTGAGTTTCCGGTTTTCTGGTGGTTTATTGGAGATAGGAGTGACACATGGGCTGGGAAGATGGCTCAGTGGTAGAGCGCTTGCCTTGCATGCTCGAGGCCCTGGGTCCGATTCTTCAGCACCACATAAGCAGAAAAAGCCAGAAGTGGCACTGTGGCTCAAGTGGTAGAGTGCTAGCCTTGAGTTGAAGAGCTGAGGGACAGCGCCCAGGCCGAGTTCAGGCCCCACAACCGACACACGCACACACACACACACACACACACACACGCACACACACACACACACACACACACAAAAGTGTCACAGGCAGGAGCCTGGGCTGGCTTTGAACCGCGATCCTCAGATCTCAGCCTGCTGACTAGCTGTCATCCTACAGGTGTGAGCCAACCCCCCCCCCCCCCAGCTCTTAGTAACAATTTCTATTATTATTACTTATTAACCATTTCTCCCACTCCCTGTAGAGTGAAGCAGATAAGCTACCCAAGAGAAAGGGAAAGAGTTGGGGGGGGGGGGGGTCCTGAGAGGACATTTGAGGGTCGTCTTTCAGTCAAGTTCTCCAGACCCGGGCCCAGGCCCCAGTCCCGTCGCGCCCCTCTCCCGCCCAGGCCCACGGATTGAGCCGCCCCTCCCACAGTGCTCACCTGCTTGTTGGCCACCACGACCACGGGCAGGTCGGGGTCTTTGTCCAGTAGCTTGTGCAGCTCCTGCCGGGCGGAGGGCAGGCGCGGCCGGTCAGCTGAGTCCACCATGAACACCAGCACGTCCACCTCATTCACAAACTCCTTCCAGTAGAAGCGCAGGTTCTGGCTGCCACCAACTGAGGAGAAGCAGGGGACCAGCTCAGAGCCCCCCAGGGGCCTGGCGGTCACAGTCCCACCTCTCTCCCCAACGTTCCCCGAGGCGGAAACAAAGGCAGGACCACGGGGTTCAAAGCCAGTCAGACCTGACATCCACTCTGTTAGCTCTAGCTGTGACCCCGGGGGTCTCTTACTAGAACAAGTAGTTATCTTTAGGCATTTTTTTGGGGGAGGTGCCAATCCTGGGGTTTGAACTCAGGGGGTCTGGGTGCTGTCCCTGAGCTGCTTTTGCTCAAGGCTAGCACTCTACCACTTGAGCCACAGCGCCACTTCTGGCTTTTTCTGTGTCTGTGGTATTGAGGAATCGAACCCAGGGCTTCAAGCATGCTAGGCAAGCACTCTACCACTAAGTCATGTTCCCAGCCCTTTTTGGAGCATCTTCTGAACTCAACTGAATTTGAATCCAAAGGTGCTATGTGGAGCGTCCCTTCACAGGTTCACAGACTGGTATAATACAGGTACTCTACTAATGGCACTCTTTGGTTCTCTCCTGGGATGCTTTACCTCTGGCCAATTCCCAGCTTCCTCTGGGTCAGTGATCAGAAGCCTAGAAAAGCCAGGCATAATGCCTCATACCTGTCATCCTAGCTACTCAGGAGGCTGAGCTCTGCGGATCACAGTTCAAAGCCAGCCAGAGCAGGAAAGTCCATGAGACTCTTATCTCCAATGAACCACCAGAAAGCCGAAAGTGGCCCAGATGCTGGTGACTCTTGCCTAGAATCCTAGCTACTCAGGAGCCTGAGATTTAAGGATCACAATTTTTTTAATTTATTTTGTCAGTCATGGGGCTTGAACTCTGGGCCTGGGCGCTGTCCCTCAGCTCTTCAGCTCAAGGCCAGCGCTCTACCACTGGAGCCACTGTACCACTTCCGGCTTTTTCTGCTTATGTGGTGCTGAGGAATCAAACCCAGAGCCTCATGCATGCGAGGCAAGCACTCTACCACTGAGCCAACTTCCCAGCCCAAGGATCGCAGTTTAAAGCTAGCCTGGGTAGGAAAGTCTGTGAGAATGATATCTAACTACCAGAAGGTGGCACTGTGACTCAAGAGGTAGAGTGCTAGCCTTGAATACACAAGTTTAGGGACAGTGCCCAGGTGCAGAGTTCAAGACCCAGGACAGGCAGCGAAGTTTAAAAAAAAAAAAAAAAGCCGGGTGCCAGTGGCTCACACCTGTCAATCCTAGCTACTCAGGAGGTTGAGATCTGAGGATCGCAGTTCAAAGCCAGCCGGGGCAGGAAAGTCCATGAGACTCTTATCTCTAATAAACCACCAGAAAACCAGAAGTGGCGCTGTGGCTCCAGTGGCAGAGTGCTAACTTTGAGCAAAAGGAGCTCAGGACAGTTCCTAGGCCCCGAGTTCAAGTCCCAGGACTGGCCAAAGAGACACAGAGAGAGAGAGAAAGAGTAGTCTGGGAAAGTGTCTCCCAGCAGGAGGCGCTGAGAACCAACCAGAGGAGAAGCAGCACAGCGTGGGAACGGACGGAGGAGAAAGCAACCCAGTCAGAGGGAAGAGCAAATGTGTGAGAGAGAGAAAGCGCAAATCCAGGAGGCTCAGGCACCCTCCCAGGAAGAGGATAAAGCAAGACAGGAAAGGCCAGATTGCGCAGGGTGGACCGGCCAGGACCTTTGAGCCCACAGTGAGTGTTTCAAAGCAAGCGTGACTTGACCTGATGTGTGATTTTGAAAGATACTTCTGGCTGACACTGGGGATAGAAGTCGAATCAGGGAAAGCCATGAGGAGGCTGCTGTATTACCGACAGTGTCTTGGGCCACATGGAATCTATCCTAGGCTATGGCTTATGAAACTGGCTCATAAGTTGTATATAAGCCTTGAGCAAAAGAAGCTCAGGGACAGCGCCCAGGCTCTGAGTTCAATCCCCAGGAAGAGAGAGGAGAGAGAGAGACAGGGGGAGAGGGAGGGAGGAAGAGAGGGAGGGGAAGAGGGAGGGAGAGAAAGGGAGAGGGAGACGGAGAGGCCAGGCACTGGGACTCACACCTGTTACTCTAGCTATTCTGGGGGCTGAGCTCAGAAGATTGTGGCTTGGAGCCAACTGGGTCAGACAAAGCCATGAGATTCTTATCTCCAATTAACCAGCAAAAGGCTGAAGGCGAAGGTATGGCTCAAGTGGGAGAGCACCAGCTTTGATCAAAAAAGCAAAGCAAGAATGGGAGGCCTAGGGGCTGGGACGGTGGCTCAGTGGTAAGAGCGCTTGCCTTGCATGCATGAGGCCCTGGGTTTGATTCTTCAGCACCACATAACTAGAAAAAGGCAGAAGTGGTGCTGTGGCTCAAGTGGTAGAGCGCTCGCCTTGAGCTGAAGAGCTGAGGGACAGCGCCCAGACCCAGAGTTCAGGCACCATGTCTGACCAATAAAAAAAAAGAATGGGAGGCCTTGATTTCACATTATTTAGACAGACAGACAGACAGACAGACACAGAGCAAGAGATGATACATCAAGGTGTTTCTCCACCAATTATCCCCAAAGGGCCCCCACTTAGGCAATGTGGAGAAAGTCCTTGCATTTGATTGGGAAATCGGGGTGATCCCATGGAGTCTAGACTGTTACCTGTCAGAATCTCCTAAAAATTCCCCTTCCCCCAGGGCAGAGGAACGGCTCAGGTTTGGCTGACTGACAGGGACTTAACTGCCGAGTCTCCATTTCACCTGATGCCTGGCGTAAGGGAACAATTCAGAGAAAGCTTGGTGGAAAGCCCAGAATCCTAAGTGAATGTCAGTGTGCTATCACTAGGACAAAAAGATGTTATCATGCTGGAGAGCGAGTGTCGGGGTACAGGGAAACTGAACCCACTCAGGGACACAGGCCCTCAAAGTCAGATTCTACCATCTGGCATTGAACTAAACCCACCGATTCTTCCCTTCCTTTCTTCCCTCCCTCCTGGTATTGTTCTGGTGCTTGAATTCAGGACCTGGGCATTGTCCCTGAGCATCACTGTGCTCAAGGTTAGCGCTCTACCACTTGAGCCACAGCACCACTTCTGGCTTTTTTCTTTTTGCTTATGTGGTGCTGAGGAATCGAACCCTGTGCTTCATGCATGCTAGGCAAGCACTCTACCACTGAGCCACCGTCCCAGCCCTGAACCCACCTGTTCCTAATGGTTTGTTGTCTGTGGCTGGCAGGAAGTCTTGTCCCCCCCCCACTGAAATGGAGACACAGGGAGCTGAGTACCGCAGCCTACTCATTGCTCTCTGTACATTCTCTTCGAAAATTCCAAGAAACCTGGGACTGAGGGCAGAGGCCTCCTCCAGACCCTCGTTAATCTTATTCAATGGGCTCTCACAGAGCTGGAAACTGGTGGCTCATGCCTCTATTCCTAGCTACTCAGGAGGCTGAGATATGAGGTTGCCAGTTTGAAGCCAGTTTGGGCAAATTCTGCCTTGGGCAGAAAAAGCTAAGCAAAAAATGTGAGGCCCTGTGTTCAAGCCTCACTTCCGGCACACACAGACAAGCAAACTGTCACATATATCTGCTTGGAGATAAGCAATCCGGGCCAGACTAGTCTGTGGCCAGCTGCTCACGGCCTCGTCAGGAACACAGGGTGCTCTATGGTGAATTGCAGCAGCGGGAAGGGCAGAGGAGGCGGAATCCTTAATATAGCCTGGACACTTAACGTTTGATCGACAGGTGACAGGTGTATCAGAGGTCATTACAGACAGAGGGAACAGGACATAAAACCTGCTATCAACAGTGGTGGAAGGGGACCTGTAGCTTAAGTGGACAAGTGCCAGCCTTGAGCAAAATATGCCAAGCAATGGGCTGGGAAGGTGGCTCAGTGGTAGAGCGCTTGCCTTGCATGCATGAGGCCCTGGGTTCGATTCCTCAGCAGCACATAAGCAGAGAAGGCTGGAAGTGGCGCTGTGGCTCAAGTGGTAGAGCGCTAGCCTTGAGCTGAAGAGCTGAGGGACAGTGCCCAGACCCAGAGTTCAGGCCCCACAGCCAACAACAACAACAAAAAATATGCCAAGCAAAAGGTAACCAGTGATTCATGCCTATCATCTTATTCAGGAGGCTGAGATGTGAGAATCACAGTTCAAAGCTAGCCTGGGTAGGAAAGTCTTTGAGACTCTCAAACTGCTTAGAAAAGGTCAGAAGTGATACTATGGCTCAAATGGTAGAGTTCTAGTTTTGACAGAAGCTCAGGGACAGCACCCATGCTCTGAGTTCAAACCCCAGGATCAGCCCCCCCCCCAAAAAAAAGAATGTGAGTTCAAGCCCCTGTCCTGACACAAAACAACAAAAGAAGTCGGCCTTGGGGCTGGGAAGGTGGCTCAGTGGTAGAGCGCGTGCCTTGCATGCCTGAGGCCCTGGGTTCGATTCCTCAGCACCACATAAGCAAAAAGATAAAAGCCGGAAGTGGCGCTGTGGCTCAAGTGGTAGAGCGCTAGCCTTGAGCTGAAGAGCTGAGGGACAGCGCCCAGGCCCAGAGTTCAGGCCCCATGACAGGACCCAAAAGAAGTTGGCCAAGGTGACCTTGGGCTAGTGATCAGAGTTACGGGCCTGGATTTCTCTTCAGATATATGAGACTAAGAATGAATTTTTCATCTATGGAGTTGGTGGGAAGATGTGCGTGTGTGTGCTAGTACAGGGACTTGAACTCAGGGCCTGAGCACTGTCCCTTAGCATTCCTGCTCAAGGCTTTCCCTCTATCACGTGAACCATGGCTCCACTTTCAACTTTTTGTTGGTCTCACAGATTTTTTTTTTTTGGTCCTGGCTGGCTTTGAACCACGATCCTCAGATCTCAGCCTCTTGAGTAGAGAGGATGACTGGCGATGGCCCAGTTCCCAAGAAGGTTTTACCAGTAAATGTCAGTCAAGGGCTTGGCCTATGAACCCTTAGCTGTATGTGGTTGAGTCTCATTAGTTGGGATCAGGAAGGGGCCCTCCAAGCCATGCAGGGGTCCCGCAGCTGAAATTGCATTGAGGGACATGTCTTGGTTAGCATATGCATTTCGGATTCCACCTGTTAGGCCTCCAGGCCTGCTTCCCTCGATGGGGGAGGGAGGTGGGGGCGCGGGGGAAGGGAAGGAAGGGGTGTCTGCTCACTCTCTAGCAGGTCCACCTCGAAGTTCCTGGTGGGCAGCCTCACGGAGTTGAAGCCCCAGGTGGGGACGTGGCCTTCCAGGGGCGGCTTCCCGGCGAGCATGCGCAGGAACGTGCTCTTGCCACAGCCGTCCAGCCCCAGCACCAGCACCTCGCGCTGCTCCAGCTCCTCCAGCGCGGGCTCTCCCTCCTCCTCCTCCTCCTCCTCCTCATCTTCATCGTCGTCCTCTTCCTCCTCCCCATCCTCCTCCTCCTCCTCCTCCTCGTCCTCCTCTTCCTCGTCCTCAGGCTGCGGGGGTCAGAGGTCAGGCTGTCCATCATGCCTGCTCCCCCCCCCCCCCACCTTCCCCATGAGCATCCCCTCACCGGGCCGGGCAGGCGCAGTGGGACCCGGGGGGGGGGGGGGGGGATGAGACGCAGGGGGCTGCTCCTCCCGGCATGCCCCGGGGCAGCGCCTCCGCGCGCGAGCCCGCGCGCGAGCCGCGCATGCGCCGGCCCCACGCCGCCGCTCGGGGGGCCGAAGCCCACCGGGGCCCCCCGGGAAAGCCCGAGGCCCGCCCGCCGCTGTCAGCGCGCTCCGTCACCCCGCGGCCTTCGTCCGATCGCTCGGACGATCCTGCACGGTCTCGGCCGGGCTCCGCCGGGCATGGCGGCGGGCACACCCCCTCGGGGGTGCAGGCCTCCCCCCCCAAGCCCCCATCGCCCCGCCACCCCGGCCCGCACTCACCTCCCACTCGTCCCACTGCGGGAGGCTGGCGGCCTCCGCGCCCCACCACGCCTCGTCCCGGCCCCAGCGCCGCTCCCGTCCGCCGCCGAAGTAGGCTTTCCAGAGGATGAAGAGCACCGAGCCCAGCACGGCCGCGGCGCCGCCCAGCGCCAGCACCAAGGGGCTCAGCGTCCGCGGAGCCATCGGGGCGGGCGACGGGCGCAGGGGCGGACGACCCGGGCCGAGCCCGCCCGCCCGTCCGCGGAAGATGGCCCCGCTGCGACTGCCGCAGCCGCGCCCACCCACCCAGCCCGGGACTACAAGCCCCACAATGCACCGCGCCCGCCGCCGCCGCCGCCGCCGCCGCCGGGGCTGGCGCAGGGCGGGCGGGGGGCTGCGGCGCTCGGCCGGGGGCGGTGCGCAGCGCCGGGCGCCGGGGCCCCGGCGGGGCTCGCCCACCACCGATGCCAGCCAGGGCCTCCACGCACGGCTCTTCTCCATCACCCCCCCCCAGGAATAGCTCGCAGAAGGGGAAACTGAGTTCGTGGGCGATCGCGCGGCCCGACGCTCAGATGCCAGCCATCCTGCTCCCAGGCATCCCTCACAGGCCTCCAGGAGGAAAGTGAAGCGGGATTGGGGATCGCACACTCGGCTAGGACCTGAGTGAGTGCCTCACAGCACCCTACACCCTCCTTGGGGGTGCGGGGGGCGGTGCCTCGTGAAGCCCAAAGGTTCTACCGTCTTGGGGTGGGGAGGGATCCTGGTCATCGTCTTCTCTCCCTAGTGACTGGCCAGGCATCCAGATCCAGCACTAGGAGAAAGAAGACAAAGAGTCCCAGTTAGAACAGTCCTAGGGCACTTGAGATGGGAGGTGGGCAGCAGTGGCTAGCCCGAGGCTGTCAGGCCCTAGCAGGGCCTGCCTGTTACCCACAGAGTGTCACACCCCTTCCACCTACTTCCCAGTTCCCAGTCCCTCTGTACCCCCAAGCTGTGTGTCTTCAGCCTCTGACCTCGACTCCTCATTACCTCTGCCTACATACGTGTCCACCCATCTGACTTTTCGCTTACACTGTAATTCACCCACATTGTAGACTCTTGATTTCTGTCCACACTTTGGCAGGGGCAGTGCATAGAACTTCTCTGAGACGTGCTATCTATCGGCAGACGAGAGAGAAGGAAGGAAACTGATAGAATATAGATCAAATAATACTTTCTCAGCCTAAGGGTAGAATGAATTGAGGAGTAGCATGAAGGAAAGCTGCAGAGACCGGGGGAAAGTATCACCTGCTCAAACACAGCAACAGGTTTTCTTCAGGTGGTAGAAAGCGACCTGACGTTTCTTTTAAAGCAAGGGCCAGGAGGAGAACCCACAAGCATCTGAATTGAGCATGCCCAATGCTTTCTCCTTCTCCTTTTCCTCCTAGCCCTTTCAAACAAACATTTTTAGTGAGGGTTGGGAGAAAGTGTGGTGAGGGGTATGACTCCAGGAAGTGGTGCTGTGGCTCGAGTGGTAGAGTGCTCGCCTTGAGCTGAAGAGCTGAGAGACGGCGTTCAGGCCCAGAGTTCAAGCCCCATGACAGATCAAAAAAAAAAAAAAATGCTGGGGCTGGGAATGTGGCCTAGTGGTAGAGTGCTTGCCTAGCATGCATGAAGACGTGGGTTCATTTGATTCCTCCGTACCACATATACAGAAAAAGCCAGAAGGGGCACTCTGGCTAAAGTGGTAGAGCTAAACATGAGCAAAAGAAGCTCAGGCCGTGAGTTCAAGCCCTAGGACTGGCCAAAAAAAAAAAAAAAAAAAGGCATAACTCCTGGCCTTTATTGCAAACTGTGACCCAAGGCCATTGGTCAGTTGTGAAATCAACAGATTTGTTTTTGTTGTGTTTTTTTGGTGCTGGCACTTGAATTTATGGCTTTGAGCTTGTTAAAACACTACCATCTAACTGGGGGCAGGTGGCTCATGCCTGTCATCCTATCTATGCAGGAGATTGAGATCTGAGGATCATGAATCAAAGCCAGCTTGGGCAGGAAAGTCCGTGAGAGTCTTATCTCCAATAAACGACTCAGTAAACCAAAAGTGGCGCCATGGCTCAAGTGGTAAATGCTAGCCTTGAGCTGAAGAGCTGACAGACAGAGCCCAGGCCCAGAGTTCAAGCCCCATGACCGACCAAAAAAAAAAAAAAAAAAAAAGCTCAGGGACAGCACCCAGGGCTCCCCCTCCCCCCCTCTCATTCTGGAACACACAGAGTCATTTCTTGCCAGTGACTCAAGTCTATATAATCCAATACTCCCAAGGCTGAGATCTGAGGATCTCTATTTGAAGCCAGAATGCACAGGAAAATCTGTGAGACTCTCTTATCTTCAAAAAGCCAAAGTGGAGCTGTGGTTCAAATGGCAGAGTGCCACCCTTGAGTCAAAAAGCTAGGGGAAGGTGTCCAAGTCCAACCCACACCCGCATCTATGTCCAAAATAAATAAAGGTAATTCTTCCTCTTCCCTACCACGAGGGGGAGCAGTTGTTCACAGTTCCACACTTAGGCCAGTGTCTTCAGTCTTTTTTTGGTTGTTGCTCATGGGCCTGAATTCTGATCCTGGGGCGCTGTCCCTCAGCTCTTCAGCTCAAGGCTAGCGCTCTACCACTTGAGCCACAGCACCACTTCCGGCTTTTTCTGAGGAATGGAACCCAGGGCCTCATGCATGCAAGGTAAGCATTCTACCACTGAGCCACCTTCCCAGTCCCTCTTCAGCCTTCTTGCCCAAAGAAGTTGAAGTAGAGATTTTCGGGAGTCCAGGACAGCTACCTACCAGCCCTCAATTAACTCTTTTCTGTTCTCAGGGCCAGTGGGTGTTTTATTTATTTTTTTCTTTTTTTATTTGTGCTGGGACTTGAGCTCAGGGCCAGGGTTCTGTCTCTTAGCTTTTTCCCTTGAGCCTGGCATTCTGCCATGTGAATTTTACCTCAACTTCTTGCTAGTTCATTGGAGAACAAAAGTCTCATGGACTTTATGTCCTGAGATAGCTTTGAACTGTGATCCTCTGATCTTAGCCTCTTAGCTAGGGTTACAAGGGAGAGTCAGGGCCCTTGGTTTAGTGTGTTGTATAAAAGATCCCTGGATTCCCTGGTGGACCCCATGCAGTGACTCTTGACTATATCCAGATAAAAGCCGTGTCACTAGACCGTAAAAGCCACCTGTTCAGCCTGGTGCCAGTGGCTCACGCCTGTCATCCTAGCTACCCAGGAGGCTGAGATCTGAGGATCACAGTTCAAAGCCAGCCCGGGCAGAAAAGTCTGTGAGACTCTGATCTCCAATAAACTACTAGAATACTGGAAGTGGCACTGTGGCTCAAGAGGTAGAGCGCTGTCCTTTAGCTGAAGAGTGCAGGGACAGCGCCCAGGCCCAAAATTCAAGCCCCTTGACCAAAAAAAAAAAAAAGAAAGAAAGATAGAAAAAGCCACCTGTTCAATAATGCCATCATCACTGCTGGGAAAAGCAAGCAGCTGCACACAATTGCAACCAGGCTTGGCTATAGAACCAAAACCAGAGTCACACATGCACAGCATGGACTCGGTGGGGGTGGGGGGGGGTGGGGGATGGGGGGGGCAAGGTCTTTTACCTAGAGAGGATCGGACCCAGGAGCCAAGAAGATGGCCTGACCTCACACAGGCCTGGATGGGCCCTTCCTGGAACTTGTGATTCAGATGATGATGATGATGATGATGAACTCTGGGCCTGGACACTGTCCCTGAGCTCTTCAGCTCAAGGTGAGTGCTCTACTACTTGAGCCACAGCGCCACTTCCTGTTTTCTGGTGGTTCATTGGAGATTCCAAGAGTCTCAGGGACTTTCCTGCCTGGGCTGGCTTTGAACCGTGATCCTCAGATCTCAGTCTCCTGAGTAGCTAGGATGACAGGCGTGAGCCACCGGCGCCCGGCTCTCATGATTCCGATTTGAAGAACTGAACCCTCACTTACCTGGGAGCAGAAAGCCAGAACCTAAACCATTTAGCAAAGTCATTTATGTGCTTGTGAGGGTTCTGGGGTTTTGAGGACTTAGCAACCCAAATTAAAAAATAAAAATATATTAAACAATTTTTTTTTTTGTCGGCTATGGGGTTTGAACTCAGGGTCTGTGTATGGTCCCTGAGCTCTTTTGCTCAAGTCTAGTGCTCTACCACTTGAACCACAGCACCACTCCTGGCTTTCTCTTGGAGAAACCACTTTCGTGCCCTGGCTGGTTTCAAACTGTGATCCTCAGAGCTAAGCCTCTTGAGTAGCTGGGATGACAGGCGTGAGCCACTGGCGTCTGGCAAACTTTTAATTTTTAAACTGATGCCTCTTTTACTATGACCATTCTGATTTGGAGATGTTGAATTGCTAGCTGTCACTGTCACATTGCTATAATCCCAGGGAACATTTATTTTGATCATTTCTTTTCTTTTTGTCAGCCGTGGGACCTTAACTCTGGGTCTGGGCACTGTCCCTGCGCTCTTCAGCTCAAGGTGAGCACTCTAGCGCTTGAGCCACAGCGCCACTTCTGGTGCTTATGTGATGCTGAGCAATGGAACCCAGCGCTCAGGCATGCACTCTACCACTGAGCCACCTTCCCAGCCCCATTTTGATCCTTTTCTTTCCTGAGATTGTGGCAACAGCCAAGCAGAATCTGAATCCTGGGATGTATTTGGGACATATTATCCCAGCCTTGTTGTGCCAGGGGATCATGGGTAATTAAGCATTTTTGGGTGATGAATTTGTTAACTAGCTTGATTTAATCATATCATATTGCACACATATATTAAAACTATATACACATTGGCTGGGTGCCGGGTGCTGGTGGCTCATACCTGGCATCCTAGCTACTCAGGAGGCTGAGATCTGAGGATCATGGTTCAAAGCCAGCCCGGGCAGGAAGGTCCATGAGATTCTTGTGTCCAATGAACCACCAGAAAACTGGAAGTGGTGCTGTGGCTCAAGTGGTAGAGCACTTGCATTGAGCTGAAGAGCTTCAGGAGCAGTACCCAGGCCCAGAGTTCAAGCCCCATGACCAACAAGAAAAAAAAAATTCCTTCAAGGTTGGAGGTGTGGCTCACTTGGAGCATTGGCCAATGAGTGAAAGTCACAGGTACTGAGTTTGAATCCTGGCCTCAGACCTTAAAAAAAAAAGAATCCTGAGTTGCTTTTTTTTGATAGATAAGCAGCTGAGCTTAGATTGAGTCTAACTTTACAGTAAGTGACTCCTTTCTGGTGTTAGAACCCAGGTCAGTCCAAAAACAATAGCTTCCTATCATTTTTATTTTACATTGTCCTTAAACTAGGTCATGACCTTGGAACCACCAAAATGTCAGAAACAGTTTGTTTCAATCAGAGAGCAATTTCCAGGAAAGAGTTTTCATGTGTTTGTGGGTAAAGTCTAAATCCTGCCTTATGATGGATCTAAGAACTCAGTGCTGTCTTTTCCTTTTCTACTGTGAGCTGTCCTGGGCAGTCCTTCCTCCTAGTGGATGGGGCAAGGAATGAATTTTGAAAAAAACATGGCTGCCAGGGGGTGGCTCAAGCCTGTCATCCTAGCTATGCAGGAGGCTGAGATGTGAGGATCACGGTTCAAAGCCAGCCTCCCCCCCTCCCAAGTCCATGAGACTCTTAATCTCCAATTAATCACCAGAAAACTGAAAGTGGAGCTGTGGCTCAAGCGGTAGAGCGTCCAGGCCCAGATTCAAGCCCCACAACTGACCAAAGAAAGAAAGAAAGAAATAGAGGGACAAAGGGTAAACAGATGCAGCAGTGGTCCTCACTGGACACTACGTGGAAAATCCATGAACTCTACAACTTGTGGGTGAGGATGGAAGGGAAAAACTGGGTGAGAGCGAAGCATTGACAATGTCCAAAAAGAAATGCACTCAGGGGCTGGGAAGGTGGCTCAGTGGTAGAGCGCTTGCCTAGCATGCATGAAGCTGTGGGTTCGATTCCTCAGCACCACAGACACAGAAAAAGCCCGAAGTGGTGCTGTGGCTCAAGTGGTAGAGGGCTAACCTTGAGCAAAAAGGAGCTCAGGGAAAGCGCTCCGCCCTGAGTTCAAGCCCCACGACTAGCAAAAAAAAGATGTATTCATGATCTGACTTATGTACATTATATATATGTAAAATATATTATATATATTTATTATATATTTATATATTATTATATAATATATCTTATATAATATTACACATAATAATATATAATATATATTATATATTATATAATTATATATATATATACATATATATATTTTAATGAGGTTTGAACTCAGGGCCTGGGCGCTATCCCTGAGCTCTTTTGCTCAAGGCTAGTAGTGCTCTACCACTTTGAGCCACAGTCCCACTTCCTGGACATCACCTTTATAATAATAATAACAATAATAATGAAAAGAAACTGAATGGAGAACAAAAAAAAAGTCTTCTTCCTGTGGGAGCTGATGCATTTCCTCAGCGTAGCTCTTCGCCAGGCAGCTGGAGGGGGCGGGGTCGAGGGAGGGGGGCGTGGCCCACCCGCAGAGAACTACAACTCCCAGCATGCCTGGAGAGCATGGCGGGGTGGGGGGGGGGGTCCAGTCTCGCGGGACGTTCCGAGGCCTCGAGGCGCCTGTGGTCCCCGCGCGGCCCGGGGTCGGGTGTAGAGCTCCGCCGCTGTGGCCGGCGCTCGCGGCATGGCTCGGCGGCGGCCCGCGCCGCGGCCTCTCTGGAGATTCGGGACCTCCGAACCTGTTTAGTTTGCCGCATTCCGGGCCGACACAGCGAAGAGATCAGGTAGACTCCTCCCCGGGCCCGGCCTGGCCCTTCCCCCGGGGGCCGGAGGGCCGGGGCCGGCGGACCACGGCCCTGGAGCCCCGGAAGCGGCCGCTCCCGTCCCGCGGGCCGCGCCTCCCGCCCTGGCGGGGCCGGGCCGGGCCCGGGCTCCCTCCGATCGCGGGTCCGAGCCTCGCGGCGCGGCGGCCGGAGGAGAGGCGCACGGGGGCGGGGCGGGGGCCGCCTCCGGCCCGGGGTTGCCCGCCACAACCTGGTCAAGATGGAGAGGCCCCGAGCCCGGCGCCGGTGGCTCACCGCCGGTCAGCCCAGCTGCTCGGGAGCCTGAGATGGGAGGATCGCGGTTCGAAGCCAGCCCGGGCAGGAGCGTCCCCGAGACTCTGATCTCCCATGATCCCCTAGCAAAGCAGCAGTGGCGCCGTGGCTCAAGTGGTAGAGCGCCACCCTGGAGCAAGAAAGCTAAGGGACAGGCTCTAAATTCAGGCCCCAGTACCAACACACACACACACACACACACACACACACTGCAAATAGTGGGTGTTGGTTGGTGTTTTCGGATCCGATTCTGAGCGCCATTGACTCTGTGCGGGACAGCATCCGGCCAGCCCGAGAGGCTGGACCAATCCTGGTTGTTTGTTGTCACTAGACCCTCTCTGGATGGCCTGGGCGGAGGAAGCTTTGCCGGTTCGCTGCAGCTGCACCATGCTCCCCATTCACCTCTGTCTGTCGGCATAGTGGCCACCTCATTTCACAGTGGTAAGGTGATCCTCCACCCGGGCGACTGGGCTGTGATCTCTCACAGGTGTGAAGCCCTGGATGTGAGACCCAGCTCAGCTCGGCGCCCCGCCCCCGCCCCCCCCCCCCCCATCACGGTTTGCCATGTCTGTCACCCATGGGTCTCTGTGTGTGTTTCCACTTTTCTACTTGGTAAGACTTACATCTCCAGTGGCTGGTGGGCAGCAGGCATTGCAGCCAATCCTTTAGTATTCACCATCAGAAAATGCCCTTTGTTATCTTCTTAGGTGGCAGGGATCAGCTCCGAATTCTATCTCTAAAAGCACCTTGGATCCCAGTCTTTCAATGGCTACAAGACAACCAGAAGTGCCTGGTAATCTGCATTTTTTTTTTTTTTAAAGTAATGGTTTAAAACTGCTACTCAGAAATCACTTTTATCTGAACTATTATCTTAACAGTTTCTTTCTGCCACCAGGCCAGGGAATAACTCAGACCTAATAGGTTATCATTTAAATAATATCTCATGGTCAGGCTTAGCAGCACATAATTGTAATCTCAGCTACCACTGGAGACTTAGGTAGAAGGATCAAAATCCGAAGTCAGCCAGGGCAAAAAGTGAGAGATTATCTGAAAAATAAAGCAAAAAAGGGGCTGAGGCATGGCTCAACTAGTAGTGCCCTGAGTTCAGACCTTAGTATGGAGAAGAAAAAAGAATGTCTTCTTAAGCATCCAGTCCTGGTTAAAAACCCCAAACCTAATTTAAATAGGAGTAGTTCTTGAGGATGTATGCTAACCATTTATTTTGTATCAGATGATATAAATTATATATATATACATACGTATATATATATATATATGTGTGTGTGTGTATATATATATATATATATATATATGTATCTTTTTTTGATCAATGTTGGCACTCTACCCCTTGAGCCACAGCTCTGCTTTTGGCTTTAAGAAAAAACAAAGATTAGAGATAAGAGTCTCTGGGATTTGTCCGCTATGGCTGGCTTTGAACCACAGGCCTCAGATCTCAGCCTCCTAAGTAGCTAGGATTACAGGTGTGAGCCCACCTAGTACCTTGTGGTACTATTATTTTTGTATGCGATTGGGATGGTTGTTGGGGGAAGTTTTGAAATTGCCCTGCAGTTAAGTTAGGTGAACTGGTAGAATGTATGTCTAGCCTGCCGCCTCATCGTCTTGAGTGTTTGTCTTGCATTGTGCTGTAACTACCATAAACTCCAACTCTGTGGCCATCCAGAGCCTTGTGGTTTGACTCTAGGCTAATGAATGCTTTGTTGTTGTTTGGGGGCCTGGAGAGTGAGCTCTGGCTTTAATCTACGTTATACTCCCTGGTTGGATAACATTGAGCAAGTTGCCTATAATCTGGGCCTCAGTTTCCTGAGCTGGAAAATGGGAAGAATTGTTGCTTAGTAAAGATTAGATGAGAATTGTAAATGCTTAGTAATTTCTATTGGCTCGTGTCTTTGTTTAATTGAGATATAATGGGGACACTATAATTTTACCTATTTCTTTATTTATTGTGTTGGTACTAGGACTTGAACGCAGGGCCTAGGCACTGTCCCTTCGACATTTCACTCAAGGATACCACTCTACCACTTGTACCACGCCTCCACTTCCAGCTTTTTGCTGATTTTTTTTTTTTTTTTTTGATCTACACATTTTTTTTGGCAGAGCTGGCTTGGAATCGAGATTCTCAGCTCTCAGTCTCCTGAGTAGCTGGGATTAATAGGTGTGAGCTACTGAAGTGAATACTGATTTGTAGTATGTACACAAGCTTGTGGAATCGTCAACACAATCTAATGGCAGAAAACTTTTATTACTCCCCAAGAGGGAACTTTGTACTCATGAACTTTGTATTCTTCTCTCCCGTCCCTGGCAACCTGGGTTTGTTAGTAATCACTTTTGTTTTTTTTTTTTGCCAGTTCTGGGGCTTGAACTCAGGGCCTGGGCGCTGTCCCTGAGCTTCTTTTGCTCAAGGCTAGCACTCTACCACTTGAGCCACAGCGCCACGTCTGGCTCTTTCTGTGTCTGTGGTACTGAGGAATGGAACCCAGGGCTTCCTGCATGCTAGGCCAGCACTCTGCCACCAAGCCACCTTCCCAGCCCGTTAGTAATTGTTACTAGTATTAATATAAATCCTGTGCAGAGCTACTTCATGCCCCCCCCCCCCCCCCCCCCCGCCCGCCTTTGCTGTTTGAACGAAGCCTTGGATTGGTTTGGACACACTGTTGAGACACTGGTTATATAATGTTAGCCATGGGGAAATGTCACCTTGAGGGCAGATTCCGGACAAGTGTTTTGCCATGACAGGATTAGCAAGTCTAACAAAATGAACCTTGTTCCTTGGTCCTTGATGCCTGAGTCACAGCAGAACATTCCAGCCGTGAGTTTAGACAGGAATGGTAGGGTAAGAGCTGCCAGTTTTGTGAGTGGCTCTATCAACAGTTTCTGTAATGGAATCTCTGTTGTTTGACTTAAACCCTTGAAATTGGACATAGGCCAGGCAGAGTCAGGTGTTTGCAGATTTCTGGGCATGCTATTGTTTTTGGCAAGGCAGGAGAGAGGATTTGGCCTCAGAAGCTGGTCAAGCATTACGTAACCATTTTCTGTACGAACCTAGGCAAATCACTTGACCTTTAAGGCTTAGTTTTGTCAGGCATGGTAGTGCACTCCTGTAATCCCAGCACTGTGTTCCCATGCTAAGGCTGGAAGGTTTGGAGTCCTGGCCAGGCTGTACAGGCTGTAATAACCGATCTCAAAAAACAAACCCCAAATCACAAGAGCCAGAAAGTCTTCTCAGACTTTTCTGATTCAAGAGCCTTAGCCAGAGGGCTTCTGTGACTTTCCAGAAAGATTACAAGCTCTGGAGTCAGATTTTTTTGTTGTTGTTGTCGTCGTCGTCAGTCGTGGGGCTTGAACTCTGGGCCTGGGCGCTGTCCCTCAGCTCTTCAGCTCAAGGAGAGCGCTCTGCCACTTGAGCCACAGCGCCACTTCCAGCTTTTTCTGTGTATGTGGTGCTAAGGAATCAAATCCAGGGCCTCATGCATGCAGGGCAAGCATGGTAGACCATTGAGCCACCTTCCCAGGCCCAGATTTGGGTTTTGGTTGTTCAGAAAACTCAAATCCGGACTTAGGCTTCCTTGTGTTCTAAAAATGCATTAAGGTTGTTGAGTGAACAATCCGGGGTGTTAGCTGGGCACTGTGGCTCACCCCTATAATCCCAGCTACTCAGCAGTGTGAAGCTAATCCAGGCAGGAAAGGTCATGAGACTCTTTCCTCCAATTAAACATCGAAAAGCTGAAAGTGGAGTTTTCCTTCAAGTGTTTTTTTTGTCAGTCCTGGGGCTTGAACTCAGGGCCTGGGCGCTGTCCCTGAGCTGCTTTTACTCAGGGCTAGCGCTCTACCACTTGAGCCACAGCGCCACTTCTGGCTTTTTCTGTTTTTATGGTACTGAGGAATCGAACCCAGGGCTTCATGCATGCAGGGCAAGCACTCTACCACTGAGCCACCTTCCCAGCACCATTTTTGAGTGACAAATCTCAGAGACAGAGCCTGTGGCCCTGAGTTCAAGCCACAATACCAGCGCATGGGCACACGCACGCACGCACGCACGCACGCACCCGCACACAGACATGAATCTGTTCTGTCCTTCAACAGGCTGCAATGTTCTTGTCTGTCCCTTTGTTTCAGAGCTTGCTTCAGAGCTTTCAGAGACGAGTTTAATGCTACTAGAAGGTTCGGTTGCTGACCCACCTTGACAGGTGTCTCTGTTTTTAGCCCTTGGGCCTAGTGGGCCTTTAGGCAAGATGTCACTGCCCATCGGGATGTGCCGCCGGGCGTTCAGCTATGACGATGCCCTAGAAGAGCCCGCGCCCATGACCCCTCCCCCATCGGACATGGGCAGCATCCCCTGGAAGCCAGTGATCCCTGAGCGCAAGTACCAGCTCCTCGCCAAGGTACTGGACCCCGCTGATGGCTTCCAGCAGACCCAGATCCTCATTCCCCCCCACCTACCACTCCCGCGCCACAAGCCTTCCTAGCCCTCAGAAGGAGCAGCACCCACTTTCTGTGTGTGTGTGCAAAGTGAGCTGTGTGCTTGTGGCTCACACCTCTAGAATCCCAGCGACTCCGGAGGCTGAGATCTGAGGATCCCGGTTCAAAGCCAGCCTCGGCAGGAAAGTGTATGAGATTCCTATCGCTAACGATCCACCAAAAAGCTAGAAGTCGAGCTGTGGCTCTAGCGGTCAGCCTGGAGTGGCAGAACGAAGGGGCGCTGTTTTCAGTCTTGAGTTCAAGTACTGAGCTCCCCCTGTTAAAAGTCCAAGCTCTCCCCAGCTTCCTTTCCCATGATCCAGCCTTGCAAGTTACCTAGGAGCTGTCCCATGTATAAATAATTGCATATACGGTATGTGTAATGAGGGAGATGTGCCGCTCCGCCCAGTGCCCAGCAAGTCTATTATTTTATGACCATCCAGAGACTGTCTAGCTGCCCCTTGAGAACCGAGGCTATGTGTCCCTGGGTACAGGCTGGTGAGGGGACCATAGTGTTTTATGTGGAACCAATAAGATAACTTGAGAACAAGACCCAAAAGTATGAAAAAAAAGGATGCCATTCATTTATGCTCTTTCTGTCTGTCTGTCTTGTCTGTCTGTCTCGAGCTGTCTACATACATATATCCCTCCTGGGCATCGCATGAAGGAACTCTTACACAGTGGTAGTGGTTTTGTGCGTGAAGATCTCATGGTGTGGGACTTAGAGGTTTCACACCCAGCACTCAATAATTAGCACCAGGCCTGCCACACACAGACATTCATTTTGTAGCTGGAAGGGCGATCTGGAGCACCTGGCTGTGGTGACTAGTAGCCCCTCAGTCCCGCATTTCAGGGTACACTGTACTCTGCTCTTTTTTGCCCTCGGGGGCCTAACTTCTTTTTCATTCAAGATTGGTACTCTGCCACTTGAACCATGGCCCCACTTCAGGCTTTTTGGTGGCGACTGGGAGGCGAGAGCGCGTGGTCTTTTCTGCCTGGGCAGACTTCTGTCTGCAATCCTCAGATCTCAGCCTGCTGAGTAGCTGGCATTACAGGTGTGAGCCACCAGTGTCCAGCTTGGATTTTTGTTTCTGGTACTGGGGATTGAACCCACGGCGGTGTACTTTCTAGGCGAGCACTTTGCCCGTGAGCTGCCTCCCAAGGCGGCTCCTGCCCCCTTTTGTTTAAATAAAGGCTAGTATTGGGGGCTTGAGCTTAGAGCTGAACACTGCCTCTTAGCTTTCTTGTTCAAGGCTGGCACTTTACCATTTTGAGCCACAGCGCCACTTCCGGTTTCCTGGTGGTTCATTGGAGAGAAGAGTCTCATGCACTTTCCTGCCCGGGCTGGCTTTGAACCACGATCCTCAGATCTCAGCCTCCTGAGTAGCTGGGATGACAGGCGTGAACCATTGATACCCAGCCATTTGCAGCTCTTTTTTTTTTTTTTTTTGATGGTTCGTTGGAGATCCGAGTCCTCATGGACTTTTTCCTGCTTGGCCGGCCTCAAACCACCAGCCTCCAATCTCAGCCTCAGTGAACGGCTAGGATGACAAGCATGAGCCATGCTACCACCGCCCAGCAATTCCTCAGCCTTAGCCCCTCTCAATCCTCCCTATTAGAAATGGGCGGGGCCAGCAGTGTGCTGATAATTCATAATCTACCAACGAGGGCGACCAGCTTTCCCTTCACATCTTCCCACGTAAAAGATCTGCTGGAGTCAAGTTTAGGTCCAAGACTCCTCAAGTGCTCCCGCTCAAGTGCTCCCTTTTCTCTCTTGACCAGGAAGAGGGAGACGCCAGTGTGTCCCCCCCGGCCGAGGCCACTGAGGGTGCCGACAAGGTCCCGGTGGTGAAGGCTAAGGCCACCCATGTCATCATGAATTCTCTGATCACAAGTAAGCACCGCGCAGGCGCAGAGTGAGGCGGGCTGGGGCGGAGCTTAGGCCTGCGGTCAACAGCCCTCCCTTCCAGGGCTCGGTTGGTACTGTGAGCAAAACAGTCTTCTCTTTTCTTTGTATGTTTTGGCCAGTCCTGGGGCTCCAACTCAGGGTCTAGGCGCTGGCCCTGAACTTTAAGGCTGGCATTCTACCACTTGAGTCACAGCGCCACTTCTGGCTTTTTCTGTGTATGTGGTACTGAGGAATCGAACCCAGGGCTTCGTGCATGCTAGGCAAGCACTCTACCACTGAGCCACCTTCCCAGCCCCCAGAACTGTCTTTTCTATCAAAGTGTAGTGCTTCAAAGTTCCTGCTTTGGCCTGGTGGCTTGGCTTTTGTTCAGGAAAAGAGACCTGCTTTGGGACAGGAGAGGACTTTTGAAATGTAACGTTTTATCTTAAAATGGTTTCTTTCCAAGCATGCCTTGCTCAGGAAATAGCACAGGGCCGGGCGCTGGTGGCTCACGCCTGTCATCCTAGCCACTCAGGAGGCTGAGATCTGAGGATCACGATTGGAAGCCAGCCTGGGCAGGAAAGTCCGTGAGACTCTGATCTCCCATGAACCACCAGAAAACCAGAAGTGGCGCTGTGGCTCAAGTGGTAGAGCGTTTGCCTTGAGCTGAAGAGCTGAGGGACAGCGCCCAGGCCCAGAGTTCAAGCCCCACGATTGACCAAAAAAAAGAAATAGCAGGGGGTGTGGGTCCATTTTGAGATTACTTGCAAATTGTTAATCTTATATAAATACATTTATGATCTTATCCAAATACATTTTGCCCTATTCAAACTCAACTAGCCAAATGAGAGCAGAGGCTGACCCTGACCTCAGCCAATCAGAGCAGAGGGGCGGGGCCTACCAGCCTCAGAGATAAATACCTGAGCGGCCTGCCAGCACTGCTTGCTTGCTTGCTTGCTAGCCAGAGTTCTGGCTGGCAGCGCCCCCTTGTGTGCAGAGGTAAATTTTGCCTTGCTGAGACAATTCTTTATTTCTGTGTGTGTCCTGTGACTCTTACCGGTTCGCATGTCTACAGCACTGCTTTGGCTGATGAGTCTCTGAGCACTGAATCTCCATTTCAGTGGGTGGTTTTGCCCAGCATTGGGCATCCTTGTGGGCTCAGTATTATAGGCCTGAGCCATGGTGTCTGGCTTGAACTCAGGGCCTGGGCGCTGTCCCTGAGCTGTTTTTTTGCTCAAGGCAAGCACTCTACCACTTGAGCCACCATTCCACTTAAGTATTTTTGCTTTCATTTTGTCTTTAATGGGAGATCAGAGTCTCAGAGACTTCCTCACCTCGGCTGCCTTTGAACCATGATCCTCAGATCTCAGCCTCCTGAGTAGCTAGGATGATAGGCGTGAGCTACTAGCACCAGCCCTTGGCTCTGTTTTTTACAAGTGAACTTTTGGGGCCGGGAAAGTGGCTCAGTGGTATAGAGTGTTCGCCTAGCATGCATGAAGCCCTGGGTTCCATTCCTCAGTACCACATACACAGAAAAAGCCAGAAGTGGTGCTGTGGCTCAGTAGAGTGCTAGCCTTGAGCAAAAGAAGCTCAGGGATAGTGCCCAGGCCCTGAGTTCAAGTCCCAGGACTTCCTCCCCTCCCTCCCCCAAAAAAGTGAACTTTGGATTTACTAATCTTTAAATTTTAAGCCATAGCTGCACGTAAAATCCAGGTATTAGTGTAGAGGAGTTAATTAAAACCCTTCTTCCTTAGACCTGGTGGTTCATGGGACTAATCCCAGATTTTTGGGTGGGTGGAGGACAGGAGGATCATGGTTCAAGACCATCCTAGGCAAAACACTTGCGACTCCATCCCAAATAATAAGCTGCGTGTGGATGGGTGGTGGTGAACTTTGGTCATCGAGATGTTTCCAAAGCGTAAGTAGGCCCATGCTCTAGACCAGCAGGACTCTAATCTAAAACTAACTAAAGCAGAGCCAGTGGTGTGGCTCAAAGAAACCGTAGCTTGCCTGCCTAGCAAGCACAAAGCCCCGAGTTCGTACCTCAGCACTGCACAAAACCGCCACTACAAATCTTTGTTGCCTTTTAGAGTTTTAAGACTGGAAAAACGCTTTTATAGATTCGAGATTCGTTTCCTACGTTTCTCTATGCAAGGTTGTATTCTGTAAGTTGAAAAGATTAGGCAACAATCCAGCTGCCGTTCACCCCACAGTGTAAATGACTTGAGAAAATCAGTTCGCGCTGAGTGGACGGCCAGGACTCGGGGCCAGGCCGCCCTACCCCAAAGAAACTTGGACCACTTCAGAGCAGAGTGTCTGTGCTGTGAATATAGTTGGTCTCTCGGTACCCGCTAGCCTGAATGTGACTTGTTTGCTTTGGCCAGAGTTTGTGGGTGAGTGATGGGGTAGTGAGTCTTGATGAAAACTTGGTACTTTTTTGTTTTTGATCATTCCTGGGCCTGAACTCTGGGCCTGGGCGCTGTCCCTCAGCTCTTCAGCTCAAGGCTAGCACTCTACCACTTGAGCCACAGCGCCACTTCCGGCTTTTTCTGCTTATGTGGTGCTGAGGAATTGAACCCAGGGCCTCATGCATGCAAGGCAAGTGCTCTACCACTGAGCCACCTTCCCAGCTCCTTTTATTTTTATGTGCCAGTACTGGGCTTGAACTCAGGGCCTGGGTACCAGCCTTTAGCTTTTTCTCCCAAGGCTAGGGGCTCTACCACTTGAGCCACAGCTCCGCTTCTAGCTTTTTGGTGGTTAAGTTGGAGATAAGAGTCTCACGGACTTTCCTGCATTGGCTGGCTTTGACCTGTGATCCTCAGATCTCAGCCTCCTGAGTAGCTAGGATGACAGATGTGAGCCACCTGTATTGGGCTTATGGTTTTTTTCTGTTGTTGGTGGTGGTGGTGGTGGTGATCATGGGGCTTGAACTCAGGTTCTGGGCGCTGTCCCTGATCTTTTGTGCACTTGGCTAGTGCTTCCACTTGAGCCACAGCACCACTTGCAGTTTTCTGGTGGTTCATTGGTGATAAGAGTCTCACAGACTTTCCTACCCGGGCTGGCTTTGAACCGCGATCCTCAGATCTCAGCCTCCTGAGTAGCTGGGATGACAGGCGTGAGCCACCAGTGCCCAGCTACTCCTAGGAACTTCTCATCACAAGCTGCTCTGGCTGGGAGAGGGAAGACTGTTGGCGCTGGGAGCCATAGTGGAATCCGGGTCACCACCTGAGGGCCTGTCTGGGGCAGCCATTCTGGGCTGGTTGGGTGTGGCTGATGGCTCTTGGACCTCAGTGGCATCTCCCCTGCTGGGGGGAGGGCGGGGAGGGGGGTGGGATTGGGCATGACTGTGATCTCCTTTTCCAGAACAGACCCAGGAGAACATCCAGCGTTTTGAGCAACAGGCAGGGCTGAGAGATGTGGGCTACACACCACACAAGGGCCTTACCACGGAGGAGACCAAGTACCTCCGAGTGGCAGAGGCGCTCCATGTACGTGGCCTTCTTGCCTACTTCCTGTAAAGCCCAGTCCTCCTCCCCCCAGTCCCTTCCCCTTCCCTTCCCCTCTCCCCTCAAGTGTTAGAGCACCTTGCCCGGCCCTGGTGGCTCCCGCCTGGCATCCCAGCTACTCAGGAGGCTGAGATGTGAGGATCACAGTTCAAAGCCAACCTGGGCAGGCAAGTCCTTGAGATTCTCATCGTTAATAAACCACCAGAAAACCAGAGCTTGGAGCTGTGGCTCCAAGTTGGAGAGCACTCGCCTTGAACAAAAGAGCTCAGAGACGGCACCCAGGCCCTGAGTTCAAGTACCACGACTGACAAAAAAAATAAAAATAAATGAAAAGCTAAGGGACAGTGCCCAGACCCAGAGTTCAAGCCCAGGACTGGTGTGTGTACATGCTCGCGCGCGTGCACACACACACACACACACAAATGTATGTACTATAGTCCCAAATTTTTCCATCTTGGATTTTTTTTGTCGTTTGTGGGGCTTGAACTCAGGGCCTGGGCGCTGTCCCTCAGCTCTTCAGCTCAAGGCGAGCGCTCTACCACTTGAGTCACAGCGCCACTTGCGGTTTTCTGGTGGTTCATGGGAGATCAGAGTCTCACGGACTTTCCTGTCCGGGCTGGCCTTGAACCGCGATCCTCAGATCTCAGCCTCCTGAGTAGCTAGGATGACAGGCGGGAGCCACTGGCGCCCGGCGCATTTTCTTTCATTTGCTTAAAAGTCAGAGTGCTGTTTTGGGTTAACTTTTACTTTGACCAAATTTCGTCCATCTGAGCAGAAACTGAAGCTACAGAGCGGGGACCTAACAAGAGAAGAAAAGCAGCCCGCCTCAGCCCAGTCCACCCCGACCAGCACCCCCCAGTCTTCCCCTAAGCACAAGCCCAGGTGAGCACTACCTGGGAGCCGCTGAGTCCAGTCGCCTGGGTGCAGGTGGGCCTGGAGTTGGACTTCCGGTTTGGGCTGGGAAGTGGACATCATCCATTATCCCGCTCTTAGCCAGGGGTAATTCATGCCTTTCATCCTAGCTATTCAGGAGGCTGAGATCTGAGGATCACAATTCAAGGCTGGCCTGGGGAAGAAAAGTCCTTGAGACTTTTGGTTTTGGTTGGTGATGGGGCTTGAACTCTGGGCCTGGGCGCTGTCCCTCAGCTCTTCAGCTCAAGGCAAGCGCTCTACCCTTGAACCACAGCGCCACTTCTGGTTTTCTGGTGGCTCATGGAAGATGAGAGTCTCATGGACTTTCCTGCCCCGGGCTGGCTTTGAACCGGGATCCTTGGATCTCAGCAGAGCCCGGCAGAGTTTTTTTGGTGTGAGATGCCTGAGTCGCAGACGGCGGTGTATTGAATACTTCGTGCTCTTCTTCTAGAGGCTGGTTCACCTCTGCATCCTCCATAGCCCTGCCTGGCCCGAATCCTAGCACCATGGATCCCGGAAGTGGGGATAAGGACAGAAACATGGCGGATAAGTGGAGTCTCTTTGGACCAAGGCCTCTGCAGAAGTCCGACTCCGGTGCGTCACGTCCAGGAAAGCCCTCAGTGGGAAAAGCGCCTTTTCCTCGTGGCTCGGGCCTTGTAACCCTTTGCTCCCTGATTTCCTTCCACAGGAGGTTTCACCCTCCAGGCCTACAAAGGGGCGCAGAAGCCCACCCCCATGGAGCTGATCCGTGCCCAGGCCACCCGATCAGCCGACGATCCAGCCACCTGCAAGCCCCCCAAGATGGACACCCCCGTGACAGAAGGGAAAAAGCCACCGCCACCTCCACGGACCCACACTCTCAAACCCCGAGACTTCAACGTGCTCACGCCCACTGGCTTTTAGCGCACTCCCTCGTCCCTGGAATTCTGTCCTTTTGGTTGTGACAGAGGAGTGGTATCTTCTGACCGCACCTGCTCAGCTGCGGCTAGAGCTAGACATAGGCAGTGATTTTCTTTCGAGCAAACCAGTAGTTGAGCTTCGGTCGTTCCGTCCCGATGGCAGCAGTGGTGTTTGGGGCTCTCGCCTGTGCCGTTCTGTAGCCCGAGCCACAGGTTTTTGACCCTCGCTTACTAGGTGAATTAGCTGTAGCAAGTCCCAAACCCAACTCTTGAGTCTTTAAATCAACGTGACCAATGGCGTCCATGGAGTATCTGATTTGTTAGGGCCCCAGGGTCCTGTTTGAGATCTGGGCAGTGAACAGGACCCCCCACTTTCTAGGCTGGAACTAGAGGTGCCTTCTTGGTTTTTGTTTTCAATCAACCCTAGTGGAATCATGACTCACTGCAGCTAAGTTCTCCCTGTTCCTTTCTCACAAGCAGAAGCCTTTCCTGTACTTTCAAGGGAAACCAGTTGGATGGCATTTGGAGAAAATGGAGTACTGCGTTCGTCTTGCTAAGTGGATGCCCATGTTTTCTTTTTCGGGGGGGGGGGGGGCGAGGCTGGAAATTTGATCAGGGTCTCGTGCATGTTCAAACGCTACATCTAGGGGCTGGAAGTTTTGAGGAGATGTACCCATTAATCTGACCTCATTTTGATTTCTTTTTCCAGGCTAGCTAGGGGCTTGGGAACTTTCTTAACAAAAGAAGTTTTTTTTTTTTTTTTTCAGAGGGGGACAATACATTTTTCTAAGAGCATTTTCCATCAAAACGAGCCCCAAACTTTCTGGAAAACACATCCTTTATTTCTCCTTGCTGTGTTCCATCCTGTTCTACATGGGCTCAGATTCTCGCTGTTCTTGTTTTGGGTGGTGTTTTGTTTACAGAAGAGTTCACCTTCTCAGAGAGCAGCCCTGGAGTTTAAAATTGTCAGAAAAATTAATTTATTTGTGTCTTTGTTACATCACTCGTACTGACAATAAAAATCCTTACTTTCTCAACTGTGGATATGTAGCTTTTTATTGGGTTAAGTGTAGCTGTTTGAAGCCAGGCATCAGTAGCTCCCACCTGTATTCCCAGCTACTCAGGAGGCTGAGACTTAAGGATTGAGGTTTGAGGCCAGTAGGAAAGTCCACAAGATTCTTATCCCTAATTAACCACCCACCCAAAAAGCTGGAAGTGGCAATGTGGCTCAGATGCAGAGTGCCAGTTTTGAGCAAAAATGCTAGGAGAAGCGTGGCACCAGTGGCTCATGCCTGTAGTCCTAGCTGCTCAGGAGGCTGAGATCTGAGGATCTGTTTGAAACCAGCCGGGGTTAACAACGTCCCTGTGAGTCTCTTCTCTCCAGTGAACCACCAGAAGACGGCAAGTGGCCCTGGTTCAAAGTGGTAGAGCACTAGCCTTGAGCAAAAAAGCTCAGGAGCTGTGTCTAGGCCCTGAATGAGTTTAAGTCCCATGTATATTCAAGCCTGGGTACTGGCACACACAAGGGAAAAAAAAAAATAGCCATCTGCCTACCAATCATCATGAAAAAACTTGGTGTTCTAAAAACTATTGTCTTTATTGTGGCTTTTCTGACATGTTTTTCTAGCACACTTGTTTCTAACCACCCCAGCTGGTTACATGAGATCTTGATACACTGGGCACAGTCCCACGGGTGCCACACAAAAGGTCTGAGAGCAGGGGGTAGGGGTGAGGGGTGGAGGTCCCCTACGGGACAAGCGGTGTCCTTAGGAATGCAGAACAGGTATCCTTAGGAATGGCCACGTTGATGTAGCTTGCCCGGCCCACGGCCTCTCCTCACATTTTGAATGGAAATGTCCAAACGTGTAGTGCATATAGTATTACCTAGTTCAAAAAGAGCGTAGATAAATATTAAAAAATAGATACCCTTTGTATATTTAATACACCTTTTTGAGAATAGGGTTAGAGTAGGATTATCAAAAAAACATATACAGGGGGAGCTGGCCAGCTTAGTCTAACCTACAGATACACAGTCTAGGTTTGGCCCTAGGTTTGGAACTACTGTGCATACTTGGGAGCCGCTAAGTGCTTGGAGGAAGAGTTTGGAGGTATTCTTGGTGTGCGGTTGCTTGGGAGGCCCTCACGAATGGCTCCAGCGCTTCGGGCCCGGCTCGGTGTCGGGGTTCAAGTCAGCGGCGTAGAAGAGCAGCAGCTTCAACAAATGCACTTTGTCTTGGAGCTGGGGGACCAGGGGCTCCCCGAGAATTTGGACCAGGCGGCCGCGGAAGGCCTCGATCTGCTTCTCCACATCCACCACGGTGATGTCGTCGCCTTGCTGGGGTTTGGGCTTGATCCTCTTGATGATTAAGTCCTTGCGGTCGATCACCGAGCTCCGGAGGTGCTCTGGAAAGAGAGGTCAAGGTGAACCACCTCGGCCTTCAGGATCGAAGCCTTGAAGGCTGCTTGCAGAGGGATTGGCCAGCTGCTGGCCACCAGGAGACAGGGCGGTGAGAGACCGGGAACCCAAACCCATCGCTGGAGCCCTGAGGTCTTGGTGTCACTTGCAGCCTCTAAAGATTTCAGGTCTTTAACAAAAGCGGGTTTTCCTGTTGTGCACAGGTAGCTCACCTGTCATCCTAGCCTCTCAGAAGGCTGAGATCTGAGGTTGTGGTTCAAAGCCCTCCTGGGCCGAAAAGTTCATGAGACTCTTTAACCGCCAAAATGCTGGAAGTGGAGCTGTGGGTCAAGTGGTAGAGCACCAGCCTTGAGCACAAAAACTTCAGAGATGGAGTGGAGGCCCTCAGTTCAAGTACTAGGACTGGCACGCATGTGTGTGTGCGCGCGCACACAGATCATCAAGTCACCTAAATTTCTTCTGATTGTATTAACATAGTTTATTAAGGCTTGCTGAAGTCAACTGTAAAAACTTAAAGGAAAATGGTGTGTGTGTGTGTGTGTGTGTGTGTGTGTGTGTGTGCATGCACGTGAACACTTGCTAGTAAAAGGGCTTAAACTCAGGGTCCAGGTACTGTTCTTTAGCATTTTTCACTCAACGAGGGCCTTCACTCACTAATTTGTGTCTGGTCTTTTTTTTTTGTTTTGGTTGGTTGTGGGGCTTGAACTCTGGGCCTGGGCGCTGTCCCTCAGCTCTTCAGCCCAAGGCGAGGGCTCTGCCACTTGAGTCACAGTGCCACTTCCGGTTTTCTGAGTGGTTTATTGGAGATCAGAGTCTCCTGGACTTTCCTGCCTGGGCTGGCTTTGAACTGCGATCCTCCGTTCTCAGCCTCCTGTGAGTAGCTAGGATGACAGATATGAGCCATGGCGCCCAGCTGAGTGCAGCTTTTAAAATGGGAGTTTTTGGAAGTGGCGCTGTGGCTCAAGTGGTAGAGCGCTTGCCTTGAGCTGAAGAGCTGAGGGACAGCGCCCAGGCCCAGAGTTCAAGCCCCATGACCAACCAACCAACCAACAAACAAAAATAAACTGGGAGTTTTGGGCTATTCACAAGCATTAGGAAAAGCCTCTAGAGAGAGCAGTTTCTGCCAAGCCTTACCCGGCCTCGGCTCCCTGAGCTGGAGCATGAGCTCATGGTGGTATTTGCCCCTGCCCCCTACAGAAATGTGCAAAATGAGGGATCAGGGTACACCTCCAGGTTAAAAAGTGTTAAAAAACTGACTTGAGACAGACCTGCTTTAATATTCAACTTTGTTAGGTCAGCAAAAGAGACAATTACATAGTCAACAAGGCTAGTAAGTACTCAGGGAACTGATATCAGGGCACTGTGCTTAGAACAACTTGTGTCTTTCTGTCAGGACACTAAAACATTGTACCAACTACCTGGCACTGGTGGCTCACGCCTGTCATCCTAGCTACTCAGGAAGCTGAGATCTGAGGATCATGGTTCAAAGCCAGCCTGGGCAGGAAAGTCCGTGAGACTCTTATCTCCAGTGAACCACCAGAAAACCAGAAGTGGCGCTGTGGCTCAAGTGGTAGAGCGCTTACCTTGAAGAGCTGAGGGACAGCGCCCAGGGCCAGAGTTCAAGCCCCGCTACTGACCAAAAAGAAAAAAAAAAAAAAAGCCAAAACAAAAAACCAGCAGTGGTGCTGTGGCTCAAGTGGTAAAGCGCTACCCTTGAACACGAAGAAGTTCAGGGAACAGTGCCCAGGTCTTGAGTTCAAGCCTCAGAACTGGCAAAAAAAACAAATGCACCAACTACATAAACACTTTGGCCCCAGTTCTGGGTGTTCTGAAGCATGTTGTGTAGGTCTGAACTCAAGACCTGGAGTTGTCACTTGGCTTTTCCTTTTGTCCAAGGCTGATGCTCTTCCACTTGAGCCATACCTCCACTTCTGGCTTTCTGCAGGTTCACTGGAGATAAGAGTCTCAGGAACTTTCCAGCCTGGGCTTGGCTTTGAACCATGATCCTCAGATCTCAGCCTCCTGAGTAGCTAGGGTGACAGGCGTGAGCCACCGGTGCCCGGCTGTGTTTAGAATTGATGTGTTTTATGTGCAACAGAATCATGGTGCTTGTTTTGAGACTGATGTTTATAACATCTGTAGTGAAGAAATCCTCAGCCAAGGCAGTTGTAGCAGAGGCCGGGCAGATGCCAGGGCTGTCAGGGATTATAGCAAGTCAGTACCAGCTCTGTCCACATTACCCCCACCCCCACCCCCCCAGGAGCAGCACCAGGCCATCAGCCACCACAAAACCAGGTGGCTGTTCACAGCGGTGTGTGGAGCCATGTTAATGACTTCCCTTAGCTACTTGTGAGTTCCTTACCTCTTAAGACGTGTTGGTAACTAGACAAGAGAAACTGAAGGTGTTCAACCAGCTCGTCCCAAATCTGCCACTGGCTTTTCTCTGATTGCTGAGTGAGAAAAATGAGTGAACGGTAAGAGCCTTTCCTGGTGAACATTACGATTCAGATTAAAATATATATATATATATATATATATATATATATATATGTATATGGGCTGGGAAGGTGGTTTAGTGGTAGAGTGCTGGCTTAGCATGCGTGAAGCCCTGGGTTCGATTCCTCAGTACCACAGACACAGAAAAAGCCGGACATGGTGCTGTGGGTCAAGTGGTAGAGTGCTAGCCTTGAGCAAAAGAAACTCAGGGACAGTGCTCAGGGTCTGAGTTCAAGCCCCAGGACCTAGGCATTGTCTCTGAGCCTTTTTGCTTAAGGCTGGTGCTCTACCCATTGAGCCACAGCTCTACTTCTAGACTTTTTTTGTGGTTCATTGGAAGTAATAGTCTCAGAAACTTTCCTTCCCTGGCTGGCTTTGTACTGTGATCCTCAGTAATCTGTGTAGCTAGGGTTACAGGTGTCAGCCATGGGTTATTTCCTTGGTTAGTTAAGTTTGTTCCTTCCCTTCCTCCCTCCCTTTTTATTTTTCCTCTCCGTGTACCTCTCTCCCACCCAATTCTATAGTTTGAAGTGCTAGGCAAGCATTTTCCCACTTGAGCCACAGCTCCTCTTCAATCTTTTTGGTGGTTCATTGGAGATAAATCTCAGACTTTCATGCCCGGGCTGGCTTTGAATTGTGATCCTCAGATTTCAGCCTCCTGGGGAGCTAGGATGATAGACGGGAGCCACTGGCATCTGATTGATGGTTTTTTTGTTGTTGTTTTTGTTTTTTGTCGGTTGTGGGGCTTGAACTCTGGGCCTGGGCGCTGTCCCTCAGCTCTTCAGCTCAAGGCTAGAGCTTTACCATTTGAGCCCCAGCACCACTTCCAGCTTTTTCTGCTTAGGTGGTGCTGAGGAATCGAACCCAGGGCCTCATGCATGCAAGGCAAGCGCTCTACCACTGAGCCATCTTCCCAGCCCCTGAAGGTGCAGTCTCAAGTTGACTTACAATGCTGTTCAAAGAGCAGACTGAGGGGAAGGCGGGCTGGCCTGGGAGGGAAGCGGGACCGTGTACCTGGCACTTGAGCAGAGATGTGGAGTTGTTCAGGAAATACAGGGCCTGGGCCAGGGACAAGGGCAGGCGCGTGGGTGTCTGGCAGCCGTGCAGGAAGATGATTTCCAGCACTTTGCAGCGCAGAAGGTGGCTTTCCATGGTGCTGAAGAACATCTCCCTAGGGGACGAGGAGGAGAGGCCATCAGCCATCGATTTCCAAGACCAGATGTCACCCTCAAAAAACCAGCTGTCATCCTAGCTACTCAGGAGGCTGAGACCTGAGGATCACGGTTCAAAGCCAGCCCGGGGAGGAAAGTCTGTGAGACTCTGATCTCCAATGAACCACTCAGAAAACCGGAAGTGGCGCTGTGGCTCAGGTAGTAGAGTGCTCACCTTGAGCTGAAGAGCTGAGGGACAGCGCCCAGGCCCCAAAACAACACCTGCCCTGAAAAACCAGTTGAGAGCCAGGTGCTGGGGTTCATGCCTGTAACTGCGGATCGCGGTTCAAAGCCAGCCTAGGCAGAAAGTGAGACTTCTCTCCACTGAACCAGCAAAAGGCTGGAAGTGTGACTCAAGTGGTAGAGCACCAGCCTTGAGCAAAAAAAAAAACAAAAAAAACAAACACCTAAGTACCCAGGCCCAAAGTTCAAGCCTTATGACCGAACCAAAAAAAAAATCATGCCGCCCATGGGCAGGGTGGAAATGGATTTCCTCATGAACTACCAACTACCAGGATAAGAGAGAAGACCGGACACAAGCACACATTAGAGAATTATGCCATATTTAACTATGAGAAGTAACTACACTGCCACTGATGGCCGACTTCTATAATCCTAGCTACTCAGAAGGCTGAGATTTGAGGCTCGAGGTCTGAGGCCAGCCTGGAAGTCTTTTAAGATTCTTCCTGCCAATGAACCAGCAAAAAGCTGGAAGTGGAGGTTTATGTTCATGGAGTAGAGTTACCAGCCTGGAGTGAACTTGCAAGACCGCAAGGCCCTGAGGTCAAGCCCTGGTAATAGGACCAAAAACAATGATCAATGTAATGGCTGTATCAACAGGATATCCAGAAATTCTGAGTATGCCAACAGGGATAAAACCTAGTTGATAATATCTCCATTCATTCTTCAGAAAAACACTTAGTGAAACGGAAATGGAAGGGAACACCCTCAATCTGACAAAGTATCTAGGGCCCCTCACACTTAATGGTTAATGACTCACTGAGCCCCATAGACCGCAGACCGGGGAGAGCCCGGATGTCCGTCTTCATCACCTTAGTATTATACTGGGAAAAGGCGAGAAAAAGACCAAGAGGCGCCCAGGTCGGAAGGAAAGGTGCTTAAACTCTCTTTATTCCTAGACAAGATGGTTGTAAAAGTCAGAATGGGTGAATGCACTCAAGTTCTGAGATTATTATTATTATTTTGTTGTTGTTGTTGGTCATGGGGCTTGAACCCAGGACCTGGGTGCTGTCCCTGATCTCTTTTGTTGAAGGCTAGCGGTCCACCACTAGAATCACAGTGCCACTTTTGGCTTTTTGCTGGTTCATTGGAAATAGAAAGTCTCACGGACCTTTCTTTCCCTGCTGGCTTTGAACCATGATTCTCCAATTGCAGTCACTTGAATATCTAGGATTACAGGCATGAACCACTAGTTCCCAGTTTTATATATATATATATATACATATATAAAAATACATATGTATTTTATAAATGTATATATATATTTTGGTCAGTCCTGGGGCCTGAACTCTGGGCCTGGGCGCTGTCCCTCAGCTCTTCAGCTCAAGGCTAGCGCTCTACCACTTGAGCCACAGCGCCACTTCTGGCTTTTTCTGCTTAATGTGGGGCTGAGGAATTGAACCCAGGGCCTCATACATGCAAGGCAAGCGCTCTACCACTGAGCCACCTTCCCAGCCCTTAAACTAAACTGAATATAATTAAGTTGGGTGGCAAATTTTCCCCTTTGGGAGAGAATTTTAAAGGTATACTTTTGTTAATTAGTTAATTAATTAATGTTGGTCATGGGCGTGGGCGCTGTCCCTCAGCATCTCAGTTCAAGGCCAGCGCTCTACCACTTGAGCCACAGCGCCCCTTGCGGTTTTCTGAGTGGTTCATTGGAGATAGAGAGCCTCATGGACTTTCCTGCCCAGGCTGGTTTTGAACCGTGATCCTCCGATCTCAGCCTCCTGAGTAGCTGGGATGACAGGTGTGAGCCACAGGCATCTGGCTTATTTAGTTCTTTATTAAAGAGCAGAAGCAGACTCACCTCTGGCTCCTCTCAGGAATGTCCAGCACAAACCCAAACATCATCTCAGCGATCTTGTTGGAGCTGCAGGTGGGCGTCCTGTCGACCTCCACAGCGATAGATAGCATCCGCTGAAGCTGGCACACGATCCTGGGCCAGAACGCAGGACACGGTGAACGGGAGGATGCATGGGGAAGGCTTTCCCCCGATAGATGAGGCTCGGGACTCGGGGATGGTCAGGGAGAGCCGCTTGAGCCTTTGGCATGCTTTCATTGAGCAGGTTCACCTGCAGGGTTATTCTGCCTGATCATCATCCTCTCTGAGCCCCTTAGATCCTGGCATAGGGGCTGGGAAGGTGGCTCAGTGGTAGAGTATTTGCCTAGCCTGCATGAGGCCATGGGTTCGATTCCTCAGCACCACATACATAGGAAAAGTCAGAAATAGTCCTGTGGCTCAAGTGGTAGAGTGCTAGCCTTGAACCAAAGAATCTTAGGGACAGTGCCCAGGCCCTGAGTTCAAGCCCCACACAAACAGAACCACACAATCTCAGGGGCTAGAGAACTTTAATCAGTACCTACTTTATCATCTCTGTTTTATTTTATTTTATTTATTTTTTGTTGGTCGTGAGGCTTGAACTCTGGGCCTGGGCGCTGTCTCTGAGCTCTTCAGCTCAAGGTGAGGGCTCTACCACTTGAGCCACAGCGCCACTTCCGGTTTTCCAGTGGTTCATTAGAAATGAGCCTCACAGACTTTTTTCCTGCCCAGGCTGGCTTTGAACTGCGATCCTCAGATATCAGCCTCCTGAGTACACAGGATTATAGGCATGGGACACTGATGCCCAGCTCAGTTTTATAAAGAAGAAACAGGGCTAAGATGACTAAAATGACCTAAAGTTCTTTGGCCAGGAGAAACTATGCATTTCCTACATATTTTTCTTTCTCCTGTTATTTTAGAGTATAATAGTTTAAGCTGGGTGTTGGTGGCTCCCGCCTGTCATCCTAGCTACTCAGGAGGCTGAGAGCTGAGGATCATGATTCAAAGCCAGCTTGGGCAGGAAAGTCCGTGAGACTCGTCTCCAATGAACCACCAGAAAACCGGAAGTGGTGCTGTGGTTCAAAGTGGTTGAGCACCGTTACTAGCAAAAGAACTCAGGGACAACACCTAGTCCTGTGTTCAAGCTCCATAACTGACAAAAAGAATACAATAGGGGCTGGGAAGGTGGCTCAGTGGTAGAGTGCTTGGCTTGCATGCATGAGGCCCTGGGTTCGATTCCTCAGCACCACATAAGCAGAAAAAAACAGATGACTTCCAGGGCCCTACTGTTATTTCTACTAACGTTTACTTTTTTTTTTTTTTTTGGGTCCAGTGGTGGGGCCTGAACTCTGGGCCTGGGCGCTGTCCCTCAGCTCTTCAGCTCAAGGCTAGCGCTCTACCACTTGAGCCACAGCACCACTTCCGGCTTTTTTTTTTTTTTGCTTATGTGGTGCTGGAGGAATCGAACCCAGGGCCTCAGGCATGCAAGGCAAGTGCTCTACCACTGAGCCACCTTCCCAGCCCCTTGTTTTTTGTTTTTTCAAACTGAAGGAACTGTGTCTTCCTTCATTTTTAGTCAGGGCCTTATACTCTCCCTGAGCTGGAAGTGGTGCTATGGCTCAAGTGGTAGAGTGCATTGAACTGAAGAGCTGAGGGACATCAGAGTTCAGCCCCCACAACTGACCAAAAAAAAAAAGAAAAAGAAAGAATACAATAGTTTATTACTAAGAATAATCTCAGAATGTTCACACCTCTAATCCTAGCTACTCAGGAGGCTGAGATCTGAGGATCATGGTTCAAAGCCAGCCCGGGCAGGAAAGTCCATGAGACTCTTATCTCCAATAAACCACTAGAAAACTGGAAGTGGTGCTGTGATTCAAGTAGTAGAATGCTTGTCTTGAGCTGAAGAGCTGAGGGACAGCACCCAGACCCAGAGTTCAAGCCCCACAACTGACAGAAAAGAAAAAAAGAAGCTCCAGGGACAGTGCTTAGGCTCTGAGTTCAAGCCCCAGGATGGCAAAAAATAAATAAAAAATAAAGTTAAAATTTTAGAGATTTCGTTTTTTCAAATGAGAAGTTTATCATTTGTGTGTATTTGTGTGTGTGTGTGTGTGTGTGTGTGTATGTATGTGTGCGTGTATGCACATGTATTTGTGTCAGGAATGGAATTTGCACTTAGGATTTCTGGTTCTTGCTTAGTTCTATTGTTCAAGCCTAGAGTTCTACCACTTGAGAGGCAGCTCTAGTGTTGAGAGTTAGCCTTTAAACTACTTTTTTTTTTCTGAACTAGTCCTAGGGCTTGAACTCAGGGCCTGGGTGCTGTCTCTGAGCTTCAAGGCTAGCACTCTACCACTTGAGCCATAGTTTCACTTCCAGCTTTTGGAGTAGTTTAGTGGAAATAAGAGTCTCACAGACTCTCTTGCCCAAGCTGACTTTGAACCATGATCCTCAGATCTCAGCCTTCTGAGTAGCCACTGGTACCCATTTTTTTTTAAATCACCCAATTGGTTCGAGGATTGAACCCAGGTCCTTATGCATGTGAGGCAAATACTCTTTTACTGAGCCATATCCCCAAGCTATGATTTACTTATTGCCAGGCCTGGTGTTTGAACTTAAGGGTCAGGGCACTGTCCCTGGGCTTGTTTTACTCAAGGCTAGCACATGAGCCACAGCGCCACTTCTGGCTTTTTCTGTGTATGTGGTGCTGAGGAATCAAACCCAGGGCTTCATGCATGCTAGGCGAGCACTCTACCACTGAGCCACCTTCCCAGCCCTACACTAAGTCTTCTAATAACCACCAACCAAGGTTTCACAGAGCTTCTCGGGAAGACGTGCTATTTTCTAAGGCCCCCTGGGGGAAGGACTGTTTCTGCTAGTCTCTTACAGCTGGTTGGTGGTCTTGGTCAGGTTCGTCTGGGGCGAAGAAGGGTGGATGGTGCTGGCCTTTGAGATTCCGCTTCCTGAAGAGGTCTGAGTCCCCTCGGAGGGCGGAGCAAGTCCATCTTCAGTGACAGCCTTGACCAACCACTTGATAACATCTCTGCAACCGGAAGAAGATAGGAGAGGTTAATCGAACATAGATGCTCAGGAAGGACTGCAGCTGTCACATGGGCTCCCAGACCCCAAAGTCGCCTCAAAGGCTTTTACAACAAACCAGGACTTTTAGGTACTTTTCACTATTCAAGCAAGTCTAATGAAAATTCCCTGTTTAAATGCAGTATGAAAAAAGAAATGTATTGGGCGCTGGTGGCTCACGCCTGTCATCCTAGCTACTCAGGAGGCTGAGATCTGAGGATCTCACTTCAAAACCAGTCTGGGGGAAGGAAAGTCTGTGAGACTCTGATCTCCAATGAACCACCAGAAAACCAGAAGTGGCGCTGTGGCTCAAGAGGTAGAGCGTTCTCCTTGAGCTGAAGAGCTGAGGGACAGCGCCCAGGTCCAGAGTTCAAGCCCCACAACCAACCAAAAAAACCCACAGCAACCTAGCTGTGAACACTAACTCGAAAGGCCAATTTTAGTTGGAGTTTACACTTGGTGACAAATGCCTTGGGGGTCAAAGAGCTCTCGCTGTGGCTTCCTGCCCAGGAGCAATCCCTCAGGCAGGTGGGAAGATGGGATTGATGAAAGTTGTCAGCAATCTACTCTCACCTGTCATCCGATTTATTGATGTATTAATTAATTAATTGATTAAGTTTTGGTAGCAGTTCTGCGGCTTGAATTCAGGGCCTAGGCACTATCCTTTAGCTCTTTCACTCAAAGCTGTCAACTCTGCCACTTGAGCCAGACCTCTATCTCTGGCCTTTTTTTCTGGTTCATTGGAGATAACGAGTCTTGGAGCTTTTCTGCCCAGGCTGGCATCAAACCACAATCTTCAGTTCTCAGCCCCCTGAATAGTTGGGATTATAGGCGGGAGCTGCTATGCCCGGTGAAGTGTCCTCTATTTTTTTTTTTTGTCAGTCGTGGGGCCTGAACTCTGGGCCTGGGTGCTGTCCCTCAGCTCTTCAGCTCAGGGCGAGCGCTCTACCACTTGAGCCACAGCGCCACTTACAGCTTTTTCTGCTTATGTGGTGCTGAGGAATCGAACCCAGGGCCTCATGCATTTGAGGCAAGCGCTCTACCACTGAGCCACCTTCCCAGCCCATACTGAAGGAAATGACTAAGGTCCTGAGCACTGAGGGCTGAGATTCTGAAGTGAAGGAGGCACCATACCTCAAGCAGTCAAAGCTGCCTTTCATGCCAGGCGCTGGTGGCTCACGCCTGTCATCCCAGCTACTCAGGAGGCTGAGATCTGAGGATCACAGTTCAAAGCCAGCCCGGGCAGAAAAGTCTGTGAGACTCTGATCTCCAATGAACCACCAGAAAAACCGGAAGTGGCGCTGTGGCTCAAGTGGTAGAGCGCTCACCTTGAGCTGAAGAGCTGAGAGACAGCGCCCAGGCCCAGAGTTTAGGCCCCACGACCTACCAAAACACAAACAAACAAAAAAAGCTACCTTTCATGATGATTTAGGCTCCAAGAAAAAATGGTGGATCCTATATATACACACATACCTAATTTATTCCTTCTTCAATAATTGTGTGTGTGTGTGTGTGTGTGTGTGTGTGCGTGCACGCATGCACGCTGGTCAGGGACTTTGAACTAAGGCCTGGGCACTGTCCCTGAGCTTTTGTGCTCAAGTCTAGTGCTCTACCACTTGAGCCACACCTCCACTTCCAGTTTTTGGTGGCTCATTGGAGATAAAAGTCTCACATACTTGCCCACCTGGGCTGGCTTTGAACTGTGATCTTTAGATCTCAGCCTTTTAAGTACCTGGCACCAAGCTTACTTTTCTAAGTCCCTACAAGGAAGGAGAGAGGAAACAGCAGTTTAGAGCTGTGACATTTTAGAAAGCAGAAGGGAAGGGTTGGGAAGGTGGCTCAGTGGTAGAGCGCTTGCCTTGCATGCTTGAGGCCCTGGGTTCGATTCCTCAGCACCACATAAGCAAAAAGAAAAAAGCCGGAAGTGGTGCTGTGGCTCAAGTGGTAGAGCGCTAGCCTTGAGCTGAAGAGCTGAGGGACAGCGCCCAGGCCCAGAGTTCAGGCCCCATGACCGGACCCAAAAAAAAAAAAAAAATAGCAGAAGGGAACTGAAGGATGACCAGGACTCTGTTCTGTCACTTAGTGGTACACATGAATAAATTACAGTGAGCGACAAGCCATCATATATATGACTCTTATATTGTAAAATAGTGAGCGAAAAACAAAAATCTCAACACTTCAATAAAGCATGAGGCTTTCTAATATAAAACAACTAAAATACAAATAGACAGCTTAGATGAGGAACACATATCTGGGTTCTACAACTATACAGAAAAGAAAGAACAGAGGAACTGGAGTTATGGCTCAAGTAGTAGAGCACCAGCAAAAACTACTGGCATCAAAAAGAAAAGAAAAGAAAAAAAAAAAAAAAAAAAGGAAGGCTGGGTGCCCGTGGCTCACACCTGTAATCCTAGCTACTCAGGAGGCTGAGATCTGAGGATCACGGTTCAAAGCCAGGCCAGCAGGAAAGGCTGTGAGACTCTTAATTACAATAAACACTCAGAAAACTGGAAGTGGCCTGTGGCTCAAGTGGTAGAGCACTAGCCTTGAGCTGAAGAGCTGAGGGACAGCGCCCAGGCCCAGAGTTCAAGCCCCATGACCAGAAAACAACAACAACAAAAATAAAAGATCAGAAAAATGATCATTAAGCATGCCTAAAGTGTAGGCAGGTATAGGGGAATGAGGTTGATGTGTGGGGGTAGATGGAGACACTTAGAAGGTTCTAGACTTTGACGTGGGAGCAGGTTAATAAATGCTGACTACAGAATTAAAGGTGACCAATTAACTAAGCAAATGAGGTCAGGGTAATATTTTAATCCAAGTCTGTGACTTTGGGAAAGCAATAAATTTTAGGTGACTTAGCAGAACTGGGAAAAGTACGTCAGCAGTAAAATGGTAAACTCAGCTGTAGAAGAATCTTCAAGTTCTGAATATAAATCAAAAGAAACAAAAAAGTAGAGCCGGCAGTGGGTTCTCTGAAGTAAAGGTGAAATGGGTGAATTGAAGTAAAGCTACTGAGGAGGCTGAGATCTGAGGATCACAATTTGAAGCCAGCCTGGACGGAAAAATCCACGAGACTCTCAATTCCAATGAACCACTAAAAAGTGAAGCTGTGGCTCAAGTAGTAGAGAGCCAGCCTTGAGCAAAAGAGCTCAGGGACAATACCCAGGCCCTGAGTTCAAGCCCCACAACTGGCACCTAAAACAAACAAAAACAAAAAAGGGTATATGCCAGGTGTGGTGATGTATACCTTTAGTCTCAGGCTATGGAGATTTTATTGCAGTCAGGAGCTTGACACTAGTAATACAGCAAAACTCTATCTAAAAATCCAAATCAGCCGGGCACTGGTGGCTCACGCCTGTAATCCTAGCTAGTCAGGAAGCTGAAACCTGAGGCTCATGGTTCAAAGCCAACCTTGGCAGGAAAGTCCATGAGACTCTTATCTCTAATAAACCACCAGAAAACTGGAAGTGGCATTGTGGCTCAAGTGGTAGAGCACTAGCCTTGAGCTGAAGAGCTGAGGGACAGCGCCCAGGCCCAGAGTTCAAACCCCACAACTGACAAACCCCCAATAAGCAAAAACAACCAAATAAGATGCAACCAAACCAAAAAAAAAAACAAAATCCTCAAAACCCCAAATTAAACAGTTAGCAAGAGAATAAACCAAGCAAGCAAAAGACACTGGTCGAACACAACAAAAATCCAACATTGGAAGGAGATAAAGGGGAACACTCACATTTAGGAGTGGCAAAGACCACCAACCCAGATTGAAAGGGTTAAAATGTTCCAATCAGATGCAAACACACATTCTGAGTGCAGACTGAGCCCAAGCAGAAAATTGAAGGTTGCTTTCTGATAAGAAAATAAACTAACAGTAAGGCAATGATTAACTAGCAGAGAAACAAAAGCCATGCTAGGAAAAGCAATCCATACGTTGTTACACTCTTACTTAGGATGAATGCTCATTGTTATGGTTTCAGTAAGAAATGTATCCCCACAATCTAGCCAGTTACATGCATGGTCCCCAGATGGCTGTGCTGTTTTGGGTAGTGGTGGAAACTATAGGAGGTTAAGGCCTGGCTGGAGGAAGTTGGTGCAAGTCTAGCTCCTCCTACTCTCCTTGCTTCCTGTCCACCATGAGGTGAAGAAACTCCTCCTTCACACACCCCACTGCTGTGATGTTCTATCCCTGCAGCTAGGGCCATTTAACCACAGAATGAACCTCTGGATCTGTGAGCCTCATCAATTCTTCTGCTTGATTGGGTGATGGTGGCTCCTGCCTGGAATCCTAGTCACTCACGGGGCTGAGTTCTGAAGATCGTGGTTTGAAGCTACCCTGGACTGAAAAGTCAGTGAGACTCTTATCTCCAAGTAGCTAGCAAAAGACCAGAAGTGGTGGTGTGGCTCACATCACAGAGTGCCAGTGTTGAGCCCAAAAAGCCAAATGAGAGTGGGAGGTTGTGATTTCAAGTCCTAGTATCAGCACAAACACCCCAAAACTGAGCACTTTATATACACGAAGGCTTCCATCTCATAGGGCTGTCTGCACAGTACTTCATTCGGACAAGAGTCCAAGCCTTCTGAGAGCAAAACCACTGGAATGATGGTGCCTGCCACACTGATGGTGAAGATTTCCTTCTTTGTTTTCTTCATTTGGGTCAGTTATGGGGCTTGAACTCAGGGGTTTCCAGTTTTTATAATCGCTTCCTGTTAAAGCATCTGGTCAGCTGGGTGCCGGTGGCTCACGCCTGTCATCCTAGCTACTCAGGAGACTGAGATCTGAGGATCATGGTTCAAAGCCAGCCCGGGCAGGAAAGTCCGTGAGACTCTTAGTGCCAATAAACCACCAGAAAGCTGGAAGTGGCGCTGTGGCTCAAGTGATAGAGTGTTCGCCTTGAGCTGAAGAGCTGAGGGACAGTGCCCAGGCTCAGAGCTCAAGTCCCATGACCCCCACACCCCAAAAAAAGCATCTTGTCGTGACTGGTGACCTGAGGAAACCTTATCTATTAATCTACCTAATATTCTCAAGCTGTGTTGTTCAATCTCTGTGTGTGTGTGCTGGTTGTAGGGCTTGAACTTGGTTCTATCCTTTAGCTTTTTTGCTCAAAGATGGTACTTTATCTCTTGAGCCACACCTCCACTTTGGACATTTTGCTGGTTAACTGGAGATAAGAGTCTTGTAGACTTTCTTGCCAGCCTGGCTTCAAACCATCATCCTCAGATCTCAGCCTCCTGATCAAGCTAGGCGTGAGCTACTGTGTCAGGTTTCACCTTGACTGCCAACTTGATTGGACTAAGCGGTGCCCAGGAGAGGAGAGAGAACACCTCTGGGTGTGTTGGTTGAGAGTCCTTCTAGGGATCAGTGTGGCTGGACAACTGGGAGGTAAAAGAACTGTGGGCAGTGGAGGCTGGCTGGAGGAGACTCAGTCTCCCCCGGGCGCTGGCTCGCTCCTGCCCCCTGGTGGCCAGTACCTGACATTGTGGGGCTGCTTGTCGCAGGAGAGCACGGTGTTGGCGATGGACTGCTGCAGGTGATGTCTTTGCCTCCTCAGCGTCTGCTGGAAGTCGTCTTCCAGGGTCTGCACCACGTAACGCAGAAACAGGACTCTCCCGGGCAGAGTCTGACCCTGGGAGGGAAGGAATGGACACGTCAGCCTTTCTCCATGGTCCCTGGATGATGCCAAGTACTGACTTGTCACCCTCAGAAGGCTTCTAGAAGGGCTGGGTCATTGTAAATGAGGAAAAACAGGGAGACTGATAAAAGAATCACACTCTAGAAGAGCTCAGAAACCATTTGTGTGTCAGTACTAGGGTATGAACTCAGGGCCTGGGCACTGTGCCTTAGCTTTTTTACTCAAGAATGGTGCTCTACCATTTGAGCCAAGCCTTTACTTCCAGCTCTTTTGCTGGTTCACCGGAGGTAAGTCACAGGGGGTTTTCCTACCTGGGCTGGCTCTGAACTGTGATCCTCAGATCTCAGCCTTCTCAGTAGCTCGGATGACAGGTGGGAGCCACAGGCCACTAACTGGCTGTATTACTGTTATGTTAGCACCAAGACTTGAACTCAGGACCTTGTGCTCCTTGGACTTGCTTGCTCACAGCTGGCATTCTATCACCTGAGCCACACCTCCAGCCTGGAGTTTTGCTTGGGCTGACTTACTGTTTGTTATTATTATTATTTTTTGGAATAGATTCTCACACTTTTGTCCCGGTCAGCCGGGATGAAGATCTTCCAACTTAGCTCCCATATCCCTGGAATGACAGAGGCACTGCCTCACCCAGCTTTTTTAAAATGGTTGAGATGGGGTCTCGCAAACCTTTTGTCTAGGCTGGTCTTCTCCAAACCTGCCTCTTCAGTAGCCCAGAGTGTAGGCACAAGCTACCTTGCCTAGTTCATTTCAAGGACATAATCCAGCACTGCTGTGGTTTGAATGAGAAACGTCTCCTACAGGGGGGCTGGGAAGGTGGCTCAGTGGTAGAGCGCTTGCCTAGCGTGCATGAAACCCTGGTCTCGATTCCTCAGCACCACAGACACAGAAAAGGCCTAAAGTGGCACTGTGGCTCAAGTGGTAGAGCCCTAGCCTTGAGCAAAAGCAGCTTAAGGGCAGTGCTCAGGCTCTGAGTTCAAGCCTCAGGACTGGCCAAAAAATAAATAAAGGAAAAAGAAAATGTCTCCTACAGGCTCAAGTGCTGAATTCTTGGTTCTTTCACCGGTGATGCTATTTTGGGAGGTTCTGGCAATGGTTAAGAAGCGTGAGCTACGAAGAGGAAGGGGGTTCAACGTGAGTGGTCCCCTGAAGGGCATCTCTCGTTATTGGCCCCTTTCTTTGTCTTTCTCTACTTTCTTTTTTCTTTTCTGTCAGTTGTGGAGCTTGAACTCTGGGTTTGGGCTCTTCAGCTCAAGGTGAGCGCTCTACTGTTTGAACCACAGCGCCACTTCCGGTTTTCTGGTGGTTTCTTGGAGATAAGAGTCTCATGGACTTTCCTGCCCAAGCTGGCTACAAACCGCGATCCTCAGATTTCAGCCTCCTAAGTAGCTAGGATGACAGGCGTGAGCCACTGGCATCTGGCCTGCTTTCTCTACTTTCTGTCCATCGCGCAGAATCAACTTTGCTCCGCCCACTTCTTTCACCGTGCTGCTCTGCTTCTCCATGGTCTGGAAGCAGTATTAGGCTCTTCTCTTTTTACCTTGCTCCTCAGGTATTTGTGACAGCAATGGAAAATCCGACTTGCACACGCACTACATTTGCAGCTTATTCATACAGTCCCGCGAAGACTGAAAGGTGTGAAATAGAAAACTGCAAACCCACTGGCCACTAACTTCCCATTTCCTACTCCCCACCTGCACCCCTGGTAACTACATTCTATTTTCCATTTCTTTTTGATCACTTGTGGGGCTTGAACTCAGGACCTGGGTGCTGCCCTGAGCTTTTTGTGCTCAAGGCTAGCAGGGCTGCCACTTTGGGCCATGTGCCCTTTCTGGTTTTCTGGTGGTTCATAGGAGATTAAGAGTTTCATGGGCTTTCCTGCCTGGGCTGGCTTTGAACCACGATCGTCACATCCCAGCCTCCTGAGTAGCTAGGATTATAAGCATGAACCATCAGCGCTCAGCTTTCCATTTTCTATATCTATGAATTTTTTTTTCTAGTATTAGTTTGAATTCAGGGCTTCACGTTTGGTAGGAAGGTGCTCTATTGCTAAAACATGCCCCCAACCCCCCACCCCCCCCCCACTTTTTGATGGCTATTTTTGAGACAGGGTTTCACTTCTTGCCCGGATGCACATCCGGTCTGCCATCTGCCGATTTTAGGTTTCTTGTTGTCGTTTGGATGGTAGGAGCATGCCACTGTGTCTACCTTTCCTCTGTTGAGACCCTTTACTCTCTGATAGTGGAATTTTCTCCCCAGGCTGGCCTGGAACCACAAGCTAACCTCAGGCTTCCACAAAACTTAGGATAACAGGCATGTGCCACTGCACCTGGCTACTGTTTGAAAGGAAGTCCTGTGTGACCTTTTCTGCCTGGGTTGGCCTCGAACTGAGGTCCTCCCATTTTCCAGCCTCCCCGAGTAGCGAGGATTACAGGTGTGATTCAGAGATGCCTAGCTTGAATTTTAACTATTTTGCCATCTCTTTGAGTGACTGGCATGTTTCACTTAGCACAGTGTCCTAAAGGTTGTACCTTGGGACAGAATTACTTTGCTTTTTGACGACTGATATTGCACAGTACATAGGTCCTGCACTATGCCTCAGTGCCACTTCTGGCTTTTTCTTTTTTATGTGGTACTGAGGAGTTGAACCCGGGGCTTCATGCATGCTAGACAAGCACTCTACCACTAAGCCACGTTCCCAGCCCTCTGGCTGTCCATTTTCTTTGTAACTTAAGTCTTTCCAAGCAAAAGATACACCTTCGTGATGATCATGTTACCTCTTCTTCCATGACATAGGTGAGCAGTTTCCAGTCCCACTCTACTGCTTTGGCATTGGCTGGATGTAGCCTGAAATTCAAGTGACATCGATTAGAATTCTGGAGAACTTAGCGGATGCAGTGCTAGGGATCCGAAGATGGGTCCCAGCCCGCCCTGCAGGGACCAAACCATGTCAATCAGAGGTAGCTGTCAGTCAATACGCTTTACCTATCGGGAACTCAGGATGCCGTGGGATTTGTGGCACTAATCATAATATTCTACTTCTCAGTCCAGCGATTGGCCCAAAACATCAGCTCATGTTTCAGATTAAGCCAATCCGGAGTCCATTTCAGAACTGATATATCTGGAGTATCATAAAAGCTTGTGGCTGAGGATTAACTATGAGGAACCCAAAGACATAATAAAGCAGAGCTACAAAAGCATCCTGGTGACCAGTTTTGAGCATAGAAGCAAGTAGCATCTATTTTGTGTGTGTATGCTGGTACCAGGCCTTTGCACTGAAGACCTCAGGCTCTTGCTTAGCTTTTCCCTTTAAGGCTGGAGCTCTACCATTTGAGTCACAACTCCACTTATGGCTTTTTGCTGGTGAAGTGGAGGTAAGAATCTCATGAACTTTCCTGCCCTGGCTGGCTTCCACTGCGATCTTCAGATCTCAGTCTCCTGAGTAGCTAGGATTACAGATGTGAGCCATGGGTTCAAGTCACATTTTAATTCTAGGTTTCTAGTATGCAATGTCACCAAATTCTCTCTCTTGCTCTTTCTGGTACTGGGGCTTGAACTCACAACCTGGGCAATATCCCTGAGCTTTTTCATTCAAAGCTGGTGCTCCACCCCTTGAGCCACCATTCCACTTCTGGCTTTTTTTTTTTTTTTTTTGTAATTAGAGATCAGAGTCTCATGAGTTTCTGCCTGGGCTGAGTTCAAACTGCAATCCTCAGATCTCAGCCTCCTGAGTGGCTAGGATGACAGGCGTGATCCACCAGCGCCCGGCTATCTTTCACCAGTTGTTAAAGACAGTTCTGATGGGCTTTTGTGATCACATCTATCTAAATAATCCTTTAAGAAATCCTTGTGTGTGTGGCTCAGGTGATCAGAACACTTGCCAAGCAAGCACAAGGCACTGAGTTCAAGCCCCAGTAGCACCTTTAAAAAACAAACCTTCCCTCCTAAAGCTTAGGCAAGAGAAAACTGAGTCGAATTCCCCTAAACTCCCCGACAGCCAGTGTTACAGCTCATACTGTTGGATTTTCATGAGTAGCATGTAGGCTTCTTTGAGGACATCCACGGTCTCGGAGCCGCTGAGCAGTATTTTCTGGATGATGTGAGCCACGATGTCTCTGGGTGGGTAATGCTGCGGTGACACGAAATCCATCAAAAACTGCACGGTCCCCAGGGGGAAGTTTTCTTCAATCGTGTTGGCCACCATCCTTAGTCTTCGATTAGGGATGGGTTCTAATTTTTGACCTTTGCTCTGTAGAGATAAAAAGAAACAAAATCAGGATGGCTTCCCATAGTGTATAAAACCCAGAGGTTTTTCTGGAATAGGTTGAGTGAAGACTGTAAAGAACAGTCTGTCAGTCTCTCTGTTCATCCACTCATCCATCCATTTTTAGCATGGGTACCAGGCTTGAATTCAGGGCCTGGGCACTGTCCTTTTGCTTTTTGATCTATCTATCTATCTATCTATCTATCTATCTATCTATCTATCTATCTATCTATCTATCTATCTATTTAATTTTTGGTATGGGTATGAGGCTTAAATTCAGGGCCTGGGTGCTGTCCCTTAAGCTTTTTTTGGTGCTCTACCACTTGAGCCACAATGCCACTTCCAGCTTTATGGTGGTTTACTGGAGGTAAAGTGTTTCATGGACTTTCCTGCCTGGGCTGGCTTTGAATCATGATCCTCAGATCTCAGCCTCCTGAGTAGCTAGGCTGACAGACCAGTGTCTGGTCCCCAGAGCTGACAAGGGTACGATTCTGTGTGATCTGGAAGGTGTAAAGGCACCAGGGAGAGAAAGGCATAGGAGCGGAAGACAAGAACATGGCAGAGATCTGCGAGTCAGCCACACGAGTGCTTTACATCCATCTCATCAGCGATCCTGCGAAGCTAGGGCTTGCACAAGTAGAAGGGATTCATCCCATGCTGATGTTTAAGTGTGGAGCCTGAAATCTGAACCCAGATCTGATTTCATCTACAAGTAGTGGGGGGGAAAAAAAAAAGATCAAACCTTTACTGAAGACTTGGCCAGTTCTCTCAGGCATGGACCCCAGGTTAAAGGAACCTTAGTGAGGCATACGGAAAGGACACTTAATCCCTGGAGGGGAGAAGTGTCGGCTCACCTCCCGGGTGTCTTTATCAGGGATTAGTGTCTGGAAGAAGAGGTGATGGACGGGAGGGCGCAGGAAGTACTTGAGCCTGTGTAGGCAGGGCCTGTTGAACGCCCCGCCCTGTGGGACTCGCGGTTGCACCTGCGCAGACTTGGCGTTGGTAGGCTCTGATGGTCTTAGGTCTTTTGGAGCTGCGGTCGGTGTGACCTGAAGCCAGGGGACTTTCACTAAGGGAGCTTCTGGCTGTGGAGACGGCGGCATGGGGGAGCAGCTGGGAGAGGAGGGGGTGGAGATGTCCATAGGAGTGTCACGACTCAGGATATCACTCTGATCTGGTGGTAGGCGGGATAGGTGGCCTGCTAACTGTGGCCCAGGTCTCAGGGACCGTGACGTGTTTGCTGGGGGCGGCGATGTGTGGTTGCTTGGTGGCTGTGGGATGGTTGCTGGTGGCTGTGGTATGGTTGCTGGTGGCTGTGGTATAGCTCCTGGTAGCTGTGATCCAACTCCCGATGGCACATCTGGTAAGCGGGGAACGTCTCCTGACGATGGTGGCGTGTCTCCTGACGATGGTGGCGTGTCTCCCAGAGCCTGTGGCCTGGGTGGCGTGGCTGGGTATGATCGGTGTGGAGGCGGGCCTGGCAGATGCGGAGGTAGACCCGGACAGTCTTGCGGTGTGCTCGGGGGGTGTGGAGGCCAGGACAAATCTTGGGGTGGGTGAGAAATAATCTGAGGAGCACACGGTGCATTCGGCCGGGCGCAGGGCACATTCTGAGGAGGGGGTGGCACGTTCTGCGGGGAGCGGGGGACATTCTGGGGGGAGGGTGGTACCTTCTGGGGGGGGCCAGGTACCTTCTGCAGGGCACAGGGCAGGTTCTGCGGAGCGGGTGGCACATTCTGAGAGCATGGTATGTTCTGCAGAGAGCATGGCGCATTCTGCAGAGAGCATGGCGCATTCTGCAGAGAGCATGGCGCATTCTGCAGAGAGCACAGTGCGTTCTGCAGGGCGCCGGGCACTGGCTGTAGAGCACATGGCGCTCCTCCTTGAAGCGGCTGAGACAGAGCCTGAGTTTGGCCCAGCACGGTCTCTGATGGGCAGGACAAGGCTCGAGGGGGACACGAGGAAGGCCGGGGGGGATAGGCGCAGGCTTGTGGGGGGCACGGGGAAGTTCTCAGGGGGCACGGCAGGGCTGGTAGTGGACAAGGCACATCCCGCTGTGGGCATGGTAAGGGCGCCCTCTCATGGTTACTGTTGCTACTGCTTATGGGGGAGAACGAAGACAGCTGTAGGTTGGCCAAGAAGCTGAGATCACCTCGGAACGTGGTTGAGCGGCCATTCGGCTGCCCCGGGTAGGTTGAGTCCTGCCGGATCGCTCCTTCATAGATGCTTCCCTCCGTGTCCGAGCGCAGCGGGGTGCTGTTCATCACTCTCCGGGTTGGAGGCCGAGAACTTCTGTCCACCTGGCTTTCTGTCACCTCTTTGCTGGCGCATGTCTGAAGGCTGTCTGGCTCCTTCTGGGAGGGAGCAACAGGGTCTGAAGTCAGATCGAAGGTGGCAATGGGTCTACTTTCTTCCTCGCCGGTGGTAAGATCGATCACGCAGTGTCCGTTGCGGTCCTTGGCCCTTGGTCTGGGTTCTCTAGTTAAATCAATGAAGTCCTGCGGAAGAATTTGGGAGAGGAGTTAGAAGATGAGCAGAGGAGCTCACGCCTGTAATCTCAGCTACTCAGGAAGCTGAAATCTGAGGATCACACGGATCGAAGCCAGCCCGGGGGCAGGACAAGTCTGGGAGACTCTTATTGCCAATGAACCAGCAAAAAGTTGAAAGTGGAGCTGTGGCTCAAGTAGTACAGCACCAGCCTTGAGTGGAAAAAGCTAAGGGGGCAGGGGACGGGGCCCTGAGTTTAAGCCCCAGTAACAAAAAAGAAGAAGAATGTCATTATCTGTGAAGAATGACAGTCTAGCTTTAGAGGATGTTTACTTCTTAGACAATCTGCACATCTTACCTACATAAACATTAGTAATACTCTGTAATAACAGCTAATTTCTTTAGTTTGTCAGTTGTGGGGCTTGAACTCTGGGCCTGGGCGCTGTCTCTCAGCTCTTCAGCTCAAGGCGAGCGCTCTACCACTTGAGCCACAGCGCCACTTCTGTTTTTTCTGCTTATGTGGTGCTGAGGAATGGAACCCAGGGCCTTATGCATGCCAGGCAAGCGCTCTACCACTGAGCCACCTTCCCAGCCCCAAACAGCTGATTTCTTTACCGTCTTGATATGGGTAAGCAGGAATGCAGTGGGAAATTTATTCTGATCAAAGGAGAACAGGGAATTATAAGGGATCTCAACCTCAAGCTTTTAATTTTTTTATTTATTTTTTTGCTACCAGTAATGGGGCTTGAACTCAGGGCCTTGGTGCTGTCCCTTTGCCCTTTTGCTCCAGGCTAGCACTCTACCACTTGAGCCACACCTCTACTTCCAACTTTTTGGTGGTAATTAGAGATGAGTCTCATGGACTTTCCTGCCCAGGCTGATTTGGAACCACAATCCTCAGCTCTCAGCCGCAGTTGACAGCCACGAGTGTTAGGCCACAACTGATGTGTGGGAAAGCAAATACACTAGACGGCCTAGACCAGACGCCAGACAGGAAGGTAAGCAAATGTAAGAGGACTTGTGTGCAAAGAATGTGTTGGGTGTGGGCTGGGAAGGTGGTTCAGTGGTAGAGCACTTGCCTTGCATGCTCGAGGCCCTGGGTTCGATTCCTCAGCACCACAGAAGAAAAAAGCCGGAAGTGGCGCTGTGGCTCAAGTGGTAGAGCGCTAGCCTTGAGCTGAAGAGCTGAGGGACAGCGCCCAGGTCCAGAGTTCTGGCCCCACGACCAGACCCCCCCAAAAAAAAGAATGTGTTGGGTGTTTCCATGTGTGATCTTACTCGTTCTCAGTACCATGGCATAATCTCCATTACACACACACACACACACACACACACACACACACACACACACACACACACACACACACACACACACACACACACACACACACACACACACACACACACACACGGGAAGGTTATTTACCTAAGGTTTCAACAGCTAAGTAGCAGACAGACAGAACGGGATTCATGTTCTTTCTCTGTGAGGGCCTAGTCTGGCGCTGGTGGCTCACGCCTGTCATCCTAGCTACTCAGGAGGCTGAGATCTGAGGATCATGGTTCAAAACCAGCCTGCATAGGCAAGTCCCAGACTTTTTATTTCTTTTTTTGGGTCCGGTCGTGGGGCCTGAACTCTGGGCCTGGGCGCTGTCCCTCAGCTCTTCAGCTCAAGGCTAGCGCTCTACCATCTGAGCCACAGCGCCACTTCCGGCTTTTTTCCCCCTTTTTGCTTATGTGGTGCTGAGGAAATCGAACCCAGGGCCTCAGGCATGCAAGGCAAGCGCTCTACCACTGAGCCACCTTCCCAGCCCTCCCTCTCCAGTTGTTTTGATGTCTCCACAGTCACTCCAAATTTCTCATGCATGTTACACACTATATTTCTATCTGTTCGCTTTCCACAAATTTGAGTCTTTGTATTCCAAGCGCATTTTATATAAATAGTGCATCTCATTCAACAATACATAGGAGTCCCTCCATGTTTTGTCCAGACTGACAATCTCTGCCTTTTGACAAATTTCTCGTGCAATTATATTTCGTTTTTGTCAATCATTGTTTTAACTCTGCAATTGGTAGAGTGCTAACCTTGACGAAAAGGGTCAGGGACACAACGCAGGCTCTGAGTTCAAGCCCCAGGACTGGCACAAAAAAATATACATATAGCCAGGTGCTGGTGGCTCACGCCTGTCATCCTAGCTACTCAGGAGGCTGAGATCTGAGGATCACGGTTCCAAGCCAGCCTGGGCAGGAAAAGTCCGTGAGACTCTTATCTCCAATAAACTACCAGAAAACTGGAAGTGGCACTGTGGCTCAAGTGGTAGAGTGCTCGCCTTGAGCTGAAGAGCTGAGGGACAGCGCCCAGGCCCAGAGTTCAAGCCCCACGACCGACAAACAAACAAACAAACAAAAAAAACCACACACACACACACACACACACATACACACACACACCAATACAATTCCATTCACCCTACTCCTCATCTTCTATTTTTGCGGTGATTGTTTTAGATACACTTATGCATTATATCTGTGTACATTGTGAACACTAAACCAGCACCACCATATTTGTTTTAGGCAAGTTGTCTTTCAAAGACATTCTGAAGTGACAACAATTGTCACTTTGTTTTTAACACATATTTGCAAATTCTGGTGCTCTTCGTTCCACATGAAGCTATTTCCCATCGGGATAAATGTCTGCAGTTTAGGCGTTCTAGTGAAAAAACTGCTTTCAATTTACTCGTTTTAAAATACCTTGATTTTACTCTTGTTTTTGAAGGATAATTTGGTAAACATAAGCTCTTGGAGGGGAAAAAAAGTTTCTTTCTCTCCCTTTCTGTGGTACTGGGGCTTGGATTCAGGGTCTTGCACTATGGTGGGCAGGTGCTCAACCACTTGAACCAAGCCCCTGACACTCTTGGCCAAAAAGCTCTTTTCTTCCATGATTGGAATATGTCAATTCCATGACTTTGGGCCTCTAGTCTGATGGGAAGTCGGCTGCTAATTTGCATCGATGTTTCCTAGTGACATTTTTCTCTGGAGAAAGTCTGGCTCTCTTGGCGTTTGTTGTGCTTTGAGTCTGTTCTACTTCTCTTTTTTTTCTTTTTTGTTTTTTTATTGTCCGGTCGTGGGGCCTGAACTCTGGGCCTGGGCGCTGTCCCTCAGCTCTTCAGCTCAAGGCTAGCGCTTTACCACTTGAGCCACAGTGCCACTTCCGGCTTTTTTCTCTTTGCTTATGTGGTGCTGAGGAATCGAACCCAGGGCCTTGAGCATGCAAGGCAAGCACTCTACCATTGAGCCACCTTCCCAGCCCTGTTCTACTTCTCTTGTCTGTAGTTATTTTTCCAACTGAAGATAAGAAAACTCCAGTCACTGTCCTTGAAATATTTTTCTACATATGGAAGGGATGGGGGGAAAATGGAGGACAGTGGGAAAAGGGGTGATATTCATCAAGATGTGCTGTATTTGTCATCTTACTTGTAGAATTGAAACCCTTTTGTACAACTACTTAAAAATTTTTTTCTTTTACAACCTTTCCCTGCTGTTCTTCTAAGATCCCAATCGTATACTTTTGGGTTGCTTCATAATGTACTATATGATTATGAGCTTCTATTCAACTCTACGCCATCTCCCTGCCAACTTTATTATATTTTCACTGCTACTAAAGCTTGAACTCAAACCCTGGGTGCTGTCCCCTAAGCTTTTTTTGCTCAAGGCTAGTGCTCTACCACTTGAGACACACCTTTCCCCTAGAACCACTTTTAGGTGGTTAACTGGAAAATAAAGAGTCTCAGACTTTCCTGACTGAGCTTGGAACTGTGATCTTCAGATTTCAGCCTCTTGAGCAGCTAGGATTACATGAGTGAGCCACCACCCCCTGGCTGCACCTCTTTTTGTATTCTTTTTATTGTCGTCGTGTTTGAAGGACAGAGGATCAAACCCAGGGCCTCATGCATGCTAGGTAAGTACTCTAGTACTTATGTAAGTTTCTAGTACTGAGCTAGTACTAGTACTCTAGTACTCATGTAAGTACTCTAGTACTGAGCTCCCAAACTCCCAGCCTTTTCTGGCCTGCATCTCTTTGGTGCCTTGCTGGTTCTCTTGGATAAAACCTAGTAACTGGATATACTTGATCTAATAATAGTTGTCAATTTACCCTCTAATCTTAGTGTCTTCTCTTAGTGTTCCTAACTAATTTGCATTTCCACTGCATATTATACTAATTAAGCTCTTACAAGTTACACATTCTCTGATTGTCATGGTGGGATTGCCAGAGGGCAAGAAGGCGTAGGTGACAGGGATTTCCAAAATTTGGCACCTGCTCTGGGAGACACAGCAGCTGATCAGGCCTCGATCATCTAGTAACCCTGTTTTCAGATCAAGATACCTCACAACAAGTCTGTGACATGAATCTTATGGCTAAAACACCTAAATGAGGCTGAGATCTGAGGGTTGTGGTTAAAGCCAGCCCGTAGAAGGAAGGTCTGGGAGACTCTGATCTTCCATGAACCACCAGAAAACCGGAAGTGGTGCTGTGGCTCAAGTGGTAGAGTGCTCACCTTGAGCTGAAGAACTGAGGGACAGCACCCAGGCCCTGAGTTCAAACCCCAGGGCTGACACAAACAAAACCTAAAGAAGCCAGGTGCTGGTGCCTCACCAGTGCCTGTAATCTGAGCTACTCAGGAGGCTGAGATCTAAGGAGTATGGTCCGAAGGCAGCCCAGGCAAGAAAGTCTATGAGATTCTTATCTCCAACTAATGGCTAAAAAACCAAAGTCAGAAGTGGAGCTGTGGCTCAAGTGGTAGAGCATTAGCCTTGAGCAAAAAAAGCTCAGGGACTGTGCTCAGGCCCTGAGTTCAAGTCCAGGACACACACACACACACACACACACACACACACACACACACACACACACCCTGAAGCTCAGGGACTGTGCCCAGGCCCTGAGTTCAAGTCCAGGACACACACACACACACACACACACACACACACACACACACACACACACACACACACA